TGAGGATATACACCGTGGAGATAGAGTTATGAATGTTGTCGGTGTGCAGGCGCTCGATGGATTGTTGCATTGTGCGACCGTGAGAGATGGCGATTGCTTAGGGAGGCCTTCATCCAGCAGTGGATATGTCGTGACATCGGGGACGTCACTGTATGGTGCTGGCCCTGGAGGGCCGTGGCACGTGCGATGTTCCTACGCTGCGGACAGCACCGTGTGGGTTGCTGTGTGATGCCGGCTCTAGCACAGCACGGGCGTGCGATGCACCGTCATCGCGTACACCCCGTAGGGTGGGTGTAGTACCAGCCCTAGCGGGGCCTTGGTGAGCGCTGGGATAATGCGGGCACCACGCATAGCGTGCAGTGCGGGCTCCCACTGGAGGGAACGGGAGAGTATCAGACCAGGGACAGGGTTGCCCCGGGCACTCTGGTTGACCCCGTAGACACGTGATCTTGAGTGTCCACAGAGAAGGCCCCAGGTGGGGGGTGCTAGAGGGTGATCACGTGTCCAGGGAGAGCTCTCGAGAGGGACCGAGAGGAAGCTAGAATGCTCGAGAAGGTGGGCGGGGCCTGGGTGGAGCCAGCCCCGACCCGGGAGGATATAAGGTGGGTCCCTGAGAGGGACCGGGGTCGCTTCGTTCTCCAAGCTGGAAGCTCCACGTCTACAAGCTGGAAGCTCCACGTCTACAAGCTGAAGCTCTACGTCTACAAGCTGGAAGCTCCACGTCTACAAGCTGGAAGCTCCACGTCTACAAGCTGGAAGCTCCACGTCTTAAGAGGCATCAACACGTGGCCGGGGACCCGAGTGAGGGTCCGACCCTTCGTAGCTGTAACCCCTACGTGTAGTGTAGTTAGCTGGGTGGTCACCAACCGAGGGCTTTATCTGGTAAAGGGGCAGTTACCCCTTTGTATATACGTGTTACAATAAATGTGTTGCCTTTGAAGAATAACGTCTGTGCCTCATTTGGACTCACTACAGATATACCATGGTTGAAGATGGTGACGATTGGTGGTGCATAACTTATATCTAGTGAATCGGGAGGCTGGGTTGTTCGAATCATTCGTGCACCTGTACTCAAAGGTCAGAAGATTATCTTCTAGTGGCTTTGTTAAAGCCCAGCTCTTAAAACCCTTACGGGCCACATGCAGTCATTACTTCGAATCTGATCTGATCAAGATCTTGGAAGCTCAGCAGGTTTCTGTCTGGCAAGTGCCTGGATGAGTACTCGGGTTTCCCACCACAAGCCAACACACATTAATGAAACTGCAAAAAACATCCCAATGTAAGAGCCTTCTAAAAAAAAGTGTTAAGACTCGGTGAGACTCTCCTAGGTAATTTAAATACGTATGTAATGGAATAGGGCGAATTCTACAATACAAATTCTGCCTCCGGTATAGGTTCTTACTGTAATGAGTGGTCTCCGACACGGTAAGTAACTTTGTAGTTTTATTCAATAAATCTTGGTACAGCCACAAGTCTACGTCTCTTTTCTTTCTTGCGCACTCCACCCTTCGGGTGGCTACGCTGACCCGCGCCACGTGGCGCTCACCCGTTCTCCAACACACCGCTGGCTGACCATGCGCCAGGGAGCGACTGAGCGGCTGGAGGACGAGCCGCCACGTGGTCGATGGAGATGACGGATGACGGGGCAGCAGCGGCGGAGAGCTCCTCTTCAGTCTTCAATCACCGACCCCTCGCGTTGCTCTGTGTCCCGCTTATATCCCCCTCCCGGGACTAAGCCCCGCCTCTGACCACGCCCCTCCTGGAACCTTCCAGAACGTTCCAGAGGCTTCCCTGGTGGAACCGCCTTCCCACCATTTCCCCCAGATGTAAACCCTACGATGGATAAGCCTGGGCTGTAGAATGAATGTATGCCCCCCTGATAATCCAGGCGATGGCGCTCTCATTACATTCCAAATACGATATTGCTGCTATGTGAACTGCAATGCACCAGTTGGAAATGCGGATGAAATTGAAAATCCTTTGTTCAGCAAATGTGCCCAGGATTCGATAGAATGTCACAAAAACATGGGCATAGTTCCTTTCATGAATCAATATGCAGTACTATATATATGCCTAGCTATTGTATATCTATAGTAGTATGGATCTATAGATTCTGCAGGTGTGTGAATAAAAAACAACAGATGTGTAAATACATACAAACTCGTCGTGTGAATCAACATAAGCCACAGTGATGTGAATCTATAGAATATGTAATGTCATGAGTGCGATATAGAATATACATCGACGTAAACAATATAATTAATGACGTGGTATTATCAACTTATAACTTTCCACTGCTGGACACTACGATCATAACCGAATTCTAAATATACCAATCGATTCTTACATGCGCAGTATTGATTAATTGTAACAAAATCGTTAATTGCTGGCAAACCCTCATTTACCCAAAAGACAAAGATGCCCCGAACAGACTGTAGGGGCAAGTGCTGTTAGCGAGCACCTCTGAAGGCCGGAACGGCACACGAGAGGGTGGGTGGCCAACACCACGCCCAGCCGCCTTTGTCTCCCCCCAGTGGCGATGTTAACGCACCAGGTACTCATTTGAGGCTGTATCGACCTAGGGGAGGCCCAGGACAGGTTAAAATATTCGTCACCGACGTTGGACGTGAGTGGGAATCGAACCCGGGTGACCGGTGTTTGTAACGCAACGCGCTAACTGCTGCGCCACCGCTCCCCATCCAATTAACACCGCACACACACACACACGCCTCCTTAGCAAGGCTAGGGACTTGGCAATTCAGTAGCGGCAGCAGCAGCAGCGTATATTTGAAGGTTCTGCCGAGTTTATTTGCGACCTGTAATTACTGCACTACATTAACGCGAGCGCTAATAAGGCTTATGCCAAAGCAGAACCCTCCCCCCCCTCCCGTCAAGTAATCCTAATTAATCCCAAATGCATCGTATTACTTAAGACAGTGCCTTGGCAATCCGGCGTTAAGACTCGCGCACACACACGAGTCTTCTTCACCGCGTTCGGGTAATAACAAGGCGGCTTGACCAGGTCGCAAAGGTGCAACAGGTGCTTTTAACATTCGTGGCTCCTTGCACTGAACTCCCGGCCACGTGGCTCAGTGGCAGTCGGGTGTGGTGGCTCTCGGTTGACTCAGCCCATCATTCCTTTGGGGGGGGAGGTCGATAAAATAAGAACCGGTTTGTTGGGAAATCAATAATGTCATGATTTTACGGTGGATCGACTCGCCCGAGCCATGAGAATGGAGAATTTCCACCATTGGCTCACAGCTGAGCACCGCCTAAGTGCTCATCAGAGGCAGGAAATCATCGATTTGATGCAACGATGTTTTCTAGTTTTTGGTTCTCCGATGTGTTTTTCTGTGGGGTCATTCCTCGCGTTGTCTGGCATACGCTGCGCGACGTTTCGATCCACGCGCCCGCTGCTGACAGCTTTGTCAGGCACTCACATCATCATGCCCAACACCACCACCACGCGTTGCAGCCTGAAAACACACCAGCGGCCTACGCAGCACAACCGTGAAAACCCCGACGCAGATCTTAGAGCATTGCCCAGAAATCGCGAGCACGCAAATGGCTAACAACAACCGCCATTCGCCACTAAGTGGCGGTGACGTCACCACGACGCTTGTGCCAGGCCATGTGCACCTTGAGGCCACGTGAAGTGTCGAACGCCCGCTGGCAGGAGGTCACGGGGCAGACCCAGCAGGTGCCACGGGTCGACTGACTGAGACGACTGGCTGATGTACCACCTGTGCCCCTACTGTGCCAACTTGCTGTGCTTTAGCCGCCCGGCGTAACACACACACACAAGCAACATGACGGACAGCGCATGCATTTATTGAGACTTCGAGTCTATTTTTCAGGTTCCTCTACCTCATGTGCCCCTTTCTTTTCTTGTGGCCAGATTTCTAAAGCCAAGCAGGTTGGGAGCCTGGACAGTGCTTTGAGGGGCGACCAATCATGCACAGCAGGTTGCTCCGGAGATGCGTTGTGGATAGAGACAGCGAATATCATTGTTGTACTATACTTAAATGCTCCCGCCCCTTTGCCGCCCCCCCCCCCTCTCTAACCCCGTCTGTACAAGTCCATCGACACACGAGCCACACGGAGCGACGTTTTCTCGTGACCTTGATCACAAAGGTTTTGTTTCGCTCGTATTTCACATTAAGTGCAGCGGCGTAGCCATCTCATCTTACATAGACACACATAGCGCCTTAATCCACGGCGCTTTACAACGCTCGCAATAGATGACAGTGGTTGAAATAACGAGTGGGGCTTGTCTTGTGCGCAGGCGGTGCAACTGCACCTGGGGCCCCACATGCCAGAGGGGTGCAGGAGCCGGGGGGTGGGGGTCGGAGAGAAATTGGCTATGGGGGGGGTGGCTATGGGTTTGGGGGGGGGGGCATTTCACTCCTCGCTCAACGGTCCATGCCAAACCGCACCATGCCATTCATTTTAATGAGCCTCCTCCTGAAAGGGGCCGTCCATAAATGACGTCACGCACCTGGGGGGGGGGTCAGACATTTGTGAGGATGTGTGACGAGGGGGGGGGGGGGGTTGAGAAATGTGACGTCACATCAAAATGCGCAACTTTAAATAAATATAGACAACACGTTCTACTTAATTAAATAGACGTTTTAATACATGTTTTCTCCTACAACATCAGAGTGCAGCGCCACATTAAATACGCACTACAATGACAATCGTTTAAAGCGATTTGAAGCATGTTTTATATTTGGGGGGGCAGAGTTTTGTGACGCCGTGTGACAAGGGGGGGGGGGGGGAGTCAAAAATCGTCCAAAATCGCGTGACGTCATTTATGGACGGCCCCAAAGGCGCTGTTGCTGCCCCCTACGCCGCTGGTGCAGGGCAATCGCGGTTTCGAGAACCACCCTGCGATTAAGATCTCATCTCGGAAAGCCATCCGCTTAGCGCGCCAGTTCACGTGGTGGGCACGGGGAGGAGACGGCGGCCAGTGTCTTCGCTCACCGCTGCTTCGCCGGCAGCAAAGGAGGGAGAGCTCTGATGTAAGTTACCCCGCGTAGACCAATATGTGCTGCGTCTACGTGGTGGGAATTCGACGTTCCCGTGCCGGGGGCCAGTTTTACACATACGACGACCACTGCCGACTGTCCCTAAAGTGGGTATTTGTTTTATGCTCCCTCAAGGGGATGATGTGCTGAGCACTCTGACCACGGTGAATGAATGCAGGCTGCGTGTTATTGTGTGCCGGTGTCGTCGTCGTCGCAATATAACGTCCTAGTTTACGATTTCCGAGGACGTTAAAGTCGTCGCTTAACGCGTGTTCACGCAATGCGTTTTCGCAACAACAACAACAACACAATTGCGGATCTCCTATCGGGGAGGGCTTTTCACGCATCGCGCGGAACGCGCACCGTTATAACGCGGGGGGCGCGCTCGTTACAACGCGGTTCGTGAGCGGTCGACAACGAACTACTTTCTCGAGCTGAGCGGCACGATGCAAGTTCGCGGAACGATACGGCGAGGTGGGAATTAATTGTCCCGCCGACTTGCTGTGTGTGTGTCTAGGGTGTTACTGCAACGTACTCATGGATGGGGGTTAACCCATCAATGCGTACGCTTGCGTATGTGGGGTCTATTGACAATGTGCATACGCATAGGAAACGGGGGAGGGGGGGGTGAAGCATCGATAATAATTTGTCTACATTGGCATTTAAATGAGCCACAGTTCAGTGTCTTCAGCTGTGAGACAACAAGTACTAGCGGGAGAGGTGGGACTGTGGGAGAGGTGTCACTTTGTGTGCCACCGTACCTCTGACTGCAGCTATCACGCAAGCTCAGCAATGAGTGTGTAATGGAATGTAAGCAAGAAAAATATAAACTGTTATTGGTCAATTAATTTGGGATCACAAAACACGTGGACCACCCAGTACATCGTAAACAAGCAACGATCTTTATGATGCCAAATTTCATTGAAAATATAAAAAATCACTTAACTAAATTCACAATAGCGTTGTAAATTTCTTCAATCAACCATTATGACTAAACTAATCGTTGTGCGCTAATGTAAGTAATCCCTTTATCAACCAGAAAGCACATCTGGCAGCTCGCGTGACCCACGTCTGAACAATCCTCCAGGCGGGAGTCGCCAGCCGTTCGTGATGTGACGCGGGGGCTACGCAGGGTCACGGCGCGTGAGGGCGGACCGCTGACTCCATGACCACGCCGACCAGAACTCCCGTGCCACCGGCCGGGCCGAGGGCCGGCGACGGCGCCGTCCCCGGCCGCGGCACCGGCCCCGACACGACGGCTGCCGCGTCCGACGCCGGCCGGCGTGCCCGCCGCTCCCCCGCCAAGCGCGTGTACTTCTACAAGAGCGGCGACCCGCAGTTTGGCTCCCTGCCGTTGGTGGTGAGCGAGCGCAGCTTCCGTACGTTCGAGTCGCTGCTGGACGAGCTGTCGCGCCGCGTGCCGCTGCCCATGGGCGTGCGGCGGGTCACCACGCCGCAGGGACGCCACGTCGTGAACCAGCTCAACGAGCTCCACGACGGCAGCGCCTACTTGTGCAGCGACCACCACCGCCGCCGCCGCCAGCCGCACGCGCCTCCTCCGCCGCACCCGCCAAACCGGCGTCCGGCCGCGGGAGTGGGCAACGTCAACGAGGACGATGATGATGACCGGCACCACCACCATGACCGCCACGATTACCACCAGCAGCACCACGACCACAACCAGCATGACCACCACCAGCAGCACCAACGACACCGTCACGGCCGTGACGATCTGCAGGAGACACAGCGTGGTGGTGGCGGCGGTGGCGGCGGTGGAGGAGGATGGAGACCGATTGTTCAGCCTCCCAGAGAGCCGCGGAGGAGCGCCGGTCACATCAAGCGTTTGACACTCTTCAGGAACGGCGCGGTGGGACCACAGAGGGCTCTGCTGCTCAGCCGGCAGTCGGCACCCAACCTGGAGGCGGTGCTCGCCTACTTCTCTGAGATTCTGCAGTGCCCCGTGCGCCAGCTCTACACCAGGAATGGCAGCAGGGTGAGGAGGAGCAGTCGGCGTGTCGTAACACTATTTCCCACACCTCTGGTTTACATGCATTGTGGTAAGCACGAAATCATCGGTGGTGGCGGGGGGCTAAGCTCCGTCAAACATTTGCCGGCTTTAGTTTTTCAAACAGTCTGCACAGCAATACCTCTCGAACCAGGGCTCGTGGGTCCTCCTAACACCTTCCCCGCACCTCCGATTAGCACGGTTGGCTACGTACGGTGCGAAAGAAATTAAACTACATACATGAGCACATTGTTGCCGCGAGCAGAGCTAGGTGGTAGACTGACGCGTCCAGGGGCACGGGTCCCCCGGATTGCGTCAGTTTACCACGTGTTCTGCTCGTAGTGACCTCGCCCTCTCGTTTTTTGACGTGAATTATCTTGATTTATTTTTTGTTCACGAAAAAAAGTTCAATTTATTTTAACATGTTTCAGCCCACCAAAGAGTAGTTTTAATTTGAGCATGTTGTGTGTGATGGGCTCACTTTGACCCCTGCATGCAGCCATTCGAGATGGTACACGAAGCAGTATATTGCATAAGCATGGATGCTCATATGGCCACTCCGAAATCGGGACGATTCAGCGAATCGTGAACGAGAAAAGTGTTACAGGCCTAGGCCACAGGTGTCTTGAGCTCTCGCTACCTTTTCGACCTAAATGAAAATAACAATAATATCACCAATATTTTTCCGCAACCAATGTGATTCTTAATTACATAGTTGGGTTCGGTCACGTAATGATCTAAATGTCTGTCGTAATGCCCTCCACCAACCAAACATAGCCAAACAAATGAAATCGTTATTGTACAAGAGTTGAATGTGCCAATAATTAACAACAATAATAATATTAAAGCCCCATTATGTATACAGCAAAACCTCGCTGAATCTAAAGACTCATTGTTTTTCAGGAAGGTTCCTGCTATATTAAGATATTTGGCCAATTCATTTAATCAATGAGAGTGTTTTGTGGTGCAGGAAGGAAACCAGAGTTCTTGGAGAAAACCCACGCATATGAGGGTATAACAAAGGTCCGCATTAACAGGTTCACAAACCCGCTTGCTGTACAGCCATCTCCTGGCCAATCCCAGCAGTACAATTGCTTAAAGATGCAACCATAGCTAGCGCGTCCCGAGCTGTCCCACATGAGTTTGAAGCTTCGTTCCGGAGGATACATTCTTTAAAGTTACAGTCAAGCGTATCATTATGACACTCTGTTAATGTCGTGATTTCACTCTCACACATTTTAATGTTCACGACAAATCAACCGGACAGTTGAGCAAAACATAGGTACTCGGTGAGGGTGGATATGTGACTGTCAGATATGCGACATTTTACAGTAGATTGAACATGAGAGTCATTTTGGGTTTTTATTTTGTCTGTATCTTCTTTTTAACGAAGGGCATTTGTGTTAACATTTGGTACTCGGATGGATTTCTCACGAACCTGTAGGAAGCATCAACCGTGACGGGTGAGCAATGCTTTCTGGGAAAGTAAGTATTTGGAAATGGTTGGGGTGAATGACTGGGAGACTGGGGTGTCTGTATACTGTACAGGATTCATTAAAATGATGACTTTAATAATCTGTTAATGCTGGAGGGGGTGTAATAATAGATTGGCAGATAAGGTATTTGCACAATACTAGACGGACACATCATTCTCTCATGGGATCTATAGACAATTTACTGTGGACCATATCGTAAACCCACTGTCGTCTGCACTCCTTCAACAGAAGAGGAACAGCACAATTACACAAACTCTCCTGAAGCCCTCTTAGCGTGGCCAGCAGGACGTCGACAGCTACTGAGACTATATAGCTGCCATGCACAATAGAAGAGGGGAAACATGGGCTGACCCAGCACCTCTGACGTCCCCGTTGGAAATAGGTGGAGAGTCTAGAGGACCTCTTCAATGGTCCAAGTTCCCTGGTGGCCGCTGGCTCGGAGCCCTTCAGAGCCGTGGCCTACGACGGCGTGACGAGTCGCCACAAGCTGCCGGGGCTGGCAAAGGTGGCTCGTGGGCCGGAGCCGTCGGCCACACCCGGTGAGTCAACCTCTCACCTTTGTCGTTGTCATCGGCAAGGTCAATCCAGAGGTCGTCGGTTTAATGTGTTCCTCCGGCGTGGCAGTTGAAGCAATGGGACAAGTTTCTTAAATTCCCCCTCCCGCCAACACCTGCCTCTGTCCAACCTAACAGTATGTGTAACAACACAATTAGTCGATCGGCAGGTCGTGTGTAAGCGAATATTGCACGGTTCCATCATGATCAACATCATCGGTCATCATCAATTCATATGGATGAAGGGCTTCACAAGCTGCCTTCATCTGTCAAGATTCCACACACGAGCTGAGTTCATCACTGATCTGGTTCCGTGGTGGATATTCTATTGGACACGTTCCATTCCTTGGCTGCCACTCCAGGGAAAGTTTCAACCGTGTGAAGGGCAATATAAATAGTAAATGATGATGACTATATTTGTCTCTATCTCTCTGTGTCTCTCTTGTCCATCTGCATCTGTCTTTGTGACTGTCTCTGCCGCCTTTCGTTCCAAAAAAGCAAACTTTGGTCTTGAGGCGAGCAAGAAAGTAATTCACCCACGGCTACCATCGAGCCGCCACTCCAGGTATAGCTTCTCTATCGCCTCGGACCGCGTGTATGGCAATGGAGACTCCTCAACAGCAAGCCTGGTCTCTTCGGTCAGTCGGCTGGCTGCCAAGGATCACCACCAAGAAGACCACCACCACCTGCCACATGGCCATACAGCCGCCAAAGTGCGGCGAACCGACAAACCGTCGGACGTGCGCAAGCAGATTCGAGTGAACACCGATGGCAGCATGACGGTGGAGATGAACGTGCGCCTCAATCTGGAGGAGGAGGAGACCGTGCGCTGGGTCACCAACATCAGCCGTGAGAAGAGCGGGGCCGAGCGCCGCGTGGGACAGGCGGTCACCAACGAGGGCTACGGCACGGACGACAGCATCGGGCCAATGGGAGACGACGGCTCGGTCACCATTGCCTGCTGTGACGACGACGATGAAGTTGATGATGACGACGGCGGTGACGATGAGATGCAACGCAGGAGACGGTGCTTCGAAGGGAAGTGCCCACCAATGGAGAATCTGTTCGGGGTGAACGCGAAGCGGCAGGTGGTGGACGAACTGCAGAGGGCGGCTCTCCAGCAAGGCGGTGATGCGTACGAGGGGTGGCACAATGATCGCGCCGATGACGCTGAGTTTGACAATGATGGGAGGAGCTCTTCCTTCACGTCGAAGAACGAGCGCTTTTCCTTCTTCACGGTGGCTGAGGGAGAAGTGAAGGAGCGGCGGTTTGATTCATTGCCGATGATGAGCATGGCGCCAGCAGCGACAAACGTGTCGGTGATGGCAATGTGCAACGACGTGCTGGAGTACTGTACCACGAGCCGGTGCAGTACGCACAGCAGCAGCTGGTCGTCGGTCAGCTCTAGGCGGCAACCGCGCAAAGAAGGAGCTGACAGAGGAAGTGGAGTAGGAGGTGAAGAAGATGAAGAGGAAAGAAAAGCAATGGAGCTGCGCGGGGAGGTGGTCGGTTCCGATGGAATCTCTTGTGTTGATGACGATGGTGGTGGTGGCGGCGGTGGTGCTTGTGGCGGCAATGGTGGTGATGGTGATAGTTGTGATGGTGGCGAAAGCAGTGATGTCAGTAGGGGAAATGAAGGCGGTGCGGGGTCACTCCAAGGGTCCGAACGCCCTCCCAGTGGTGGCTCTGATGCCACGACCCTCGCCTCAGCTGATGTGACCGGTGAGATGGACCCAGCGTCAGTGATGTCAGCTGAGCCAGAGCTGGACAGTGCGAGTGCAGCTGCAGATGGCGAGAGGGACTCGGGTGGCCATGTGTCCATCGATGGTGAGTTGACCCTCGTGCATGACCCTAGGGATATTCCATCATCCCTCATTTCCTCTCAGTCAAAGGACTCGCACCTTGGGGACAAAGTGGCGTGTGGATTGCTCTCCCGTAGCGAACGGCCCACAGTCATGAGTCCTGCGCTGTCAACTACCTCCAAATCTAAAGCACGGTCAAGAGGAGGAGGTGGTGGAGGAGAAAACATGATGCCCAGACCCAGCTCAAATCCCAGTCTGAACTCCAGTCACCGCAGCCACCGCAGTCGTCGTTCGGCTGCGTCCACTGACCAGAAAGGGCGAGGAGAGCTCTTGGCAAATAATTGCCACCCTTCGCACAGAACGAGCAGCATCCGGGAGGTAAGTGATGATGGCGCACGCTCTACGGTGCAATGCGAGGAGGGGGAGGTGGGGAAGGAAAATGACGACGACAATGGAGAATGTTCACATACTTCCCCCTGCAAGCTCAGCGATGCCGGATTTACCACACCAGCCACGAGGTCCGACAGAGGCCAAGCTCGAATGGCGACTCCACGGATCGAGTGCCACAGCGGCAGCACGGGGGGGTCAAAGGCATCCTCACTGTTGTCTGAGAGCATCTCCGCAAGACACTCTCAGACAAACCAAGAGAACGATGGGGAGAAGAGCTGCGACGGGCGGCGAAAAGCACCCTCTTCCCACAGCTCCGCGTGGTCAAAGAGCTACGAGGAAGGGTCTCCCGGCCCAGCGTCGCTGAAGGTCGTGTCAAGGCACAGCAAAAGCGGCGTCAGTGGTACCATCAGCAGGGCTGCTTCTTCCGTATCCTCCGCTGATGGTCCCTCGCTGGTCCCCGTTCCCCCTCATGGGAGGGGGAGCCACAGCTCGCAAGCTCAGACCGCGGGGAGCAGCAGACGCGACCGGTTACGCGTCACCTCCCGCAACAATTCCTCGATGGCAATGGTGCCTGCGCGCTCACTCAAGGTGTCAGGGAGGGAAGACAGGAGCAGAGCATCATCAGATGGATCCAAGTCGAGGCCGGCTTCCTTGGGCTCCAATTCGAGGTCGGAGCTGGATGGAAATGCAGGCACCGCCGTCACGAGGCGATCCCGTGATTCGGGCTCGGTGAACGAGATTGAACGCACTGACTCCCAGCTTAGCGAGGCGCTCGTTTCGCAACTCACAGACCTCCCCGAGGAGTCTCCGGAAGACGTTGTCCGCAAATGGCTAACGAGGATTCCGTCAAGAGCCAGCACGATTCAGGATGATTTCTTCACAGACTTAGATTTGATTCCGGAGGAAGAGCATGGCGGCGGTGCTGCTGTTGCTGATGCCGATGCTGGAGCAGAGCACGAAGGTGACCTGGGACACAACGCCACACCTTTCGAGAGGAATGGAGAAACGGGCATGCTATTGCAACCGCCAAGTGACGATCAAGACGAGAGATCTGCTTCCGAGACACAGGCAGAGGATAACAGAGATTGGAGTGTGCTCCACGATTCCGGAAATTGCAGGCATTCGTCAGAGAAGGAAAATGGCATTAGGCATGTTAGTGAGCAGCAACTCCGCCTCAACAAAAAACTCTTCCGGCTTCTCAAGCAGCTGTTCAGGAACCAGCTGTCACATCCAGAGCTGAAGAAGTCGAACAGCATGCCCGAGTTAACGGATGAGTCTTGGGCGTTGCGCAACCAAAGCATGGCTATCAACATTGCAGTGTCACTGCTGTCTTCCCTGGAGACAACTTCCAATGAGGACGAAGCCAGCACGCCGTTTGTTCCCCTCACCGACGTCGCTCAGCGCCTTCGAAAGTTGGGTCCCGGCAGCAGCGACAGACACAGATCTCTAACCTCTGAGCAACTCCTGCACCTTCGGAAGCTACTCACTTCTCAGATGCATGGGAGGCGCAAGCAGATGGAGTATTCGAGCGTGGCAGAGGGGCAGGTGGAGCCTGAAGAAAAGAAAGGGTCCACTTTGGTTGAGGAGAGTGGCGACTGCGGGAGGCCAGCAGTGTGCAACGATAACGGCTACGGCTCCAACAACGGGAACAAGAATGGAGATGGCGAGTCCAAGAAAGCCCTCGATGATGATGGTGATGGCCATCAAGAAGGTGTGGTGGATGAGGAGGAAGAGGCTAACGAGGACGAAGGTTCCCATGTCTTTAACGGTGAAGCAAATGCAGACATGAATGGTTATGGTTCGAATGGAGAAGTTGACGATGCTGAAGGAGTCGTTTATGAAGAACAGAGTGAAGGTGATGAGGGGAAGCATGAAGATGATGAAGAAAGTGACGTGGCTGAAGATAAACGGAGGCTGGAAAATGGAGGTGATGACGTGGCGATGGAAATTAACGAAGATGTCTCGCAAGGAGGTGATGAAAAAGCTGGAGAAATGTGTGAAGAAGATGAGGACATCATTGCCGATGAGGCTCCTAAAGAGGAGGCTGGGATTGAGGAAATTGAAGAGGGTGGAGATGATTTTGAAGCAACAGGTGAGAGGGAAGTTGAGGCGGTAGAGGTAGGTATCAGCAGCAGCAGAAGAAAAAGAGGAAATGGCGGTGGCAGATTGTAGCAGTGCTGTTGCCAGTGAGGGTACAGCTGTTGATGAAGGTACGGAGGATGGGAGCGATTGTGAGGATGATGCGGCAGAAAACGGTGACGAGGGCGAAGATGTGAGCATAAAAGACCCTCATTCGGAGCACACGGTTGGGGAGGTAGCTGAGGGTGAAGCAGATGAGACGGGGGCGGACAATGACGTTCAAAACGAGGCGGAGGTGGAAATGAACGACAACACCTCACAAGCCAACGGTAAAACAGAGGACGGAGAGTCGGAGGCATGTGACTTTGAACAAAATGCAAAAGATGACGAGGCAACTGAGAAGGAGATGTCGCCTGATGAGATGGGGGAAGACGTTGATGACGTTGAAGCAAACAGTGAAAAATACGGTGGGGAAGAGGAGTGTACAGCAGAGGATGAATTGGCGCCTGTCAATGGAGATGAAGATAAACACGAAGAAGTAGATGAAGAGGGAGATGCAGGTACTGGAGGAGAAGATGATATCGCAGATGAAGTGGTAGTGGATGAGAATGTCGAAGATGAGGTAGGAGGTGAACACGATGACTTGGAGCAGGATGCTGATCCCAACAACACAGCATGTGTAGACGAAGAACAAGATGAACAAGTATATCGAGAAGATGAACTGGAGGAAGAAGAAGAAACTAAGGAACAACCAGAAGCACAAGAACATCAGGAAGAAGTGGAACAAGAAGATGGTCAACAAGTGCAGGAACAGGAGGAAGAGATACAACAAGTTGAGATACAAGAAGAATCTCAACCAGAAGACCAAGAAGAAGAAACACATCAACAACAAATAGAAGAGGAACGACAACAAGAAGAACATGGTGAGGAAGCAGAACAGGAAGAACATCAAGAGGAATCGAAAGAAGTTGAATTAGAACATCTCGAAGAAGCAGAAGAAGAAGATCAACAAGAAAATATTCATGAAGGAGCCGAACAAGAGCTGCAAGAAGAACAAGAACTGGAAAAAGCAAAGCAAGAATGGGATGATCAAGGAGAAGAACACGAAGTCCAAGAAGAAGAAAAACAGCATCAAGAAGAAATGCATGAAGAAACAGATGGAGAAGAAAATCAGGAAGAAGAGGACACAGAAATTCCTGATGCTGAAGACACGGGCGAGTGTGGTGAGACGTGTTCTAAATCGGAATCATGTCCGGTTGATAATGAGGATGGTGCAAATGAAGATTCTGGTGGAGATGCCAGTAAGTCAAGTTGCTCAGAAGATACATTGAACAACGACAATGCAGAGGATGCAGTCGAGGAGAAGGCTGCTCCAGAAACTAGCCTCGATAATGACGAACAGATGGCCACTGAGAATGAGGAGCAAGTGGAAATGAATGACGAGAGCAGCATCCATGACGAGTTGAGTGAGAGTGATGCTGAAAACGCCTCTCGTCCAGAGTCTGCAGGGCCTGGCACGCCCACACTCCAGGAGGAGGATGGAAACCAGGAGGATGGGAAGGAGGTCGATAATATCGTCCAAGAGACATCAACATCGGCGAGTGACTCAGAGAAGGCTCACAGCGACCACGGCGAAGAGAGCGCAGACGGTGATTCTTCCACAGAGGCAGAGGGGGACCTTGAAGATGCGTGCACTTCAGTAACGGCGGTCGAAGAGCGGCAATGCGTGTCATCGACACCGCAGCCTCGTGATGCTGGGAGGTGTAGAGACGTGGGGACTCAGGTGAGCCTGGATGAGGATGAGGCTTCTAGGAGGTGGAGGCGCCTGGCCTCTTCACATGCATTGGGTGAAGGACGAGGAGGCAGCACTGTCCCGACGCCTCCTACTCCCGACATTGCATCCCGCGTCTGCTGGAGCAGAAATGAGAGCACCGATATGCCGCATGAACATGAAGTCGTGGAAAACCCGGAGCGAACGCTGAAGAATCAGCAGCCGATGGACGTCCTGTCAGCCGCGGAAGACAGTGACCCGCAATGGATCATCAGCGAGAATTACCTGCGGCGACGTGCCTTGCCTCAACAGTGCGTCGGAGAGCTGGACACGACCTCGGGAGAAACCTCGGATGAAGCCAAATACCTGAGGCTCAATCGACCGCTCCAGATGGATGACATCTCCTCCAGTGAATTAGAGGACACACTCAGCCCTGAGCCGTGCTGTAACTTCTACCGGGAGCCGCACGGCACCGACTCAGATCCCTTCCCGAGTGACGCGTGCAGTTTTGACAGCTTGAAGGCGGCAAAACTTCCCGCAGGGGAGAAAACGGCCTCAGCTTCAACTGACCACCTAGGGAGCGTTCGCTCGGAGACTCCAGCTACAGAGAAGTTTGTGGAAGCGACGGACAGACGTGCCTCCTTGATGAGTGAAACAGCAGAGGCAGGCAGTGATGAAGGCAGGAGCCTGGCGGCTTGCGGCAACTACTGCACCATCCTCACAGCTCTGCAGACGGACGAAGGGAGGCTCTTTTCGCCCTACAGAAAGGTGTTTGACCCGAGTGACCCCTGGGTGGTGCATTTGGTCTGCTCCCTGGAGCGGCAGTGCATGGCCCAGTGGCTCAATGTGCTGGAGGACGCAAAGACTCGATGGGGCATGGAGGGCGAGGAGATCAACGAGATCATCCTGGAGGTGAAGCGAGATGCGCAGAGGCGTATCAGACGCGGCATCTTGGCGGAGCTCGAGAAAATCAAGATCAGCATCATGGGGAAGGTGCCACAAAAAGTCGGCGGTTCAATGGTCGAGAGCGTCGCATCAAGGATGTTGAGGAAGAGCTCGCCTGGAATTCTGGAGGCACAGTCGCGGAATCTAGCCCACGTGATTGCGGAGCTGAATCAAAAACAAGGTCACAACAACAATGACAACAACAATGGCAACGGAAAGAGTGTGAGTATCGAAGGTGACCCGTCTACTCTGAGGGTGACTGAAGAAAATGTGTACGCGACATTCCAGATCCCCCAGATTATAAAGGAGTTTGACCTAAAGTTGATTCTTAACGCTGATGCCGCAGCGCCAGGGGGAGATGGGGACCTGGATGACAACAATGGAAACCCAGGCAATGCCGATCAGGAGGATGAAGATCACGAACTCTTGTCTCAAGGGCATGTGTCTACAGCACTCAACGGTGAGTCTCTCGTCGGCACTGATGCGGAATTTGCCGACAACGAAGCCACAGAGGGACAGAGTGAGTCGGCTTGTCAAGACTATGCGGATGGCAGCATCGAAACCGAAGAAGCGGAAAACTGCGTCAATGAGGTTGCAGGAGACGAAGAGGTTGAAGCTGCAGCTCACATCAATGGAGAGGAAGTTTTGGAAGCAAGGGAATGTGAAGGTAGCCTTCCGGAAAGTGCCACAGAAAATGATAATGATCGCGACAATGACGGTGATGACAGTGATGGAGCTAGGGAAGAAACGGCCATTAAAGAAGCGGAGACCGGTGGTGAAAATGCTGAAGCGGATTTGACTCTGGAGGATGAACTTCCCGAAGACTCTGAACAGGATCCACAAATGGAAGCATGCGAAGATTGTGAGGAAGAGGTGCAGCCAGAGAGTAGTGAAGTTAATGATGGCAATGAGAAAGAGGAAGGTGGTTCTGGAGAAAGTGACGAAGAAGATGCAGGGGAAGTTGCAGTGCTGAACAAAGATGAACTGGACATGGCGAATGGCGGTGTTGAAGATGGAGAGGCTGGTGATAGTGATGCAGGGAGTGGTGTTGGGCAGGAAAATGCAGATGAAGACAACGTCAAGGAGGGAGACGAAGTAGAACCACAAAGTGAACACGGAGCTGCAAGTGACCAGGCAGACGGCAGTGAAGACGCAGACATGAGTCAGGGTGATCACGCGAAGGAAAGTGAAACAGGGGAGGACGATGTGAGTCAGGAAATGGCGCGTGAAAAAGATGCCACAGCTGACGACGACAACGAGGTGGAAAATGGTTCAGGAGAACAAGACGAAGAGGGCGAGGAGGAGGACGTTGACGGGAGTGGCGGTGACAGTGGCGAGGGAGGTGGATCGAATCAGGATGTACTGGATCCACAAAGCGGTGCTGAGGAAGAAGGCGGCGGAGGTGATGATGAAGTTGGGGAAAATGTCAGCGGGGATGAGGGTGATGCAGAGCATGCGCAGAAAGAGGCAGATAATGGAATTGCTGAAGCTCAGGGTGAAGACGAACGCATAGACGCAGATGACGCTCTGGAGCAGGAAGATGCCAACGAAGGTGGTGATGACTGTGATGTTACTGGAGACGAAGGTGGCGAAGAGGAGGTGGGAACCAATGCCAAAGAAGAAGGAGATGAGGAGGCAGCGATGTCGGACGAAGTCTCGCAAAACGGCAGCGCGCCTGAAGAGGAAGATTTGCAAAATTGCGACCAAGATGACGACACGAGTGGTAGCTGTGAAGCCCCCAAGGAGAACGTGGTAGACGAAAACGAGGGGGGGGAAGATGAGGGTGAAGCAGCAATCGGAGATGAGGAAGAGCCTGTAGCTGAAGACTGTGATGGTAGCATTGGCAACGATGGGGACCATGATGTCGCTGAAAACAAGGGGGTTGGTGATGATGATGATGATGGACACGATGAGGGTGATGACGTGGAACCAGAGGGAGTTGAAGGGGATAATGTGGAAGACAATGAAGATGTAGGTGAAAATGTGGAGGAGAGTGATGCTGGTGCGAATCAGGCGGGTACCGAAGAAGACGCTGAAAAGGAAGACGATTTGCAACAGGATGAAGAGAACGCTGAGAGCACGGAGGATGTGGAGGCGGGGATGTCGAATGAAGAACCGCGCGAGGAGGACGGTGAGGCTGGTGTTAGCGTAACGTCTGATGAGGCTTGCGAGCAAAGTGAGGAAGTGCGGGAAGAGAACGAGGTGGTTGAGCACAATGGGGTGAGTGAATCCAACGGAGAATCGAGTCCCGTGGCGGAGGACGAGAATGCATTGCGACACACAACAGACAATGACGGGAAGGAAGACAGCAGCAGAAATGGGGAGGAAGAAACTTCTTTAGAGGGCGAAAGCAAAGAGGGTGAAGACCAAAAAGTGGAGGCCGAGGAGGAGGAGGAGGCCAACGAAGAAGACACCGACGTTGGATCTTGTGACAGCAGCACGGCGGTGAAGGGTTCCAGCAGCTCGTCGCAGGGAGCGGAAGAGGCCGGAGCCGTGCATGCTGATGAATCGGAGGGGACAGTTGCTGCCTGCGGAGGAGCCGCGTGCGTGAGCGGGCGTGCGCGTCGTTCGAGGTTCTCGACGAAGAGCATCGCCGGAGAGGAGCAGTGCGTGGACGACATCGATGGCGATGATCTAGATTTCTGAGCTGCCCATTGCGTAGATGTTGGCGATGTTTCAGGTGACGTTCATGAGGTAAGGTGTGCCAAGCAATGGTGGAAGTCGCATCTCTTCTTCTTCTGCTTTTGAATGAATGGTCGAACAAATGAACGGCCATGTTAACTTGAGTTATGAGTAGAACCCGATAGAAATGACACTATAATCAGCACGACAGTGTAAGCCATGTGTCTTGCAGAAACACTTAAACAGCAATTTAGCACGGACCCTAAGCACAATTCTATACGATTAATAGTAACATTACTCCAAACATTGGTTTTAGCCATGGTTATAACCATTACCCTAAGTATAAGTCTCACTACAATCTAAACATCATCCCCAACATTTACCCGAACCGCAGTCCTAGCTTTGACCCTATCTATAATGCGAACCATCACATTAATTCCCAACCCATAATCCCACCCCAAACTGATCCTCACTCGATCCTAGCCCCGCACCAACCCTAACATCAGCCCCAACACGAACGCCTCCCAATCCTAAGGCAACATCCAACTCCTCACCCTGGCCCTAACCCGAACACAACACTATGTCTCCTTACACCAATCCTAACGCAATCCATAATCCCATCACTAACCCTGACCACAACTGTAGCTATACCATGACTTAAAACCTTGTTTATATGAATGTGTATTTTAAATATATGTACGTGAAACCCTAATGGAAAAAAATTGTGACCCAATAATTTTAAATCAGTCAGGCGTGCCATTGCAATGTTCCAATCGAATCGCAATGCATGGGAGCAGAGCTGGGCTGTCCAATAATGTAAATAACCAATTACTCTATCGATTATAATTGATCAAGTAATTGGTTACTTGCCAATTACTCGATTATTGGTTACAATACTTGACCAATCAGATAATATAAAAAAAACAGTTGGGAAAGTGTCACTTCTGTTCCCACGTGTGCCCCTGGATGGGAGGTGATGGGCTGGGCTTGATGGCGTCATGAGAGCATTAACCGTGTCACGCTGGGTGTGGCTTTCCTACCTTCAGGTTGGCCATCATTTCTTAAGAGGCTCCAGTAATCAACCACAAAAGAGTAAGTAGATTACAACTCTCTCAACTGAATCGGCGAATTGTCCCAGCCCAAACATGGAAGTGACGTCACTGGTGTTCCATAATGACACACTCGAATATAACTTTGAAGTCTCTTTTTTTCCTCATGTTTTTATTCATGTGGGACAGCCTGGGACACAGGATCTGGGTGTGCAAGTCCGAGAGAGACAGTTATTGGATTGTATCTCACTCCAAGCACTCTTTGCATGTTTCATTACTGCACAGGACTTCACATATCCGCCCCCACCAAATAACGTCCTCACCAATGACAGTACTGTATATGTCCTGGTGTAACCCTTTTAATTTTTGTGGATATTCACAAATCCGACCTTTTCACATATCCCCAGCGCAATTGTGCTCAGCTAGCTAAAGCAAAGGTTCTGTAAACCGCGTATTATGTGAACCTGTATGCATCAAGAAACGCAACAAGCAAGAAAGACGTTTGAATGTAAAACTCTCAAATCCGGAGGGTATCCCTGCTGAAATGAGAAATGGGAGCGATGGCTCATCTCTGTTGGCGGTTCGAAACCAGTGGCAAAGTGGTTGTATTTGTGACCCAGAAGGGATGGTGGGCTGTTCTGACCCCCCCCAACCCACGACTTTCATGATTGGAGGTCGATCGTTCGGATATAAACTGAATGCCGCGCTGCTGATGTGAAATGTCTGAATGCTTGCATGCGAGCAATGTGTGTAGAATATGGTGTACTGTATTTGATTTGATTACTTGAATGTAAATCGCTTCACCTTATCCATTCGCGCGCAACGACACCGTGCACCGTTTGCATATTTCGCCACCATTATTAGCAAACATTGCCTCGGAACTGAAAACAAATCTAACTCAGGATCATGTTCGAGGTAATGACCTTCCTCAGAGCAGACTCAATCCTTACTGCTTCTCCCCCCTCCTTCGTCTCGCTCCACTCCGGTTTACGCTCTCTCCGCTCCATCAACCAAGGCCTTCTGTCAAAGCGGCCAGCTATCATATTCTTAGGTTTTTTTCGGTAAAGTCACGTAGGTAAAAATTTAAATTAATAAAAGTAAAATAAAAATAAAATAAAAATCACGACGTTTCGGAGGCAACACAAGCTTCCGTCTTCAGGTGGAACCGTCACAGCACGATTGCTGTATCAAGTAAGACTCTTACTTAAGACTCTTACTTAACTCTTACTTGATACAGCAATCGTGCTGTGACGGTTCCACCTGAAGACGGAAGCTTGTGTTGCCTCCGAAATGTCGTGATTTTAATTTTATTTTTATTTTACTTTTATTAATTTTAATTTAATTTTTTTCCTACGTGACTTTACCGAAAAAACCTAAGAATATGAATCCCTGCAGTCACGAAAACTTCAAATCGAGATTACTCCTCGCTTCCCACCTGGTGTCTATAATTCCCTCCGGCAGCCATCCATGCTGTCAACTCCCCGCCCCTGTTCAAGTCCAAGACCATCCTCTTCTCCCCCTGTGTATGTGTGAAATATAAGACGATTAAATATCAATCAGGAGCAATGTATCCTTGCTTATGATTGATAACCCACTGCCGCCCCTGTCCACCCAGCACGACGAATGGGTGCACCGCAGTTGATCGGCAAGTTGCGTGCGGTGGGGTGAAGTGGTGGGTATACCCACCACTTCCAGGATGTCTTGCCAGTGTGGAAGAGTAGGCCAAGTTACACCTGAGAGAGGAGGCCCTTCTACCAGCAGTGACGCGAGCGAGCAATTGCAGGTCTGCGCCTTTACCTCTCCATAACCTTTGTTTGCACGAGTTTAAAAATTCTGCCTTTCCTCTTGGTCTCCCTGCTCCGAGGAAGGGCTGTCACCTGGAACGTCGCACGCATCGTCTTTTTCTGTTTACAGTGAGGCAGTGTTTGTTGTTGTTAATGAAGACGGCGGTGAAATGTCTTCACCCACACGTCTTCACAGCACGGCCGTCGCAGCCCCGGAAAACCACGTACACACGTCCATACATCAACACATTCACTCACTCACGTACGTATGTGTATATATATGTGTACAGACGTGATTGTGGATGACTTCTTGTGAAATAGATAAACAGACAAGGTTCTCTTTCGTTGCCAAACAAAAATAAAAACTACATTTCAGATCCCAGTGGCCAAGAAAAATCTCGGCCCGGCAGAATTTGAGCAGGAATACGCGAGTTACCCGGGGCATTTGATCGATGTGCTACTGCACACTGCTGATGAGACTCGCAGAAGACGAAGCCAGCTCACAGTTCGCCTGCGTAGATAGGCTGATGCTGGGAAATATTGATCAACGAAGCCCAAAGGCTGAGGAGGTGCATCTTATGATGAAGGGTTGCATTGTACTATCCACTTCAGTCGGATGTGTGTGTGCATGTTCGCGTGCCATGCTACGAACCCGGTGACCCGAGGTTCGATTCCTGCTCACGGCTACCGCCAGTGACGATTATCTGAATCGTTCCTGCGCCTCCACCTAGGTCGACTCGGCCTCAAGTGAGTACCCGGTATGGTGTGTAAACATCGTGTGCCGTGCCAGCAGCCATCGTAGGTGCTCGCTAACAGCACTTGTCTGTTAAGTCTATACGGGGGATCTTTGTTTGCGTCTTATTTCCGGAATTTATTTCTTAACTGGGGAATATGGTTTTGTTTAATTAGACATTTGGTCAACCAAACAAACCCCTATCAGTTTATTTGATACATATATACATATACTCATACACAGCTATGCGCTAATGCACTTTATATACAGAGTAGAGTAAGAGCTACCGACTTTTTCAATAAATTAATGCTCGGATGCAGCCGATAGTGAATTATCTGAGTCTTTGCTCACAATGCCGTGTACAATCTGATGCCGTTATCATAATAGTAAAGCACGTGTATCGTCTATTTGTAGGTTTGTTATTAAATGTGTTACTCTGTTAGATGATGTGAAATCAATCAAAATTATCTTAATCAAATCAAGCCGCCGATAGTTCGATCTCGTGATGTGGAACGAGGATGCTGTATCCGATGAGACGGTGGTTCTGCATTGGATTTAGCGAGGGTTGTGTGTTGGATGTGACGAGATTTCTGGATCCAATGAGACGATGCTGTACTGGATGTGAAGGGTGTTCTGTATCAGCAATACAAGGTTTTTTTTCTTTCGCACAAAACAAGTTCACAATACAATAAAATAAGAAAAGCACAATTCAAAGCAGTCAAATTTAAACCGGTTTATCTGAAATGTATTTTCTTGTGAATCTAACCTGGCTCTGGTAATCAACAATTCATTGCATAGAACATAGATTTTTACTCATCAGACAGTTATTTTACTTATCAGTAGACAAAGCACATGTATGCAAATATATTTCCGAATTAAAGCGACAATAGCGGTGTAATCATGTTACGCACACCAACGATGCAATAAAATTGTAACCTTTACCAACGTTTTGCCAAGTGTGCCTCAAATATTGCCGGCTTTTACACTATGAGACCTCCTTTACCAGTGGCAAAATATAGTAGTAGGTTTTTACCCTTTAAACTGGTACAAAACTGACACCTTTATACAAGGCATCATGTTTGCAATAACCACAACACAAGTAGTCAAAATGCAAACAAAAAAAAACAACTCTGTACGCCTTTTGGTGTTATCTGGTCCAACACCAATGGAGACTAGGCTCTAAGGACAGTGCATATTATTATCATTATCAGAGTTGTTTTTTTGTTTGCATTTTGACTACTTGTGTTGTGGTTATTGCAAACATGATGCCTTGTGTAAAGGTGTCAGTTTTGTACCAGTTTAAAGGGTAAAAACCTACTACTATATATTGCCGGCTTGTTTTCAATTGACGTGCCGCGTTTTGTATTTATTCGGAACGTCTCGCCGAGTCTCAAGAAACCGTTCACAGGAGAGAGATCCGACCGTGTGCATGAAGATGGATTGTGACATCGCAGGCCCATGAATGACGGGTGATGACATCCAGCAGTGGAGAGTGAAACAGGCAGATAATAAAAGTCACCCTTCTGGCAGAAGCTTGGGGCCAATTACAGTTGTACAGTGTTATTCGCGGTGATTTGCAACGACAATGTCGTAATTTAAACGAACAATGCTGCTGTAAAATGTGATTTACATTGTAGTATAATTTGGGCAGTTTTCTGGCTGTGCCTAGCCGTGAGGTCAACGCAGTGTGACCTCCGTCCGTGCCGCTCAAAAAACGAAGTGTGCGCGTTGTGGGGGCGCTTGCAAATCGCTTTAAAATCTCTTTTCTCACCAACGAAGCTTCGGACTCAGGTGGGACACCCCAGGAAGCACCGCTTCTGTTTTTTTGCGTTTATTTTGTTGTGCTTCCCCTGCACCGCCGATTGGCACGGTTGGCTACGTACGGTGCGAAAGAAGTTCAATGCACATACGTAGCTACAAGAGAAGAACTTTGGGTTACGCATCTCTCGTAACGCCACCAGGACGAGCGCGAATTCTAAGAGGCATCGCGCGACTTTTTAAAGCCTTTATATTAAGTTCACTTGCTTGCTTGCTTAGGACCGTGCAAATCTTTCGGTCGTTTTTTAACCCACTTCCCGTGATCCAATCGAGCTGACATTTTCCACACAGACTCATTGTGCGTGACAATGTTCGTGAAAAATGTTTTGCTAAATTTTACACTTATTAGGACAAAAATATTATATTTAATTACCAATTGCTTAATGCTGCCATGCAATCATCTGACCCATCGGTGGCAGCCATCTCAATCCAGAGGACGAGAGGACTCTAGCCGCCACGCATATAAAGTATTTATAGTGAAAAACTTAGTTTTTACGGGTTATACTTGTTATTGGCTAAGTCTGCCGAACAGGCTCGCGCATACGGGGGTAATGCTATTCCATTTGTCCAATGAAGACGGTGTTCCATCGTGTTTGTCCTACACTTGGCCATGCTGCATAACTCGACGTTCAGTGGATTTTCCTGCCAGTAGCTCAATGAGTGCTGTATTTCACCAGTAACGAGGTTACCTTACAATGTCTAAATGTAGAGCTGGGTGTAGTACGGTTTGTAGAGCATCGGTGCTCTTCCTTGTTTTGAGAACCTGAGTTTCAGTCCTCATGGCCAGGGTCAATTTCACATCACCAACACCAGCACCACCACTAACAATGACGGCAAAACCACCATCGTCATCACCACTATGAAAGTTGCCGCCACCATTATTACGACCATTGTTACTCCCACTACTATAACCACCACTAACAAACAACGCCACCATCATAACCACCATTACTCTCGCCAAATAACCAAACACTATATCACTACCACCACAATTCATCTCTGTACCAGAACATCATTCATCAACCGTGCAATGTTTCATTGTTGCCTCTCCGATGTGTTTTCGGGTTGTTACCGCGTGTTGTTCAACACAACATCTGGCATTTCGCGACACGCGCCTCGAGTTTCTTCAAGAAATGAACTTAATTGGATGCCGAGCAACGCGCGGTAGGACGTGGAAACACATCGGACCATGTCAACGGACAGCAGCAGCACCGTGGGTTTGATTATTGTGAAATGGCACGTCCAAACAGCATCAGATAAGTGTACTGTATAAGAGCTTTACGGATAAAGGCACAGTAATCCGATGGACTCCGAGTCATGACATTGCTGGGGACTCAAAGGGATGACCCCAAAGCTGCTTACCGAAATGCTTCATGCGCACTCAACATTACGCACAGAAGTCGCACATATCAAGATCCGCACGGCGCACGAGGGGGGGGGGGATGTAGCACCACGATGGCGAGATGTCAACTACCTTGCCTGGCATACAGGAGGTTGTGGGTTCGATCCCGACCCTGACCCTTGTATGTTTGGAGTTTGCGTGTTCTCCCCGTGGTCGCGTGGATTTTTCTCCGGGTCTGTGGCACCACTCCCCAAACGCATGCAAAGACCCTACATAGGCTGTTGGGGCAAGCGTTGCTAGCACAGTGTTAGCACTGAGAGGAATGATAGTGGTGCAGTGGACAGAGCACTGCTCTAGGAATCTGGCGACCTGGGTTGGATTCCCAGCCTCGGCAAACATCAGCGACGAGCAGAGCCGTCCATAGGGGGGTGCGGGGCTCTCCCCGGCGCCTTAAACTAAACCTGAAGTATTACATCTGACATTGTGACGTCGAAGCGCAGGACCCCACCCCCAAAGTGCGGGGCCCGGGGCTGTCGCCCAGGTGACGAGTGATACCAGCAACGTGTGTAAAAATCGGCACCGGGGAAGCAAAGACGGCCTTCAAGGGTGGTCACGAGAGTATATAAAGTAAACCCATGTTTCTTATACCCTGCACAGACTATTGGGGCAATTCCTGTAGCAAGCACATATGAATGCCGACACGGTACAAGAGGGTGTAGGTGGCCAGAACAACGCCCGGCTGCCTTTGTCTCCCCAGTGTTGGTCTTTACACACTGCACCATGTACTCATTTGAGGCTGATGGTTGGTGAACCTGTGCGAACCGTGGAGAACTCTGGGTTGGGCAGGCGTCATAGTGACGTTGGAGAGATGCCCGCAAATAGCAAGAGAATAAACAATAGTGATATAGTAATAGGGTTTTACCCTTTCAACTGGTACAAAAACTGACACCTTTATACAAGGCATCATGTTTGCAATAACCACAACACAAGCAGTCAAAATGCAAACAAAAAGAAACAACTCTGATAATTTCATGGGACCTCTTTTGCCAGTACCAAAATATACTAATAGGGGTTTTCCCCTTTTTTCTGGCAACACAACTGACACCTTTTGCAAGGAATCATGTCTACATTAACCACAATACCTGTAGTCAAATGCAAACAAAAACAACACTCTGGTAATTTATGCATTGTCTTTGAAACTGATTGGTCCACACCAGAGACAGCTTTCTTTGGAGCCTCGTCTCATATGGTGTTCGCCTTTTGGCGTCATCTAGTCGAACACCATATGAGACGAGCTCCAAAGAAAGCTGTCTCTGGTGTGGACCAATCAGTTTCAAAGACAATGCATAAATTACCAGTGTTGTTTTTTGTTTGTATTTGACTGCAGGTATTGTGGTTAATGTAGACATGATTCCTTGCAAAAGGTGTCAGTTGTGTTGCCAGAAAAAAGGGGAAACCCCTATTAGTAAACTCTGATAATGATAATGATATGCACTGTCCTTGAAGTTGATTGGTCCACACCCGAGACAGCTTTTCTTAGACCAACAATGGCATGTGAATGCACGTATTGCAATAGCCCCCTAGGTTGTCTTTGGGGGGGCAAGGGGGGGTTCTGATGTTCTGTTAGGGGTGGTAAACACCCCCTTAAAGGGGGGGGGGGTATCTACATAAAAATATGTAAGCAATCTATGTGTAGTGTTGTTTTACTACCTTGCATGCAGTATCGTGACAGGACGCGATTACTATTCCGTATATACAAGACTGCTTAATATACAACTTTCCAAATGCACCATCTGCCACGATCTATACACTTGTGGGCGAGGCTGGCCCCTTCCTCCCCCGAGCAGTTCGCCGTCTCTCGGGGTCTTGCTATTGCAAGGATCCGCGTGGATCCCGCAACTCGGATCGACTTCATCGCTCATCTCGGCAAGTTGGAGACGGGGCGGGGGGGGTGATTGATGTCCTCTCGCGCGTGTTGGCTCTTCCTCTGCTGCCACCTGCCGGAAGCCCTCTTCCAACACCATCGCCCCGTCATAAGCTCTCGCCATAAGGGGCCGTCCATAAATGACGTCACGCACCTAGGGCGGGGGGGTGGGTCAGACATTTGTTACGATGTGTGACGAGGGGGGGGGGGGGTTGAGAAATGTGACGTCACATCAAAATGCGCAACTTTAAATAAATATAGACAACACGTTCTACTTAATTAAATAGACTTTTTAATAAATGTTTTCTCCTACAACATCAGAGTGCAGCGCCACATTAAATACGCACTACAATGACAATAATTTAAAGCGATTTGAAGCATCTTTTATTTTTTGGGGGGGGGGTGGGGGCAGAGCTTTGTGACGTCATATTTGTGGGGGGGGGTGTCTGACTTTTTGTGACGCCGTGTGACGAGCGGGGGGGGGGGTCAAAAATCGTCAAAAATCGCGTGACGTCATTGTAGTGCGTATTTAATGTGGCGCTGCACTCTGATGTTGTAGGAGAAAACATTTATTAAAAAGACAATTTAATTAAGTAGAACGTGTTGTCTATATTTATTTAAAGTTGCGCATTTTGATGTGATGTCAAATGTCTCAAACCCCCCCCCCCCTCGTCACACATTGTCACAAATGTCTGACCCCCTTCTCCTAGATGCGTGACGTCATTTATGGACGGCCCCCTTATCAGTTCCCTACCTTATTACAGACCAATGCAGACCTTATTGGTCACCCCGTGCCCTTATAAATCTCAACGTTCATCCCACACAGTCCCATCACAAGGGACAAACACAAATAGACAATTAAAATACTCTTAGGTTTTTTCGGTAAAGTCACGTAGGTAAAAATAAAAATTATAGAAATAATAATAGAAATTATTTTATTAAAAAAAATAATACAAATTATAGAAATAATAATATAAATTATTTTATTTCTATTATTATTTATTATTATTCTTCTTTTTTACCTACGTGACTTTACCGAAAAAAAACCTAAGAGTATAAATCCTTGCAGTCACGAAAGCTTCAAATCTAGAAGAGACAATTAAAATGTTGCCCGTATTGAAACGGCTGTTCGCCGTATGGACCTAAAAACTCAATTTCCCTGTACAGGAACACGGATGAAGCGCATGGGTTCACGGCTGTGATTAACACTTTCTTTTTAAATCCACCAGAATAGTGCAATGCAATTACATCACAACTATTGGCATGACACGCGCGCTTATAGACACTACGCATTCATTCAAACAGCGTCACCACGTGGACGAAGCCGATTAACTTACCATTGGTGTGACTGCACACACGTGCGTGGTACAGTAACTGTAGTTTTGTCTATTTTTGGGGAGGGAGGTTATATAGTATCTATATTTACACGTAACCCACAGCCTTGTATATAATATAGTGGTTTGTTTAGCTATACGACGACACCGGTGACTTTGTATTCCATTCACAACGTAAATAATTTTCATTGGCTAAACATAACACTCTATTACTACTACAGCCAGTACATACTACCAGAGGTGGGACAAAGTCATTGTTATGCAAGTCCAAGTCGAGTTGCAAGTCTTTGTACATTTTGCCGAGTCGAGTCTGAAGTCATCAAATTCATGACTCGAGTCTGACTCGAGTCCAAGTCACATGACTCGAGTCCACACCTCTGCATACTACTGTAGTTACTGCTATAGAATCGATATTATTATCGAGTCTGTAGATATTACTCCTGTCAGTAGATACTACTATGGTCAGTAAATACTACTCCAGTCAGTAGATACTACTGTAGAGTCAGTAGATACTAGTATAGTCAGTGTATACTACTTTAGTCGGTAGTTACTACTATAGAGTCGGTAGATACTACTGTAGAGTCAGCAGATACTACTATAGAGTTAGTAGTTACTACTATACTGTAGAGTCGGTAGTTACTACTATAGAGTCAGCAGATACTACTATAGAGTCAGCAGAGTCAGTAGATATTCCTGTAAAGTCAGTAGTTACTACTGTAGGGTCAATAGCTATTACTATGCAGTCAGTAGATACTACTGTAGAGCCAGATACTACTATAGAGTCACTAGACACTACTGACTCTATAGTATGTAGGATGCATTTCTTTCTAGATTTGAAGCTTTCGTGACTGCAAGGACACGATCAGAGATATGACGTCATATTCTTAGGTTTTTTCGGTAAAGTCAAAAACATAAGAATATGACGTCTAATCTCTGATCGTGTCCTTGCAGTCACGAAAGCTTCAAATCTAGAATTAATACCCTCTACGGGGAGGAATTTCACCTATCTGTTAGAGTTTTTAACAGACGAGACAAGAAGTCACAGCTTCTCGAGACGCTGGCCTTCCTCAAGAGATGACCTACGTGACTTTACCGAAAAAACCTAAGAATATGTAGGATGTGTAGGAATATATGCCTATGGGGGTGGGGGGGGGTTAAAAATATTGTTTGAGGGGGGGTCGACAATTTTCGGAAATCTTTTATATCAACTATTTGCCCGCCACTTTCTATAACTTTTTGATTCAGGACTTCTTCCAGCCTCTTGTAATTGTGTTGTTGGACAGACAAAACGGAACGCCGGGCTCTCACAATAGCTTAGTACTTGTATATGTGTGTATGTTGTTTCTAAGACAAGTTTTGAAATATATTTTTCCCTCGCCCAACGTCGGGCACTTCCCGCTAGTAAGCGATATCATGCAGGATTTTTTTGTTATTATCTTCGAGCGTCTTTTTTTTATCCAGAGAAAAGTTATAGCGCAAGGCGCTTATCAACACTATGAATTGTACACGTACCCAAAAACACGTGGGGCCGCCGGCTTCCAAAGGCGGCGGTGGCACCGCGCTCTTATCCGCACTGCGAATTCTTAAACATCTTGGGTGGGCGGGGCTTAGGGGGGCGGGGCCTTCGCGAAGCGTGACGTCACGCCGCCTTATCCGCCCTACGGATTATAAACGCCCATCATCGCGGTTACGTCACGCCGCGCTTATCTGCACTGCGCTTTACAAACAGCGATTCATTCGTGTGCAACGGCCGAGCCGGTGCTGCTGCCCGACCGACGCGCTTTGCTCCGTTTTTAATATTCGACACGAAATACCACAAACTTTTATTTTCCTACTTTATGCGAGGCTTTAAAAAAAAATCTCAGGGCGCCGTATTGCGTCTGGTAACATTCGTTCTCAAAGAGAGAGAAGAAAACCCCCCCAGGGAGTATTTTGTAATAGTTTAAAAAGGAGATAAATTTGAGAGGCGCGAGTTTCGTCGCCGATAATCGAGGAGGAGGCGGAGGACGACGACCCACGTGGAGGGAGACGGCGAGAGGCAACAACAACTACCACCGCTGCTGCCAGATTCGACTTGCAGGGGCACAGAGAGAGAGATAGAGGGGGCAAGGCCGGTGAGAGCAAAGCGAAGCAAGGGGCAGGTTGGGGCTAGAGAGAGGTGTTATAGTGTGCGTGTGGGCAGCATTGTGTGTGTGTGGGAGAGCGGGTGGGCAGCATTGTGTGTGTGTGGGAGAGCGGGTGGGCAGCATTGTGTGTGTGTGGGAGAGCGGGTGGGCAGCATTGTGTGTGTGGGAGAGCGGGTGGGCAGCATTGTGTGTGTGAGTGGGCAGCATTGTGTGTGTGTGAGCAGCATTGTGTGTGTGTGGGAGAGCGGGTGGGCAGCATTGTGTGAGTGGGCAGCATTGTGTGTGTGTGAGCAGCATTGTGTGTGTGTGGGAGAGCGGGTGGGCAGCATTGTGTGTGTGGGAGAGCGGGTGGGCAGCATTGTGTGTGTGAGTGGGCAGCATTGTGTGTGTGTGAGCAGCATTGTGTGTGTGTGGGAGAGCGGGTGGGCAGCATTGTGTGAGTGGGCAGCATTGTGTGTGTGTGAGCAGCATTGTGTGTGTGTGAGAGAGCGGGTGGGCAGCATTGTGTGTGTGTGTGTGGGAGAGCGGGTGGGCAGCATTGTGTGTGTGTGTGTGTGGGAGAGCGGGTGGGCAGCATTGTGTGTGTGTGTGTGTGGGAGAGCGGGTGGGCAGCATTGTGTGTGTGTGTGTGGGAGAGCGGGTGGGCAGCATTGTGTGTGTGGGCAGCATTGTGTGTGTGGGCAGCAGTGTGTGTGGGAGCTGGTGGGCAGCAGTGTGTGTGTGTGAGCAGCATTGTGTGTGTGGGCAGCATTGTGTGTGTGAGCAGCATTGTGTGTGGGAGCTGGTGGGCAGCAGTGTGTGTGTGTGAGCAGCATTGTGTGTGGGAGCTGGTGGGCAGCAGTGTGTGTGTGTGAGCAGCATTGTGTGTGGGAGCTGGTGGGCAGCAGTGTGTGTGGGCAGCATTGCAAATCCCAGGGAGGGGGCTGGTGGTGGAAGATCGTAGCTGGTCAAGGCATCGATAGGTGAGGGGCTTTATCCCGCATCCGTTAGCAAGGAGGTGGAAAAGCAGAGGAAGCAGGGGGAGGGCGGCATTGGTGTGGGACTCGAGAGAGGAGAGAGGGAGAGAGAGGGGAAGAAGGGGCAACGAGGCGCAGGCAAAAGGCGGTGGTCTGTCGCGAGAGTGATCAGGAGGAGGAGTGGGAGCCATGGCCACGCTGTACCTGGAGGATGGCACTGCCCTGCCGGGGAAGCTATTCGGGGCCTCCAGGAGTGTGGCGGGAGAAGTCGGTGGGTGAATGCTGTTTTTGTGTTTCCTCACACACACATACCACACCAATTGAATTGTACACAAGTTAACGTTAGCTATTGTGTGTTACTTGCGTGAAGTGCCATACGAGGGGTGGCATCACCCGCCCGCATTGGCGAGCGTGGTGAATTATGGCAACCCTCAGCGACGCAACCATGAGTTAATTTTCATCCAGCAGTGGATTGATACAATGGGGTTTTTAACGTAAGTTCCACTGACGACGGTCCGATAGCTTGCCGCGGGTGGCCGTGGCACGCGTGGCATCCGAACCTGTGTTGGGTCTCTGCACTGAGCGCCTTCTGAATTAATTAGCATTGGGAGACAAAGGCGGCCGGGCGCGTGGTGGTTTCGACCACACCGACTCCACCGCCACCACCATTGCCACCACCACCACCACCATTGCCACCACCACCACTGCCACCACCACTGCCCCCTCGTCGTGTCCGGGTTAAGCGCGCTGCGCTACGAACCCGGCGGCCCGAGTTCGAGTCCCACCAGTGACGATTATCTGAACCGGTTCTGGGCCACCCCTGGGTCGACTCGGCCTCAAACGAGTGCCTGCTGGTGCGGTGTGTCGTAAAGATCGCCGCTGGGGAGTCATAGGCTGCCGGCCGTGGTGCTGGCCACCCACCCCCTCGTGCGCTGTGCCGGCCCTTAATAGGTGCTCGCAAACAGCACTTGCACTAACCGGCTGGTCATTCTATACGGGGAGGGGGTCTTTTGTTGTGTGTGCACATGCGGTAACACTGAAATGTTGTTTGTGCGATTTTGATGATGTTTCAAATGCATGAGAGTACCCACGTGTTCTCGTCTGGGACCTTGTGCGGGAGTGTTTTGAGTCGGAACAACAAAGGATTCTGTTTTACTATTTACTTTAAATATTTGTGTGCACCCTGGCTCATTTTACATTAATTCTTTAATTCCATTTCCTCGTTAATAATTGTCTCCGGTTCCGTTGTTGGAACATTTTTGATGTTCTGATGACATTCATGGAACAACAAATGGACAACATTGGTTCAAAGTGTAATACTTTACCGTGAATTATCTCGTGCAGTTGTCTGCATGCCAGTACTTCTCTGATCGCCACAGATTGCGAACTTTACTTTGCCCAGATTCCTCGCACGGTAATTGCCACACAGACCCCTTTGGGGATTGTTTGACCGTACATACTGTCATCAGTTGCGAATTGACCGTGGCCAGGAATTGAACTGGGAATAATTTGCAAATCCCGAGGGCTTGTTTGGCCTTTCACAATTTTACACAATTCTGTAATAGGTGTTACTTGCATATTATTTAACTGTTTTTCGAGATTATTTAAGGTTCGTGCTTTTTGCACGCACAACGTCGAGACGAAGTTTGGACAGCCTGCCTGCAACTTTTTGCACAGAATGGCTTTGTTACTTACTGCAAGTGTAAGTTGGTAGGTTTTTGCTGTTGCGCTGCAGTGTAGCCTCCCAATGAGGTCCTTACGATTTCGCTGCACGTAAATCTCGCGTTCTGAAAACATCTACCCAGCACGTGCTACAACTCGACACGCCACAACAAAGGAATTTTGAGATATTAACAAGACAATGGCTCCGAAAGGAAGTCGTAGTCGATTAAATACAATGTTCCCTACATATGTAGATGAAGAACACCAAGACAAAGAAATGGCACGCTTCTTTGTCACTCAAGAGAATTACAGTTAGCCTGCTTTAACTCCAAATCTCGATGGGGAGGGGGGGGGGATCAACACAACTCATCATTTCTCATGAATTGTTAAATAAAGTCCTATACCTACTGGCCTCTGACATTGGAATGTGGAATTTCCGCTCGATGGAGATTAGTGCTACCCAAATGTTCATCCGAGCTGCGGGACAATTTTGCTTTTGACTTGATAAGAAGAATAGTGAATATTGATTTTTGGACAATTGACCTTTCGCAAGATTATGGCTTACGGGGTTTGGGTCTTCATGAACGGGAAGTGATGGGTTGAGGATTTGTAGTAGAAACTCATGACAAAGAGTGCTCGTGACTCTTTTGGATAAAGCTCATTATTATGAGTGTTTTGGAAAGATTAAATTGTGTTAGTCGGTACATAGAGCCCGAACAAGTAAATGTGGTAGGATGGTACAGATCTGCAGGTGGATAGGATTGGTTTGCTAGCGGTAGGAGTGCTGTTAGGAGATTATTATGATCATAATTTCCTGAATTTAACTTTCCCAGGAAAGCCTTAATGAGGCACAAGATTTGTTTTTCAGGCGGTCCTATGATATCATTTTTGGACCATTTGGTATGGTTTGCTTGTAAGATAAAAACAAACTGCCCTGTAGAAAAGCCTCATGTGCCATGGTGGTTACGATAAAGAAATGGTTCGAGATTGGTGAAAAACTAATTTTCTCTACTTTTCTCTTCAGTAGTTTACCCTCTTTACAACACCAGTCATTGTAAATGTGTAGTCTGGACAGGAATTGGTTGTGCCACCATAAAAATCGATCTGCTTGAGCTTGTCATCACGATCAGCCATTGTCTATCCACCACTGGATGAAGGCCTCTTCAAGCCATCGCCAGCTGTCAATTACCATTATGCCGAGTCTATGAAAGGCATTTGACCGAGTGGAAATTGGGAGCTATAGATTTTACCGAATAGCTATTTGCAAATGCACAATGTAAAGCTGATTAAAAAAGGGGAGACAAAATACTTTGTGGCACATGCTGCATACCTGCTAGAATGCGAGCCAATTAAACGCCATCAGCAGCAGCAGCTATATATTCTATCAACTGCTGTGATGATGTTGCTCTTATTCATGTCTGCACAATCGCAAACATATAGACGGTTTTGAAATGTGGCAGTAACTGGCAAAAAAAGACTATCACTTTCTTGCACAGCTTTCCGCCCCTGCCAACTGACCGGTTCGCAAACAGGATGGAGAGGGATGGGCCAGTCGAGAGAGCGAGGCATTGCAAGATTTGTTGCCCAAGGCATAGGACTGGCCCCTCCCGCCTGGCTGTCCTGTTCTCAAAATCTTTTCATGGAGGTGTTTGACACCACCGCAACTCTGTGACTCACGGCAGTGCATTCTAGGGGAGTTGCAGAGCGATTAAACGAACTTGCAGTTCAACCAGTAATGTTTTGAGTAGATAAGACACCTTAACAACCACCTGCCCACCAACTGTGAGTAGTGTCCAGTTAGGTAGGTGGATAAAATATGTGAGTGAGTGGGTAGATATGTAAATGGGTGAGTAATGGGTGGGTAGGTAGGTGGGGTGGACAGGTAGGCACAATCTGTGGGTAGATAGATAGTTGGGTAAGCGGGGGAAATGGGTGACTTTGTGACCCATTTTGGCAGAGACTGGGGTAAAATATTAAACAGGAAAACATCGTACAATGTCATATTGTTAAAATTTTTACAAACAAAGGCAGTTTAATCAAAAGCAGCTTCATCAAGTTATGTTAATATTGTGTGGAATTATTCCAATGGTAATCATTCAAGACAAATAAATAATTCGAAACGTTTTAAGTTACGATAGCAATGAGTCAAAAATAAACTTATCACTGAATAGTAACCACAATGTGGTGTCAATTATGAGGACGTACGACAATTGCAACTTTCGCAGAACAAAGAAAACTGGCACGCATTATATGGATACAACCACGGAGTTTTCCTAGTTAAACAAATGCTTCTGAAAACATTGTTAAATGTTATGTTTCAGCAACAAAGTGGATCCTTGTCTGTTGATTATTTAAGAAGCATGTTAAAGTTTAACACGTCGGCTTTCCAGACCAACATCCATAATAGAGGGTTTTTTGGGTTAGATCGCGTAAATATAAATGTGGTGTTGAACCCGCCACCGATGGGGACTAACTATGAGCAGCCAACATTAACTTCCTCTATTTAAGACCAAAACAGCAGGATACCTCCACAACTCTAGCTGTCGCCTGATGAGGCTGGTCGTAATTACCGGAGAAACGTCGTATTCGAATTGTAAATGTTGTGGGTTTACTCTCCCAACACACCGAAGTGCTGAACTCGTAACGGATTGACATGTCTTGTTTACGTGACAAACCTAACTAATTGGTTGTCGGGTGGTGGCGGGTTTAACAACGCATTTATATTTACGCGATCTAACCAAAAAAAACGTATTATGAAGCCTATTAAAGAGTCCAGTTCCCTTAACTGTGCAGATTGCAACTTAAAATGACACTGCTAACTAGGCCTTTGCAATGGAGGAGCATTGCATCTCTTGGCAGTGTTGGGCCACCGAGGCTGGACACTGGGGTTTCAAGGTGAGCTTCCCTCACCACGGAGCTGATGGCCTTGGTGAGGGATGGGTCCCGTGCCCCCTTATCACATGGCTCCGAGGGAATTGATGATGTGGCAGCGGTACACGAATTTGTGTGTTTAATTGGCAATGTGCATAACAAAACAGATGCATGTGGATGACCCTGGGAGTTTCATGGCAGGAAATGTTCAGTTCTTTTTTCCAAGGTTGCAATGGGTTGGTCACGTGTGCAAGGATGGAGGAGGGAGGGCAGGTTCCAGAGACATCGGCGATCAAGGACATGACATAAATGCAGATATATGATGATGGTGCTGATGAGACTGTTGACTTGGCAGCATCTGCGGATTCCAAGAGAAGGAAGCAATGGCAATGGCTGCGATGAGCTCTTGACCGCCAAGTTAAGCAATGCAATGCAGAACTTTCAACGGTTAGAGCTGGAAGTCACGTCAGGGAAGGAACTGCCCTGATGCGTGACGGTTTCGTACAATTTGTGAGTGTGTAATTTGTTGAACCTGTAATGAATGACCACTTGTGCTCAGCCACCTTCATTTTGACATTTTTCACACATCTGTACTTCGTACACCTTGAAAAAATTATCGAGCTTAAATTTGTTTCTAATTATTGGCTTATTGTCTTGATAAGAAGACAATTCCACTCAGAGCTGTTGCAGCAAGCAGTCTTTGAGAAATATAATTGGTAATTACCACTGTACGATTTAATAAAGTGAAAAGCCTAATTTAAGACGATGTGTTTTTGTGTGCAATTTTTTGTAAATGAGTTGAGGCCATAAACTCGTTACAACTTGAGAACCCCGAGTCTGTGTGTGTGTGTTGGGGAAATTGATGCAGTGGTTACAGCATCACACTACGAACCTGGTGACCCGAGTTAGATTTTTGGCCACAACTGCATATGTGCCAATCCATATATTAACTGGTTTTGTGGGTCGCCTAAGTCAACTCAGCCTTACCTGGCATTGTGTGTGATGCACATCAACACTAGGTAGACAAATAGCCGGGCATAGCCACACCACCCCTGCTAAAGGGTTGAACCGTCTTTAACAGGTCCTCGCTAACAGCCCTGGCCTCAACAGTCTGTTAAAGGCTATACTGGGGTATCTTTAATCTTTGTGCATACAATTGTGCATTCATGCATGTGCGTGTGAGAGAGTATTCATGCGTGTGCGTAGTTAAAGGCTACACGGATAATCATTGTCTTTGTGCGTGTGTGTCTGTGTATACCCAAGTGTTCCAGACGGGCATGGTGGGCTACCCGGAGGCACTCACAGACCCCTCCTACTGCTCCCAGATCCTAGTGCTCACCTATCCGCACATCGGCAACTACGGCGTGCCTGCCGATAGCGACAGCAACTTCGGCCTGAGCAAGGTGACGCTTGTGGGCTGCTGCCTCACTGATGAGTCCCAATGATTGTGAAGTCCCGTAAAACACTGTATTTGAGCACAGCTGACTGATGAGCCCTTGAAAACATTTAAGACCCAAATAACACTGGTCTCCCCTTGTCAGTATGTAGATGGGCCACGGCTAACTGAGCACGAATGTTTAAGCTCCTACATAACACTTGGCTTTGTGGGAGCCTGTTGTTAGACATGCCTCGGTGAGCCTTATCTGTCTGCCGCTGTTGGCCAGATTCCTTCACAGTTCATGTCCCAGGCAAAATTCTCATTGGCTGAAGCCCTGGAGAGAAGCCAATGTTAAGAGATGTGAGCTCTGTACCTCATGTACATTGTAAAGTTTGGTGTGGTTTTTTTTCTTTAGTACATTAACCAACTACAGTGTTATCCATCCCATTACGTTGTTATTTTTTTCACAAACAGCCAGAGCATTGGAAGTGTATCGACTTACCCACCCCACCACCCGTAGTTCAGTGAAATGTCGTGATTTGAAAACAATACAGTTTTCAGGATTGACTTTTGTTTGTATAATTTGTTCTGTCTGTCTTGAGAATACCTGGCAGTCTCTGGCTTACGACAGTCCGATTTGCAACGATCCACATTTACGACATTTATATAATGCCACCATGAATCGATTTACGATGCAGAAACTTGATTTTACATGACTCCAAACACATTTTAAAAGAGTCAGTCTGGTTTCCGGTGTGACTTGGCGTGGAGCTTTTGTTATTCTAAAGTGTTTATGTGGATTTTTACCTTTTAAAATAATAAACCTTGTTAAATATGGCTGATGAAAGGAAAAACACATCGGCAAGTGATGTTTCTCCTGTTTATACTGTCTATTGCAAAATAGGATCTGATTTATGATGAGGTTTCCATGAATGCATTGTGTCATAAAAGTGGGGACTGCCTGTACCAGATGTTGTAGGCTTGGCCAATTCGGTTGCCAGGATTTAATCCATTTGTGTGGAGTTTTTAGTGTTACCCTCCTCGTATTTGCGATGGGTTGTCACCAGGTCCTTGGGTTTCCTCCCACATGAAACCATGCACTCTGTAACAAACATCCCAGTGTAGCAACACCCTCCTGAAAAAGAGTTGAATCTCGGTGAGGCTTTTTCTGGCGACTAAAGGCCACCGAATGCACGTTGCGTAACGATAAATGCTCCCTCCCCTCTCTGAAATGTCCCCCCCGACGCCCCCCCCCCCCCCACCCCCATGTCCACTCGTCGCAGTGGTTCGAGTCGTCGCGTATTCACGCGGCGGCCCTCGTTGTCGGCGAGTATTCGCGCGAGCACAGCCATTGGAGCTCCACGCGGTCGCTCCACGACTGGCTCTGCGAGCACAACGTCCCCGCACTCGAAGGTAAATGAGATAAGAACCAAGACACATTGCAAAGCTCTTATTTTGTAGCTGTGGTGCAGGTTAAGGGGCTCCCCACGCCACAGCCCCCCTGTGGATGCCCTGGGGCTCATTGTTGGTGCTGTGCGCCAGTTGCTTCATCCTGGGGGGGAATGTGCTGCAATGTTGTTCTTCTTAGTTTCCCCCCCCGCCCCCCTATTTGTAAATAGTTCTTGAAATGCAATGTTAGTTCGATGCTATTTTTGGCACGGTGATGAAGCTGCGTGTAAACGTATGGGAGTGATTTCACAGTAATATCACGACGGGAGTGCCAGACCGTGACATTGGAGTCGGCGATGTTTTAACCCCTTAATAACCTCTTGCCTTTGACCCCCTCTCGCCTTGCCTGCGAAGCAGGCATCGACACGCGGGCGCTGACCAAGCTGATCCGTGAGAAGGGGTCGCTGCTGGGGCGCATCGTGCTGGACGGAGACGACGAAACGTCAGTGCCGCTGCAGGACCCCAATCTGCGCAACCTGGTTGCCGAGGTGTCCATAAAGGTGCCCGACTTGCAAATCAATTCTGCACCTGCTCGCTTGTCCACTTGCTCACACAATCGCCCACTTATCTTGCTCAATTGTCCGCTCACCTGCACCCTTAGTCAATCGTTCAATCACTTGCTCACCGCAGGAGCCGCGACTGCTGAACCCCGGTGGGGACATTCGCATCCTGGTCATCGACTGCGGCCTCAAGTACAACCAGCTGCGGTGCCTGTGTGATCGCGGTGCCAGCGTGCAGCTTGTGCCATGGGACTCGTCGCTTTCCTCGGCCGGTGAGAGGGCCGCGAGGGAGGGTGCGCACCACCGCGGGGATGACGCCGCCACCGTTGTTTTGTCTTGGAGCAAAACCCATGCCAGAAACGTTACCCCTTTCTTTTTGTTGCTGCTTGTACTGTAATTACATTTCTGCTGCTGCTGCTGCTGCTTATACTGTCGCTGATGTCCATGCTGATTCTGCTGCTGCTGGTGCTTCTCTGCTGGTGCTTTAGCTGTTGCTGCTGTTAATGATGTTTCTGATGCTGCTGGTGCTCTCGCTGCTGCCAATATGCTGATGCTGATAATAATGTTGTTGGTGCTGCTGCTGTTGATGCTGCTACAGTTGCTACTCATGCTCTTACTGACAAAACTGCTGATGCCACTGTTGCCGATGCCTCTAACGCCGACTCTGCTGCCCCCGTAGAGTTCGATGGGCTGTTTGTCAGCAACGGCCCTGGCGACCCGACGCAATGCACCGCCACGGTGGAGGCGCTCAAGGGCGTGCTGGCGCGCAAAACTGGCGCACCGCCTATCTTCGGCATCTGCCTGGGCCACCAGCTGCTGGCGCTGGCGGCTGGAGCGACCACTCACAAGATGAAGTGAGTGCCGGTTCGAGCACGTAATTGCTGCCACCGCCGCTGCCATTGGTGCTGAATTCTTTGAGAGGTGTGTGGGTGTCTTGAGCGTCTGTCTGTGTGGTGTGTGTTGTTTGTACCTGTGTATGTTATATGTGTGTGCATTTGTCTTTGTGTGTGTGTCCATCATGTGCCGTGCCAGCCTTCATAGGTGCTCGCTAACTGCACTTACCCGAACCGTCTCTTAAAGGCTATAAGGGAGGTCTTTGTATGTGTACACGTATCTGGTGTATCAGTGTGCTTGCGTTCATCCTGGTGAATGGCAGTTGTTGTTGCGTTCATCCCCGCGCCCTTCCACCAACGCCAGGTACGGCAACCGCGGCCACAACCAGCCGTGCCTGCATGAGGCTTCGGGCCGCTGCTTCATCACGTCGCAGAATCACGGCTTCGCGGTGGACGTCGCGTCGCTGCCGCCCGGGTGGACGCCTTTATTTACCAACGCCAACGACGCCTCCAACGAAGGCATCGTGCACGACTCGCTGCCATTTTTCAGGTGCCACCGCGACCCGGTGCCTGTTCGTGACCTGCGACGTGTACCGTGTCTGTGAGCAGAGCGAGCGGGAAGGCCAGGGGGCTGATACGGTGGGAGGGGGAGGGTTGGCCTGGATTTAAATAAAAAACGCAGATAAAGTTAACAATTATTTTTTTATAAAACAAAAAGTTAGGCTGTAAAAAATGCATTTGTCACTTGCTGGTTAAGATGTCAGTGGTGCTGCTGGAGGTTCCAATGTTGGTGTTGCTGTAGTAGTGATTGTGATGTCACTGCTGTTCGTAGAAGTATTAGTGGTGCTGGCAGTAGTGATTTGCGGTGCCAGCTATTGTCGTGGAGGTGCTAGCGGTGCTTGGGGGGTAGTGGTGGCAACACGGTAAGCAATGGTAATGGCTGCTTTGGCCGTGGCGGTAGCAAAGGCGGTCTTGGTGCTTCACGATGTGTCGTCGTGTCCCCCCCCCCCCCCCATGTACACGTCCCCAGCGTGCAGTTCCACCCGGAGCACATGGCAGGGCCTCAAGACCTCGAAGACCTCTTTGACGTCTTTCTGCAGGCTGCACGTGACCACAAGGCTGGCATGGACCTGCAGGTCACGCCCAGTGAGTTCTGCTTTTAAAAAACAAAACAGCTGTCATTGTTCACAGCGTAACAGAGGTATTGACGATACTCGCGATGCGTGCGTCAAATCGGTGTTCATCAATCACAGTTTTATTACGTTTTTGATTTGTATACGTTGTATATAATGGGTTCACGTGCAGCTAACCTGAGTTTGATTCTTGGGGAGGGGGGGGCCAGAACCGATTCGGATATCACTCGCCACTGACAGTCCGCCATGGCCAGCATTGAAACTCGGGTGGCTAGCTTCACAGCGCAGCTAGTTAACCACTGCAGGGCCCAATCCACCGTACTTGGGTTTAATGAGGCTCATTTTTTAAACCGGTGTCTAATCGTGTTTAATTTCCCCATTCACAGTCAAGCAGCGGCTAACGAAGCACCTGACGTGGAGTGGGACCCCCACGGGGTGCGGGGTTCAGGGTGGCCGCCCGGTCAAGGTGCTGGTGCTTGGGTCGGGAGGCCTCTCCATCGGCCAGGCCGGGGAGTTCGACTACTCCGGCTCACAGGTGAGAACTCCCTGTGGTGAGGAATCTACACTGGTGAGCGCACCCTTTCGTTTACAGTCTCTTCCATGGTAGAGGACTCCACACGATTTTAGAACTTGACTACAGATCTATTAGAGCCTTGAGGATGAGGAATTACGGTGAGCAAAGGCTATATGTGGGCGAGCGCCGACACAGACAGGGTGAGCACGTCGTATTAGTCGCTCAACCAGTATGGTCACAATTGCGGTTGTGATTGCAGCTTTGGTGATCGTAGTTGCGTTTGCCGTCATAGTTGTGTTTGTGGTCCTAGTTATGGTTGTGGTCATAGTTGTGGTTGTGATCCCGGATATGGTCGCCGTTGGGGATGCGGTCTTAGCTGTGCTTGTGGCCATATTTGTGGCTGCCATCCCGGTGACACCACCACTGCCCCCTCTTTTGTCGCTCGCCCCCCCCTGGTTGTGTCTGTGCCCGTGCAGGCCATCAAGGCCCTGAAGGAGGAGAACATTCAAACAGTTCTCATCAACCCCAACATCGCCACCGTGCAGACGTCGATGGGTCTCGCCGACAAGGTTTACTTCCTGCCCATCACGCCCGAGTACGTCACGCAGGTTAGTGGCGCCCGCCGCCGCACGTGGAATCCTTTTTGCAGTGAAGCTTTTAATTGACGTTTACTACTTGATGTGACCTGCGGCATGGACATTGACAAATGACTTGCAACGAAAACTTTTGGTTCTCAAGTTAGAATTATTCTGACGCATGATGATTACGAAAACAAGCAACTTGTGATTAAATAAATAGTGGTATGATTGCCATCAGCCCAATTTTAGTTCCCATTGATGAGATGTATCTCCAACTTCTCCAGATCTTCTCTCCCCGGCCTTCTCTCCATGACCTCTCCTCAACCACCTCCATGACATCTACCCCAACCTCCCCTCCAACTTTCACTCCCCAGCCTTCTTTCACCACTGCTCGTTGCTGCGTTCGTTCCGCAACCACCTTTCCCACGTGTGTGTCTCCCTGCCTCACCCCTCCAGGTGATCCAGAACGAGCGACCGGACGGCATCCTGCTGAGCTTCGGGGGTCAGACGGCGCTCAACTGCGGCATGGAGCTGTCAAAGCTGGGCGTAGCTGGAGCGCTATGGCGTGCGCGTCCTCGGCACGCCTGTCGCCTCCATCGAGATGACCGAGGACCGCAAGGGCTTCGTCGAGAAGATGGAGGAGATCGGAGAGCACGTGGCGCCCAGCGTGGCCGCCTGCTCGATTGAGCAGGTGGGGGAGTGGGCACACATGCACGCACACACGCACACGCACACACGCACACACCCGTCGGCACACTTGCGCACTCGCGAAGACAAGGATCCCCCACCGTGTAGCCGTGTATGGACTGTTGGGGAAAGTGCTTTCAGCGAGAAAGTGCACCACTGACAGTGGGAGGTCCGAATCGAGCAGGGGGGTGGGCCAACCTGGAACAGACCAAGAGCCAAAAAGCACCCTTGTTCTGCCAAGAGGCAAGTGTGTATATATATATATATTGGCAGCATGGGACACATTATGCTTTGCTTGATAGTATGGTCTACGTGATGCCCCTTCCATAGAGCCACGTGGTGGATTAAAGAGACGCATGCAGTTTGGGAGATGCCAGTTGGCCACTGCTGGGATAGAACATTCCACTCATGACATGATATCAGTAGCACATGTACAGACCTTTATTCGATTCATTGCTGGATGGAAACCTCCCCACACCATTGTTGTGAGTAATTAGATAATACTTCACGCTGGTCAGTGCAAGTTTGCGAAGGCCAGAAGCATGGACATGGGCACGTAGAACTACAGTACAACGGCGGATTTTTACGGCACTGCCCACCACGTAGCCCTGTTGCCTATAACACCTGCTACGGACAGTGGTCGCCCATCCAAGCACTATGCAGGCTCTGCTGGGCATGTTGCAGGCGATTTAATCATATTATATGCTTATTAGTTATTGTTTATTACCCACAATCCACCACGACAGCACGTCTTGTATATTTAAAGCGCGGCAGAATGCTTTCCCATTTTCTCCCTTCCCTTTCCCTCCCCGCTCTGCCCTTTCACATCCTTCGTTTTAATGTTCGTTATCTTCTCCCTTACCTTCCCCCTCACCCCCCCCACCCATATAAACTTTAGCTTTTCTGCTAGAGGCTCCTCACCTGGGTGGAGCAGTGAGCCCAATCCACCTCTCTTCATCACAAGCCCTGCTGCATCGTTCTCGGTTTTGCTTGTGGGATTTATGCCCCCCCCCCTCTTCTTTGTTCTGTGATCGGTGCTTTGTGTAGCAGGCTCACGTTCAGTTGAATAAAAATGATATATTTTTTTAAAGCACGGCCGTATGCCCAAGACCCCTCTTGCTGACGCTGGGCGCGTGTCTCCCCCGGCAGGCGCTTGCGGCGGCCAACAAGCTGGGCTACCCGGTGCTCGTGCGCGCCGCCTTCGCGCTTGGCGGCCTGGGCTCGGGATTCGCCGACGGGCCCGAGGAGCTGTCGGCGCTGGTGACGCAGGCGTTCGCGCACACCACGCAGGTGCGGAGGGTTGCGGGGGACTGTGGGGTGTTGGGGGGGCTAGGGGGCGTGGGGTACATCGTCCAACGTGACCCGGCGGACTTATCGCATGCCAACGTGCCACTGATTTGTCACCAACACGCCATGAACATGCCACCCATAGCCCACCAACATGTCACTTACCAACAACATGCTACGAATGTGTCGCAGACCTGCCATTAGAATGTCGCGAACACACACAAACATGATACCAGTGTGCCACCAACTCGCCACCAACTCACCATCAACATGCTACCAAAATTCCACTAACACGCCACCAACATGCTACACACCTAGGCTCTTGTGTATTGTGTCATTAAGGGTTAAATCTTGCTTTTAAAACAAGAACACGTTTGAAAAGTTTTCCCCCCTCACTCGACTTGGTAAACGTGGCTGTGGCTGTCGGTCGTCGTCCTTAGGTGCTGGTGGACAAGTCTCTCAAGGGCTGGAAGGAGGTGGAGTATGAGGTCGTTCGCGACGCCTACAACAACTGCATCACGGTGTGTCCACCTTCCTCCTCCTTGCGTCACTTGGTCCCAGCGCTCCCCTCTCACATCCCACCCACCGCTAAATTTCACATCCGGACTCCTCACACGGAGTTGTCTCTCCTGCACCGTTTGTTTGATTGTCGATCGCTCTATTTCGGACCACCTCTCCCATCATCCCCTGATCTTTGCTTCCCACACATCCCCCCGGCTCCTCTTCCTTATTATTATTATTCCTTCTTTTGACCCAGAGGCAGGGAAAACCTGTTCCGTACCGAGGGCCAAATAGGGCCACACTTTCGATTACCCGACCCTAACGCCACCTTTGACATTTTGCGTGAACGCGTGCATTACCCATGAAGGTGTGCAACATGGAGAACGTGGACCCCCTGGGCATCCACACGGGCGAGTCCATCGTCGTCGCCCCAAGCCAGACGCTCAACAACCGCGAGTACAACATGCTGCGCACCACCGCCATCAAGGTCATCCGCCACCTGGGCGTCGTGGGGGAGTGCAACATTCAGTACGCGCTCAACCCTGAGTCCGAGCAGGTGGGTGTGGGCGGATGGGTGGGTGAGTGTATGAGTGGGTAGCTGGGTAATTGAGCGGGTGGGTGGGCAGGTCCGCGTGTGGATGGGTGGTTGTGTGAGTGTGGGAGTGGTTGGGTGATAGTCAGTGAGGTGTATTTATGTATGTGTGAGTGAATGAGTGGGAGATTGGGTGAGTAATCTGTGAATAGGTTGATAAGAGTGAGTGGATGGGTGAGACAGCGAGTAGTAGGTATCCGAGTGTGTGGATGGATGGCTGAGTGATTGAATTAATTATTGAGAGTATGTGAGCAAGTACTTGTGTTGGTGTAAGTGCTGAAACCTACTGCTTAATAACTACAACTTCCTTCCCACCATTTATCGCAAACTTCCTGCTCGACCGATCAATGGTGTGACGCTCATTCCTGTTGACAGCCGAAGCCAGCAATGGATAATCCACATTCCAATTGCGAAGGCCATTCTCTTCATATCCATAGCACAATTGCTGTCGCCTTCCTACAATGTAGATTTCTCCCTCCCCCCCCCCCCCCCCCCTTTTTGATGATGGTGCAGAGTCAACCCTCCGATAGAAGCTTGAGCTCGTGACTTTTCACTTGCGCGTCGGGCACGATAACCACTTATTTCACACTTCCTGTCATTTCCGCCTCTCCTTCCCCACCTGCCGACGTCTGCCTCCCACCGCGGCAGTACTACATCATCGAGGTGAACGCTCGTCTGTCCAGGAGCTCCGCACTCGCCAGCAAGGCCACGGGATACCCGCTGGCGTACGTGGCGGCCAAGTTGGCGCTTGGCATCCCCTTGCCTACGCTCAGGTGCGTCGCCCTGCACTCCTAACAATGCAGCGGTGTCCTCAATCCTGGAAAATTCAGGAGTGGGCCCCCCCCCTCCCCCGGTATTATACATTATCTTACAAAACCTTGTTATTTCCATGAAGTCCAATTTAGCCCATTTACAGCTGGGAAATGTGATGTCCGTTGCTCGAATATTGCTTTGCACGCTGTTCAGTGTTTGATCTTGGGGGCTGTGACTTTTTCATTTTGTATGCAGTCATTGGTGTTTAGGTTGGAGGCCGTCAACTCGCTATGGTTCACAACCTTGCTTAATTACGGGTGACTGAAGCCCAGATTGGAACCACCCAGGCTCTCATTGGTGCTGGCCCAGTGTCTCCGACACGGCAATCATTAGTCTCGTCTCCAGATTGTTTGTTTTGTTGGTGCCACGTCCAGGAACTCTGTGACCGGCTCGACTACGGCGAACTTTGAGCCGAGTCTGGACTACGTGGTGGTGAAAGTCCCGCGCTGGGACCTGAGCAAGTTCCTGCGTGTGAGCACCAAGATCGGATCCTCCATGAAGAGTGTCGGTGGGCAGTACACGCACGCATGGGCCCATACCCACACACCTGTGTACACATCCACACGCACATACGAGAGACAGAAATCCCCCGTAGCCTTTTAAACATTAGTTGGGCAAGTGACTTTTAGTGAACTATTATGCTCGCACAAAGACGACGATTCCCGTTATAGCCACACGGACTGTTTGGACAAGTACTGTTAACACGCACTTATTAAGGCCGTCACTGCACACGGGGGTGGTGTGGTCAGTACCATGCTCTGCTGCCTTTGTCTCTCGAGTGCTGATGTGTATATACCACACCTGATGCTAATTTGAGGCTGTGGAGACATAGGGGGAGGCCCAGGACCAGTTCAGATCCTCATCAATGATGTTAGCTTTGAGCGGAAAGTGAATTTGGGTCGCCGGGTTCATAGCGCGGCACGCTAACCACGACATTATATACGTGCTCACAGTAGCTTAACGTGCACACGTGTGTGTGTGTTGATAGGCAGGCGGGTGAGTGAGTGAGTGCATGAATATTTAAGTTCTCGAGGTGAGCAAGCTGACACGTGAGCAGATGGTGGACCGAGTGAGCAAGTAGTTTAGGCAATTAATTGTTGATTTCATGAGCACATGGCTGAGTGAGTGAGCAGGTGAAGTTGAGCGAGTGAATGAATGAATGACCAGGTGATGGAACAAGTCACAACGAATGTGTGAGTGTACACGAGCGTTTTCACGAATGGCCAGTGCCGTCTGCGCTGTCCGCCCGCAGGGGAGGTGATGGCCGTGGGCCGATGCTTCGAGGAGGCGTTCCAGAAGGCGCTGCGCATGGTCAACGAGAACTGCTGCGGCTTCGACCACACGCTCAAACCTGCCTCCGACGAGGTGAGGACTCTCGGACCCCCTCTCCTCCAGTGTCATCGGCTCCCATCAGTGATGTGACCCAGGTTCACCCTTGCAAAAGAAGCTCGGTTTGTTTCATGCGTCTCAATGGGTTTACTTCATCTCCTGATTAAGTAAAGGAGACTGACTTTTACTCATCATTATTGTCACATGGCAGCGAGGCGGTGCGAAAGGCACCGATGAAGCTTGTACAGTACGTTCGCACACATAGGTGGCAGACTATAACACCGTTTCCCCCACGCAGGAGCTGGAGACGCCCACGGATAAGCGTATCTTCGTGCTGGCGGCGGCCCTGCGTGCCGGCTACTCGGTGGAGCGACTGTACGAGCTGACGCGCATCGACAGCTGGTTCCTGCACCGCATGCGCGGAATCACGGTGCTCGGGCAAGCGCTCGAGGCCTACCAGGAGGGCCCGCTGCCACGCAGCCTGCTGCTGCGTGCCAAACAGCTCGGATTCTCAGACCGGCAGATCGCCGGCGCCATCATGAGGTGGGTGGGCTGGCGAGGTGAGCGAGTGCATGAACGATTCATTGAATTTGCGAGTGAGCAGGTGCACGGATTGCTGTCCGAGTGATTTGAGTTGGCAAGTCATTGGATGGAAACGTGAGTGATTGTGTGTGTGTGTATGTTGAACTTCTTTCGCACCGTACGTAGCCAACCCAACGAACTAAACCTAAAACTCAGAGTGAATGAATACGTGGGTGCGCGAGTGATTAAATAAGTGGCCGAGTGCTGTGTGCGGACGTTTCGATTTGTTGTCATCGCTGCCGCCACCACCCCCACAGCACGGAGCTGGCGGTGCGGCAGCTGCGGAAGGAGCTGCAGGTTTTGCCGTGGGTGAAGCGCGTGGACACGGTGGCGGGGGAGTGGCCGGCGCAGACCAACTACCTGTACCTGACGTACGGTGGCATCGAGCACGACATTTCCTTCCCCGCCGACCACGTGCTCGTGCTCGGCTCCGGCGTCTACCGCATCGGCAGCAGCGTGGAGTTCGACTGGTGCGCCGTGGGCTGCATCACCGAGTTGCGCAAGGTCCGGCGGAGCTAGGGGGAAGGGGGACGACGGCCTTCGGCTATTTAGTTGATGGTGTTTGACATGCACAGCGTTCTGCAGCATGTTCGTCAGTAGCCTTTTCTCATCGTTGTCTAACCTGATTGAAGTGTTAGCCCTTGAATTACTAGCGGCAATTATTGTTTAGTTTGAATTATAAGGTAAGGGTTTTTGCACCAGTTGCTGAGCAACTGTGAGACCTAACCTTGGCGGTCGGGCGTCGACTTCGCAACTAAAGGAGGGAAAGCGTTGGTGGGGTGTTCTGCTGTGGCACTCTCCATTGCGTTGTCCGCGAAGACCTCGTGACGTTGTCCTTGTCTCTCTGCCCGTGGCCGATTTAACAGCTCGGCTACAAAACCATCATGGTGAACTGCAACCCAGAGACTGTGAGCACGGACTATGATATGTGCGACCGACTCTACTTCGAAGAGATCTCCTTTGAAGTGAGACTTTTCCCTCGCCCCCCCCCCCCCCCCCGATCTCTCACCTGTGTGTATGTATGTTGAATGTCTTTCGCACTGTACATAGCCATGCACTGTACATAGCCATGCAATGTTACCCCAGAGGTTTGCGACCAAGGGGAAGACCTACCATATGATGGTGGTGACGATAAGACTGTCGGAGCAGTTCTTGGAGACCAGGGACTTTGACTGCCATACTTCTGGTCTCCTAGAACTTCCAGGACTGCCAGACACACCCAGCAAGCGCTGCGGGTTCTGGCATAAGGAAGAAAGCAATGATAATGTGCAACCTCAACACTTGGTCCTGTCGACCTCTTGACTGCGACCTGTCCCGCACTGCCCATGGCACCAGACCGTGATGGACATCTACGAGCTGGAGAACCCGGAGGGCGTGATCCTGTGCATGGGCGGGCAGCTGCCCAACAACATCGCGATGGCGCTGCACCGGCAGAAGTGCCGCATCCTGGGCACTTCGCCTGAGTTCATCGACGGCGCCGAGAACCGATTCAAGTTCTCACGAATGCTCGACTCCATCGGCATCAGCCAGCCGCTCTGGAAGGAGCTGTCCGACCTGAAGGTGCTGAAGGGGCGTGCGTGTGCGTGCGTGTGTGTGCGTGCATGTGCATGTGTTTGTCTGTGTGAGTGCCAAGTGGTGGGTGCAGTCGTTGGCGTAGTGCATTCCGAACCCAGCGACCCAAGTTCGAATCCCGCTCGCAGCAATCTGAACCGGTCCTGGGCCATTTGTAGGTCAACTCGACTGTAAATGAGCACTGGGTTCAGTGTGTAAACATCAGCACATTGGGGAGATGAAGGCAGATGGGCATGGTGCTTTGCCACCTTGTGTATCATCACTTGTACAGGTGATTTCTAACAGCATTTCCCCCAACATCTGTTAAGGACTATGGGGATCTTTGTTGTGTGGGTCTAGTGTGTACATGTGTGGCTGGAGAGACCGGTTGCTGGTCATGGTGCTGACCACAACACTTCTTCAGGCGCCATGCCACCCTGAATAGGTGCTTGCTAACATCCTCAACAATCTGCACAGCTACACGGGGGAGGGGTTCTTTGTCTTTAGCGTGCGAGTGTGAGGTTTATTATGAGATTCATTGTGTGTCCAATTGACCATGTAATGAGTAGTAGACATGTAAGAATGAGTGTCTTTGTTGTGTACTCAATCCGACGTGTAAATAACACTGTCCTTCACCTTTCCGCTTGCCCTCGCTTCTCCCGGTTGTCCACGTTGACGTGCCCGCCAGTCCGCCAAGGAGTTTTGCGCCAACGTGGGCTACCCGTGCCTTGTGCGCCCGTCCTACGTGCTGAGCGGCGCTGCCATGAACGTGGCGCTCTCCGCCAACGACCTGGAGGCGTTCCTGAACAGCGCCGTCGCCGTGTCAAAGGAGTACCCCGTCGTCATCTCGAAGTTCATCCTGGAGGCCAAGGTGCGTGAGGGCTCCGAGCGATGCCCCGGGTCGACCAAAAACTGCGAGGGGAAAGGGGAGCTTTCCAGCTCTTGCACGAGTCGAGGAATGGGGGGGGGGGGGGTACAACATGCTCAGTGCCCACCTTGAGGGGGGGGTCCTCCGACAGGGGGGGAGAGTGGGAGTTTGTGCTCATGGGCAGGGGGGGAAGGGGGGGGAGGGGAAACCGTAACCAACATTCTAGGGCTAGATCAGGTGTGGGGAGGGGGTGAAAAAGGGACACTGCAAATCATATAACATACGTGCGGCTTTATGAGGTGGGGTTACAACCTCTCATCCACTCAACTGATGAAAGGAAAAATAGGAAAGGGGGGGGGGGGCAGGGGGGGAGGTCCCCCCCACCTGCTGTCATCCCCAGGCCTCTCTGCTTCTCATTTTAGACTTCGGAGTAAGGGGGTAGTTTGGCCAGGTTTTTAATCGGGTAAGTCCCTAATAGCATAAAAACCCGTTATGCTCATAAAGATTAATTCATTGTTGAATCCCTCGGCGTGAGAGTGATTGTGCCTTCCAGCGACACGATTGGGATTTCCTAGCCAAGGAAACATGAGTGGGCCTCCCACAGATGGAATCGCAGATTTCCTTAAACGAGCACTTGGTTCCCTGTGTAAACATTGGCACTGGGGAGACAAAGGCGGCCTTGATGGTTCTTGCCACATCGCCCCCTCGTGCTCCATGCCGGCCTTGAGAAGTGCCTGTGAAAACCTCTTTAACTTTTTACAATGTGTAAGGCTATGTGGAGGATAGTTATTTAAAACATATTTTAGTTTTTGTTTTCTTTCCCCCAATTGTGCTGTGGATGCCATGTTGTCACGGGACGCTCGCAGAAAGTGGAGTAACATCACACCCCGTGTTAGAGAACGTCCTCGGGAAGGCGACATCACAACTACTTCTGAGGTCCCTTCAATTGCCTCTTTTTTTTCTCACGTATGCATGTAGAGTACACAATGTGCTTTTGCAATAATATATGCATGTGTGTTGGGACGCACACGTGTGCATGCATACCTGTGTGTTCACGTGTTTGCGTAAATGCGCAGGTGTGCAGAATATGAACGCAGATGCAATGGAGTACAACAGTGCAGGGGCGAGAGGGTGGCACGTGTCGGAGCCTGTGCGTGTGTGTGTTGAACAGCACTTACCCCCAGCGTCTGTTAAGGTTATACAGGGGATCTTTGTTATTGAAGGCATGTTGGTGTGCATGCCTATTAATGCGTTGTGTATATGTATCCAGTGGTAGTATAGCGAGTTGAAGCACTGCGCTACGAACCCAACGATTTGTGTTCGATTCCCGCTCGTGGCCAACATCGGTGATGAATATTTGAACCGGTCCTGGGCCTCCCCAGGTCAACTCGACCTGAAATGAATCCCTAGTACGGTGTGTAAACATCGCCAGGGAGACCTAAGGTGGCCAGGCGTGCTGCTGACCCCCCACCTCTTCATGTGCCGTTCTGGCCTTCATAGGTGCTCGCGAACAGCACTCGCCCCAACAGTCTAAGGCTATACGGGGTGTCTTTGTCTTTGCTCACTGTGTTGTGCATGTAGTGGTCAGCACACTGCGCTGCGGGAGCCTGCACGTGTCTATGACGAGTGGCGGCACGGCGGTTACCGCATCCAGCAACCTGGGTGCCGCACCCAGCAACCTGGGTGCCGCACCCAGCAACCTGGGTGCCGCACCCAGCAACCTGGGTGCCGCACCCAGCAACCTGGGTGCCGCACCCAGCAACCTGGGTGCCGCACCCAGCAACCTGGGTGCCGCACCCAGCAACCTGGGTGCGGTAACCGCGACAGCTAACCATTCGGTGGCGAGCGATGCCTGAACCAACTCTTAACCCACCAACACGATGAGCTATGGCACTTAAGAAGCGTTGATCCAGCAGCGGATCCCACGAAGGAGCCGTAAGTGACTGTTTATCATCGCGGTGAGCGAAGGAAATGGACGTGGACGCGGTGGCGTGCGACGGCGAGGTGGTGGCCATGGCCGTGTCGGAGCACGTGGAGAACGCCGGCGTCCACTCGGGCGACGCAACCCTCGTATCGCCCGCCCAGGACATCAACCGCCAGACCATGCAGCGCATCCAGGCCATCGTGGTGGCCATCGGCCGCGAGCTGCAGGTCACGGGCCCCTTCAACCTGCAGCTCATCGCCAAGGCAAGAGCCGCGCCCTGACCCCGAACTCCAACCCCATAACCATTTTACTCCGCAACGAATTGCCAAGCCAATTGACTAACCCTTTCGAGACCCTGGGAGATGGCGACAGATCGTGGAAGCTTTCACCTCCCGATTAGCACGGTTGGCTACATCCGGCGCGAAAGAATTTTAAAATACATACAGGTCATGGCTGATGACGATATATAATCAAGGTGATGACGACAACCTGCTAACCAAACGCTCGCGATGATGCCATTGCTCCCTCCGTCTGTCCGCGCCCGACAGGACAATCTGCTCAAGGTGATCGAGTGCAACGTGCGCGTGTCGCGCTCCTTCCCGTTCGTCTCAAAGACGCTCGGCGTGGACCTGGTTGCCATGGCGACACGGGTGATAATGGGCGAGAAGGTGGAACCCGTGGAGCTGACGGGCACCGGCATCGTCGGAGTCAAGGTTCGTCCACCGAGCGATTTCCTCTTATTATTTCATGATACAATAATACCCGAATTTACATCTTCTTCCCCTTTTGCGGCGTTTCGCAAATACGTCGTCACTTTATTACTACCATGAGCTGATTTGCATCGCCTCAACCTACACACGTTGCTGACAGCCGTCCTTTTCTTGTATCCGTCTCCTCTCAGCTACCCTTGTAAATCGCTTTGACTTACATCGTTTCAACATTCGTCATCGCACCTTAAATCGGGGTATATAGTACCGCACTATAGTTTTTTCCCGACAAGACAATGCGCTCTCGCTCCTATTGGGTAAATCTTCACCGCCATTGTCGTCGTGTAACCGTTCTCCGCCAGGTGCCGCAGTTCTCATTTTCGCGGCTGGCGGGTGCCGACGTCATGCTGGGCGTGGAGATGACAAGCACGGGTGAGGTGGCCTGCTTCGGGGAGAACCGCTACGAGGCCTACCTCAAAGCCATGCTGAGCACCGGCTTCCGCATCCCCAAGGAGAATATCTTGCTCTCAATCGGCAGCTACAAGGTTTGTTACGCACGCTTGCGAAGGCTGCTCCTCTTCTTCTGCTTCTTCTTCAATTCCCCTGGACTTTGTGACCGTTGGGGGCTCGTCTTCTACTGTCGCTGTTAATCGAGTAGCGTAGGATGGAAGGCCCGAGGTTTGACCCCTGACCCCCCCCCCCTGCCCTTGTGCCTGAATGCTCAGCCCTGCGAGCCTGGCTGGGAATACAGGCAAGAAAGTGCCCCTGCTTAGCCTGTGAATATAAATGGAGAAAAATGTCAGTCGAGTAAACAAGTAAGCGCTTAAAGATGCCTCTGTTTCGATTCGTGTAAACGTATGCAATGGGGTCACATAACCCCCCCTCCAGCCACTGGCAGTCACAACGTTATTACAACGGTAAAACAAAGGATGCATTCGTTCTTCAGTCGCTTTTAAGGCAATTCATTGCATCACAAGGGGTGAATACATAGGTGGAGTTTGACTTATTTGGGGGGGGGCAGGGGTTCACTTTGTCTCTGAATGTGTTTTAATAAATGTGTCCAGTTTGGGAGGGGCATTGCTCCCCTCCTCTCCCCCACAAACTCTGTCCATGGGTGAATAGTTACATGAATAGTTACAACCAGAACAAGTAAAGATGCCACTGAAAATTTGATTTTGATTCGCATCATTATTAAGTTCTTACAAGTCCATTACATTTCACCTTCAATATATTGTTCAGCCAGGTGAAAGAGGCCTGCCTCGTGTCATTGAAGCACATTGTCGTTATGAATAAATGTCCGATTTCTTTGATTTCCGCCACCGACTTGGCTCACCTGCCGCATCCACCCGCTGCTGCCTTGCACCTGTAGAACAAAAGCGAGCTGCTCCCCACGGTGCGCACCCTGGAGAAACTCGGGTTCCAGTTGTACGCCAGCCTGGGCACCGCCGACTTCTACACGGAGCATGGCATCAAGGTGGGTGCCACGCCGCGGCATACTCGCGCACAAACGCACAGCAGGCAATACACGCGTAAACACACACACGGCAATCTATACAAACACACGGCAATCCATACACCAATACATAGCAACACGCACCACCACGACCGGCCATTCACTGCACAGTGGCGTGACATCACTACAGAGATTGTGCCAGGCTAAAGGCACTGAGGCCACATACACCAACACCAGCCGAGTCGGATAGAAGCCCATACACCAACATGTGCACTAACCCAGGTCAACCAACAGACAGACCCGTAAACACTCCTCACACACCAACCCAAGACAACGATATCCTGTATAGCCAGCATAGACTGTTGGGGCAAGTGAGTGCTATTAGCAAGCACCGATGAAGGCCAGCACAGCACGTGCGGGGGGTGGGGTGGCCAGCACAGCCTTTGTCTCCTGAGTGGCAACATTGGCACAACGCAACAGGTACTCATTTAAGGCTGAGTCGACCTAGGGGAAGCCCAAGACCGATTAAGATAATCGCCACTGGTGTTGGCCATAAGTGGGAATCGAACTCGGGTTGCGGAACCATTGCACTATCACTACCCAAACATACACCCGCAACATACACACAAACACACCTATAATCTCACCAACCTCCCAATTGAATCGTGCATGGCCACAATCCTAAACCATACGCACTCCGCCTCGATGTGTTTGCGAAAAACATATGGAGAAGGGAAAAACAAGCAAAACAGGTTTAATTTCTTCCCAACAAGTTCAACGTGACAGAAACCAAATTAACAATCACTGCAGCTGCTGAATTAGCAAATGCAGGGCAATCTGCCGTTAATTAGGATCAACCTGTCCTGCTGATTATAACATCAGGTGCTCCGCCCAAATGTTCTGTTGGAACACGTTTTCATTTATGATTGTCGGCAGCTGCCAGCAATGAGTTCATGTGACCCCGGGAAGATATAAAACCCGGGGTGGCCTATTGGCGCACGGATGCAGACATCCCCCACACACAGGGCGTGTGCGTTCATGGGAGGAGCGGAGCTGCTTTGGCTGCGGCAGTGTGAGTGTTTTTTCCCCCGCAAGCGCACTGTTGTCGTCGGTTACAATGTGATTAGAATCGTTTATGAAGTTGCCTGTGTTTCTTTTGGATACTAGGACCGTTCTTCACAGTGTTGTAAGAGCACAAACTGTAAACGCACACCCTGTGCTGTTTTTATTTTTTAAAATGCGTCTCTCTATTTATTATTATAATTCATACCTCCGATTAGCACGGTTGAGCTATGTATGTTGCGAAATAAATTCTGCGTACAGTACATACAATAGCTGCCTGCCGAGAAGGCAAAGGAAGCTTCCAAAGCGAGTACATTAAGGGAGCCTCTATTTGTACTTGCGAAACTCTAGTCCTAGCAATCCCCACTTGATGGCTGTCCGTGATAGCCAACCATGAGTTGCTTGCAGGGTGCCATGATTTACTTTTGCATATGGTTAGAAAAGATTGTTCGGGGTTTCGGACTGATGTTGATTATTACTGCCTTGGGAGATTTGATTTGTGGTGGGGGGAGGGGTGAAATGTGTGCACAGAACTCGTGGAGATTAACCGGGACTCCTGTGTCGGGCAGCTGTGCTGGCTTCCACAATGCTCGGTCTCAAGCACGCCACCCTAATTCGGCTCTGGCACAGCATAACTTTTTTTAAATTAATACTTTTTAAAAGTATTTCATTGTCAGTTTGGCCCAAAACTACACATCTGGGTATCGTTATTGGGAGTTGTGCAGTGTGTTTTATTGACAATCGGATCAGGAATTTGGAAGCTCTCATGAAAAAATGTGAGGCACATGCATACACAGTCACATTCACATGGACGCATGGACACCCAGGCGCTCTTCCACCCTACACCGCCCCTGAAACCTGTATTTGAACACCAGATTTCAGTAGTGCTCTCATGCCCACACGGTCTACATGAACAAAGACAAACATCCCCCGTGTAGCTTTTACTGTAATCTATATTTATTTTGCCAGGTAAGGCCCACCAAGCTATATAGTTATTTTTCAGAAGTGACCTAGCGATCACAAATGGTAGCTCAACGAAGTGGCTTATTACGTGGAAATTTCTAGCAGCCAAATGTTCTAAACGCATGTTGATTCTAAATGTGGAGGGAAAAACTGGAGGACCCAGAGTAAAAATTCACTCCACCACGGGGAGAACATGCAAACTCCAAATATACAGCAGGTGTCAGTGTCAGGATCATAGCCACAACCTCCTGTATACCAGACGAGGCATTTAACATCTCGCCACCCTGTTGCCTATTGGAGCAAGTGCCGTGAGCCAGCAACTATGAGGGCTGACACGGCACACTGGGGGGGGGGGGGGGGGGTGGCCAACACCACGCCAGGCTGCCTTTGTCTTCCCAGCGCTGATGCTCGCACACCATAGTAGGTACTCATTTAAGGCAGATTCAACCTAGGGTGGAGGCCCAAGACAGGTTCAAATGTTATTTGTCGTGACCGGGAATCGAACTCTGGTCGCCGGTATTAGCGCAGAGTGCCAACCGCTGCGCCAACGCTCCCCACAGACACTTGCCCTCCTACTATCGACACTGAAAGCTGAATTTGAACCCAGGATCTCGGTGGCACTGGCTCTGTCTCCGACCCCCTTCCCCCGCCCACACCACTCCGAGCCATCCCGTTCACCTCCTGTTGGAATAATCTCATTCTCCTGGTCACATCCGCCATGCAGGTGCGCGCCGTGGACTGGCACTTTGAGGACGCAGAGGGTGGCGATTGCGGGGAGAAGCAGCGTTCGATCCTAGACTACCTGGCCGAGAATCACTTCCACCTCGTCATCAACCTCCCCATGCGCAACGCCGGCGGGCGTCGCCTCTCGTCGTTCGTGACGCGCGGGTACCGCACGCGCCGCATGGCCGTGGACTACTCCGTGCCGCTCATCACCGACATCAAGTGCACCAAGCTGTTCGTCGAGGTGAGACGACGACGATGATGATGATAGTTTTGCTTTATTTGTAAGGCGCCTTCCACTCAAGGCGCTGATGTTGATCGTGACAGCGATGATGTCGGTAGGTAAGATGATGATGAGATTGGGTGACGCTGGGGGTTGACGGGATCACGTGGGCCACGCTGGTAAGTGTGGATTAGTCGGTGGGGGGAGTAGGGGGCGGGGAGGGTGGTACAGGCAGGACCAGTTCAGATATCGTTTGCCACTGATGTTAGCCATGACTGAAAATCAAAATCGGTCTCTTGCAATCATAGCTCAACACATTAACGAACGCTGCCTCCACACCACAGGCAATTTGAGTACATCAAGTAATGAAACTAATTTTAAATGTGCAATTTAATGCATGCAACATGAGCATGTTAATTTACTTTAATTACTGAATCGGTCAATTGTTACCTACCTGCTGTGAAATAACGCTGTACATGGTGGGAACCCGGAGCGCACGGGGACACCTTCATGCGCCACTCGGAGGAGAAGCGCCGCTGCCGGCTAACCGCGGCTTCCTGCTTGCAACCCCTGACCCCTCCCAGGCGCTGCGTCTGATTGGCGGAGCCCCCCGGGTCAAGACGCACGTGGACAGCATGACCGCACAGAGGATCGTCAGGCTCCCAGGTGCCGCCCCCGCTTGCGTCCTGCCAACTCCTTCCCCCCTCCGGCTGGCAATACCAACAGCCGCCATTTGCCACTTTGACGATGACGTCACCATGGCGCTTATGCCAGGCCAGGTGCACTTTGAGGCCACGTGAAGTGTCGAAAGGCTCGCTGACAGGAGGTCACGGGACAGACGCAGATGCCATGGGTTGACTGGTTGAGATGACTGGCAGATGCACCAGCTTTGCCCCCTCCTGTGCCAACCTTTCCTGTATTTTAGCTACCCGGCACTCTGCTCGTTGTTCTGAGCGTCGCTACTCTGCCATCCGTTGTTGTTGAAGGGCGACTGCTTCCAATTGACCAATAACCGTAACGTTCTTCACGGGCCTCCTTCATAGGATATGGCTCGCATCCATCTTCACACCAGCGGAGGCAAAACCTTCGACCCACGGGCCTGGACACAGCCCTTGACTTAATTTGAAATGGCTCGCGCCACACGAGTCCTCCTACTTCTCTAAACGTCCCGCAAACGATGATTGTCCGTCACCGCGAGCATCTTGGTTGCACTAATCGGACACTGTAGGACATGTTTCCGACCTGGTACTGCCGCGTTTCTAATGTTAGCACGCTCCGGTCACTTCTGTCACGGAGAGGACCTGTTGGCTATGACAGAAGTGATGGCGTCCGGAAATGTGGTCACATTTTGAGGTAGGTGTTAAGACTTCGTTCTATCAATCGCATGTTGCCATGTTCGCTGCGCCACGTTGTTGCTGCTGCTGCTCCTTGCCCCCTCCGACCAGGCCTCATGGACGTGCACGTGCACCTGCGGGAGCCGGGCGGCGAGCATAAGGAGGACTTCTGCTCGGGCACGGCGGCGGCGCTGGCCGGTGGCGTGACGCTCGTGTGCGCCATGCCCAACACGAACCCCGCGGTCACCGACCTCGACTCACTCGCCGTCGTGCAGAAGGTGGGTCGGTTAGACGGCCTTGAGCTATGATCGGCGAAGAGCCCATTTGACCAACGGGGTGGGCGGGGCGGGATTGATTGTAAGCACTTTGCCCCATGCACTCCTAGCCTGACCCAGGAGAAAAGGGGGCGGCTGCAGCGCGAATAAGAATATCCGACCATGCGCCAGGGTCTGTTTTGTCGCTGGCGTGTCTGTAGTGCACATGATCAACGTAAAAACATCAATACTCGCATATACAGACACATGCTTGCGTGCACACACACACACACACACGTTTGACACCATGGAGGCAGTCAGTACAAGTGTGGAAATCCTGCCGGACTGGTCTGGCATGGGTCTAAGCTCATGTCTTGCTACAATTATTTGTAAAGGTATGCCAATCACATGCTGATGTTATAGTTGAGTTTATCAACAAGATTTTCAAGCAACATGGCACAATCGAGATGCAATACAAAGGCGGCGGTAGACAAAAAACAATCGTTTCTCGAGTGAGTTGTCAGGATGCCCCACCACCACTACCACGATCACCGTTGTTATTATTGTTGACGAGCACAGACTCGGAATGCGAACTGCGTCTGGCAAAGAGGAGACGAAGCCTCGATCATCCGCTCCGGTGTCGCCTTCTCGAGGAGCCGCGCACAGCTGATGATGGATGCACCGTTACTGACCGTGTGCGGGCTTGTGCCCACGAATGATCGTCATCGGTTCCTCGAAGTTTGTATAATGATCACGAAACGAACAACGAACGAATGATTGACTTGGTGATATCGATTGTTTTATCGTGGCATGGCAGGCGGCTCGCGCCGGCGCTCGCTGCGACTATGCGCTGTTCGCCGGCGCCTCTGTGGAGAACGCGGCGTCCGTGCGCGATCTGAGCGGCGCCACCGCCGGCCTTAAGATGTACCTCAACGAGACGTACTCCGCCCTGCGGCTCGACAACATGGCGCACTGGATGCAGGTGAGGCTGCTGCTTTCACACGATGGCGTCGATACAATCGGTCGGAGGAGTGCTTTCGCGTGTGCGTTGTTGAGTATGTATGTGGAGTTATGATTGTGTGTGTGCGGTTAAGGTGGGGAATGGTTGTGTAGTGGTTCTGGTGTAATGCACTACGAATCCAGCGATTCCGAGGTTCGATACTTGCTCACGACCAATAACTGGTAAATATTTGAACCGGTCATTGGCCTCCCCTTGGTGGACTTGGCCTTTAAATGAGTACCTGGTGCAGTGTGTAAATGGCGCTGGAGAGACAAAAGTGACCAGGCATGGTGTCTGCCACCCACCCCATGGTGTGCTGTGTTGCCGGCCTTCAGGACTTGCCCCAACAGTTTGTTAAAAGGCTATATGGGGGGGGGACCTTTGTCTTCGCTTTGTTTTATTATGGTCATTATGAGTGGTCCATACCTTTGTGTCGATGTTTGTGCAGGTGTATTGTCTAGTGTGTGTGTCAGAATGATTGTGTGCGTGCAGGTATATGATTGAGCATTTGTACTCGAGCGAGTGCGATTCTGCTAAATATTTCCGGGTGTTGCCTGGGTATAACTCATTGATCGAACTTGCACGCATCGCAACGAGCGCGTGTCCGCCACGTGGTTGTTTGTGTGCGTCTCCGCGTGCCGTGGTGCAGCACTTCAAGAGCTGGCCGCGGGACCGCGTGATCGCGGTGCACGCCGAGAGGCAGACGGTGGCGGCGGTGCTCATGGTGGCGCAGCTGCACAAGCGTTCGGTGCACGTGTGCCACGTCGCCCGCAAGGAAGAGGTGCGCAGTCGGGAGGCCGGGGGGGCCGTGTTTGGTCGTCGTCATCGTTGTCATTTTTTTTTCTGTAAAGTGCTCCTCGTTATTAGCGAGGGATTCGTTCCGAAGATGCTCAGTGAATAGAACGTTTTGCGGATTAATGATAATACATAAGATATGAAATGAAAATTGGCATAAAATTAACGTGAACAATATTTTGTTAATAAACATTAAGTAAATTAAAATAAATATCACGGTATTAAATAGTTTATGATTGAACTTTCTTTAACCATCACTATCTCATCACATTCTCTCGCATCACTTTTATTTCATAACTTCCTTCCTTTCCCTCTCTCGATGCAGTCGTGTAAAGTTCCAGATGCGATTCGCGGATAGCCAAAATTGCGGCTAGCACGTCCGTGCCTAACGAGGGGAATCCTGTCCTTCACAACGATCGACCGAGTGATTTGACCGTTTAGACTGACCTGACCGATTGACTTCCCGATTCTTCTCTTCTCCACGCCGCATTTCCTGCAGATCCTACTCATCCGCGCCGCCAAGGAGAGTGGGCTGGATGTCACCTGCGAGGTGGCTCCACACCACCTCTTCCTGTGCCAGGATGACCTGGAGGTCATAGGTCAAGGCCGGGGTCAGGTTCGGCCAGAGCTGAGTACGCGAGAAGACATGGAGGCGCTGTGGGAGAACATGGACATCATCGACTGCTTCGCTACGGACCACGGTTCGTGCATTTTAGTGCCGACTGGCAGTCGGATGACAACGATGGTGGTGATGTTAATGAATGTTGGTTTTGGAGTTGATGATGACGACACCCTCGCTGGCCCTCAGCATTCAACCCTCACTCCTCCAACCCCTTGCTATTTTCTGCTCGCCCTTCACCCCACTCCCCTGACCTCTCCATTACACAAACCCCTGACCTGCACACCCCCCCCCCACGACCCACTCTTGATCCTTCCTCAATCCTCGTCCGTCGTGAATTAACCCTCAACCGCCCCCTGGGCCCGTGGCTGTCTCAGCTCCGCACGCGGTGCAGGAGAAGGACTGCGCGTCGCCGCCCCCAGGCTTCCCGGGCCTCGAGACGATGCTGCCGCTGCTGCTCACGGCCGTGGGCGAGGGGCGACTCACGATCGACGACCTCGTGGCCCGTCTCCATGACAACCCCCGCCGCATCTTCAACCTGCCCAAGCAGGAGGACACCTACGTGGAGGTGAGCAAGCAACTTGACCCCACCTTTGTTTCACCAGCACCGTGTCCCATGGCCGCCAAACGGCAGCAGCCGCTGCTGGCGGCGTTAACGACGTGCCAATGAACGTCGATTTTGATGTTGATTCTCGAGCTCGCGATGTGGCCAATGAATCGGCGGGTGTAAGAATCGATGCCGTTCTAATTTGTGTCTGTGTGTGCCTTATGCAAGTGGATTCGCGCCACCTGTGCTGCCACCATAGGTGCTGCCCTTTGCAGAAATGTTTAGAAAAGAATAGATTCTTGAATCCAGTCACTGCAACTTATTGGATTTCAGAGGGAGGCGAATCGGTAACTACTAAAAAGTTATAACGCAAACACACTGATCGCATTGGTTGGCAGGATAATGTGGGGGTTTTGTTTATTGAAATAATAGAATTTCCAGTTTTGCCAAATAACTACACAGATCTGGGCATTGTTTGTAAGTTGTGTGGTGAATTTCACCATAAATTGGTTTCAGGATTTTGTAGTGTTTTTGTCAAAGTATGGGAAGGGCAGGACTGACGGCTCGCGATTGCTTGTGGCCCAAGAAGAACCTCGTGTCCTCCGATACATGCCGGAAGGGAGAAGATGGGAAGTTTGTACAGCCAGACATAATATTCCCAAGGCCCAGCAATGAGTAGTCCAAAAACGGGCTCCTTTGATGCACATGCTGCCTCAGTCACACGCTAAGGCGTCGTTTCTTCCCGACTCTCTGCTCCGGCACAGGTGGACATGGACCAGGAGTGGGTGATCCCTGAGCACATGCGCTTCACCAAGTCGCGCTGGACTCCGTTCGCGGGGCGCAGGGTGAAGGGGATGGTGCGACGTGTGGTGCTGCGGGGGGAGGTGGCCTACATCGACGGGCAGGTGGGTCGGTGGGCGGGCGGGCAAGTGGCGGCAGGGGAGCAGTTTGCTGGTGGCAGTTAATTTTGTTGTAATCTTTTTTCCTCTTGGGCTATCGGCGTCTCGTCGTAAGATGAAGTATCAGTCGGAACTTCCACATGAAACAAGGGCACCGCGCACTGCACATTCCCACACTTCGTCCTGCTTTGGAGATTTTGATTACGTGGGAGTCAAGCCAATATTTGGCTCGCGGCTGTAATTGTGTGAGCGCGTACGTGCTTTGTGTTGGACACGCTGTCTGCGATGACGGAAGTTGTAGCAACGTCACTGCAGCCTCGAAGGCTCTGACCCACCTCTTGGGGCCACGTGCGCAGGTGTTGGTGCCGCCAGGGTTTGGGAAGGACGTGCGGGCGGCATGGCCGTTGGCCCCCTTGGCTGCCTCCGCGGCCGCCGCCACCGTCATCACCGCGGCCGTTGCCGGTGTCGCAGCTCCCGCCTGTCCCTCTGCCAACGTCGTCCCACCTACCAAGGTGAGTTTCCCCAATCCTCGCCAAAACAAGCCAATTCCTCACCCTGAAAGTCTCACACCGGTCATGCGGCCTGCTCCACAGGTTCTGTACCGGCCAGCCAACTCCTTACCCTGAGGTCAAGCCGGTGGGCACGTTGGCCCCATGTAGATATAGTGTGCGACAGACTGTGTCGCACGATGTCAATGAGCGGGCCCCCCCTGACTGGACTCGACGGTGGTGTTGATGAAGCGGCTGTCGCCGAGCTTGGCAAGACGAGTTGACGATAATAAAATAAAACATGAATAAACCCACAAAAAAGTGATTGTCCACACAGAACAGGCTTTTGTTGAGAAAGGCAAGGTCAGTGGACTTGGGCGGAACACTTCACGTGCAGGGATGATGACTGGTGGTTGAGATTAACGATGGAGAAGGGAACGCAGAGATGGAGCAATTTCAAATCGGCTCGTGTCCAAGAGTAAAATGGGTTTTGTAGCATTGCAGGGGCCCAGGAGAGATGGCGAGGACTTGCGGAGGCTTTATCCAGTTGGTGGATGGTTGACGACAATCAGAATTGCAATGTTTATTTAGACTGGAGGAATCCGATGAGCTACGAAGCTTTTTTTAAACTGATGTCCAGCATGGGGCAGGTCGGCAAGTTACAACAGCAAACAAAGGATTGGAGTGCAAAATAGAGGAAAGGGCAAGTAAGTGACAATTGATTTTTATAATTATACAAGTGATTTTATCAAGCTTGGGCACAGCGGCAAAAACCAACAACGAAACAGTCCCAGACCACACCAAGATAACAGTCCCTCAATAAAATGTCACGTTAACATTGAACTTTAGATGATGGTGGATAACCTCGTTAACACACCTTCGATTTGTCTTTCCCATCAGGTGGCTCCCATGAGCCCCCGTCGTGCCGTGAGGATGCAGTTACCCCCCCGCGTCCACCGCTCATCCGATCCAGGCTCCCTCCTTCCTGGTAAACCCCATGACCCCCATCGCATCGCCGGTGACCCATCGCCCAATCAGATTTTTTAAACCGTTCCCCTTCCCCAAATGCACCCACGCACACATGCAATTTTTTTAATCGTTTATTTGTTTGTCTCTTTGCTTGTTTTCTCGTCCATTATTAATTCTCTGTTTCGCTTGTTTGTGTATGAAAATTTGTCTTGTCATTCATTAATTCACTTCCGTTTGATTGTTTTTGACTTAAAAAAATATTGCTGTGATTTAATCTGTCAGAGGTTTTTATCGAGATTTTCTCCGTCATCTGAAATGGCCTCTGAGCGTTTGTTTTGTGCATCTCTGAAACGAGCGTGGGGGCGGTGCTCGCCTCCATCCGGTGGACCAAGCCAGTTGTGTAAATGCCACATGACCATGTCGAGGGCCGGTCTCTCCTTGGCGACAAACACTGTTGGCTCCCCTGTATATCCGTGTCGTCGACTCGCACCTTCCAGCGAGGCGGGTAATATTTATCCCTAATTTGTGTGTAGAAATCAACAGTGGAACGTCCTGTGGGGAGTGGCCGCCTGCCATGGAAATGTGGAATTTCCATCACAGCCTCGGCAATGCCGTTGGAGATGAGCGCTGTGCCAATGCTTGAATTGGCCCACATAAATTTTTTGTTCAATTAATGCTGACCGAGAGACGTCTTGACATTCGATTTAACTGAAACCACGGTGGCATTCTAACATGCCATGATAATAATGGGACCATGGTAACAAAAGCCTTTGTAACAGAAACCATGGCAACAGAGGCTGTAGCTTCAGATGATGGCGTTGGACCACACTACTGTCTGTGTTTTGCACAATGAATGTTGACGTTTCCGTTTGCCTCTTGATGATGAACTCTACTTTTTGAATTGTCTAGCTTGTAAATGAAATTGGTTGTTATTTTTTCATGTTCATCGTTAACAGGCACTGTTAATGTGTGATTTAACATGCACAAGTGTCAGTCTATACACAAGGGGTGTAAATATTCGTGAACCAAACATTTTACTCAAAAGGACGATCATTAATGCAGCATTCGTTGTGAATGGGCTAATGTAAAATGGGACGGCAATGAAAACCATTTGCGAATTATCCGTTCAATAGCGCCAATTAAGGGTGGATTTGCATTATGTTATGGTATTTTCTATAAATCAATCCTGTTCGCTGTTGCCACTATCAACTCGTCAGAATTGAGCTTTTGAAAACCAATAACCAATTGCGAGCGAGTAGTTCCTCAGTCAATTTTGAGGGAGCGCCTTTCATTATCATCCAATCAGGAATTGGCTATCTTTACCACCATCTAATCATGGGATAGGTATCTCAATTTCATTAACCAACCAATAGGTTGTGATCTTTCAAAACATTTGCTCAATTACACTCAACGAATGGTGCCTTCCAAACCGCCAACCAATCGTGAGTCGGCAGAGGTGTTGCATGTTAAACATATGACATAGTATCTAATTGTCTGTGTAGCACGACATTTAACCCCAACCATCCATTGTCGTTTTGGTTTTTACTTTCGAGTACAGCACCTTTCCAAATTCTCACAAATTGGCTAGCGCACGATGTCACTACATCGTCGTAATCTTCGTGATCCTCATCATTGCTCCGACCACCCAGCCCTGGTGTATATGGTGGCACCTGTTGCTTCCCGGCGTTGCCACCCGGTAGCATGAAATAATGGTCGCCGTGTCGCCGCATCGTGCCCGCGCAGTTGACGGCGACACCAAGGAGCGGAGCGTCACGAAACCCAGTGAGCAGGAGCTGCCCAAAATTGGTACTTGTGCCACGTCGCCACCGCCACCCCCCACCCTCACTACCCTCTTCCCGCTCACCCGATCGCTCCCTCACTGGCTGATGCGGCCTCGTAACAAAAGCCACGCTCCCTCCTGACGTGGGGAACCACCTAGGGATGTATCGATTCGCTAGATAATTTTTTTCAATAGATTCTTAGGCTCACATTGCATGTATCGAATGGTGTGCGTGAGAATCTATTTACTTGCGATGTTTGCGACTGATATATTGTGCCATTCCGGATAATGGAGTGGATCAGAACTGTGCAAACGAACCAGGGGGAGGCTGAAAAGAGGTGGAGGAAAATAATTAATAATTTAATGGAATTGTGATCCCCAACTCCTGACAAATTCATAGAATCACCAGAGGATGAATGCATTACATGCCTTTATCGTTTCCAATCCATATATGTTTATCATTTTGTGATACCACTATAAGTAAATGCCGACGGGTTTGTACTAATATAGTCGGCACATTGACCACTCTAGTTTAAAATAATGTATCATTCGATCATGTTGTCTCTCGAGAACTCGGCTCAGGTGCTGTGAACTTGCCTGTCCAGTTTGAGTCCAAGTTGTAAATTGTATACAGTTTTGTTTTAAAAGGTTGGCCATGCATCATCCTTGAATTCAACTTAAACCGTTCTCATGATTATCGGGGGCAGTGGTATTTCGTGCATGGGACAGTGTTTGTGTAAACGTGTCGAATCTAATGGGGGGGGGGGGGGTGGGGGGGGAAATTACCGTGCTTTATAACTGGATCTGTTTTAACATCCTTGGCTTGCTATTTTGACTTTCCAATCTCTTGCTTTCTTGTCTGGCTTTATTTTTCCCTTCTATGGTATTTGCTCTTCCTGCATACAAATATGTTGTATTGTTTGACTAAAGAGAGGAGGCCGAGTTGCTCTGGAGCTTTAGAAAAGCTATTTGCATACAGGAGATTTTGACGGTTTAAATGCTGGTTCCAATGATCAGTGATTTTAAACCGGGTTGACATTTGATGGTCTTAGCCCAGCCTACCAATGGCTTGTTCATTTTATTTTTCACTCGACAATATCCCAGGTGTTATATGAGCATTACAAAAATATGAGCTCAACTTCCATGCTACCAACATTTCTCTGGAGCGGGGCTCGTGGGTAAGTGCTTCCGTGTAGTGCTTGTGGACAAGAGGTCACTTGAAGAGATCTCAGAAGTAGTTCTGTGATGGCTCCTTCCGCCGGCCATTCTCAAACACTGGGCAATGCATTGCTCATGGGTCCTTCGTTTCATGGCACGATGCCGATGGCACAATTGGGTCACAATTGCCCAAAAACGATAACCTCCATTTTTAAAATATGACTTGGGCCCTCCTTGACCTTTTTTTTTCTTCCAAATAACGTTTCGTACCTGTCCACCACCATTGTCTCTCACGGTCATCTCTCTCCAATCCCATCCCATCCCCATTAATCACGACCTCCCCTTGAACCTCCCCCGCCCACTCCCAGAGCACATCCTCTTCCTAGACGGTGGAGCGGCCCCGGTGCCGACGACCTCCACGCTGCCTCGCCTCGCCCTGTCCCCGCAGCACCCGTCGCTGGCCGCCGCAGGGCCTCCCTCTTCCGTGTCCCCGCACCAGGCGGCCACGGCGGCCACGCACGGCCTCACGGGCCAGCACATCCTCTCCGTGCGGCAGTTCTCCAAGGATCAGGTGGGCTCGGGGGACAGTGGAGATCGTCTTTTTTTTTCTTTTTTACCCACGATGCTCCGGGGGGGGAAATGTAACTGCGATCGTAGTCGGCAGTCTTCGTCGGAGACATGTTCACGATGAGCAGCTGCGACAACTTGTACGCCAGTGGTACAGCAGGGTTCTTAAACTGGCTGCCCGTGGGTCGTGTCTGGCCCATTAAAAGGCTCTTGGAGTGGCATGCAGAGCTATGGCGTGCCAAGAGATGTGGCTTACGGAGACGCATTTTAGTGAGATGACAGAGATAAACAAAGAGGGAGATGAGAACCTGCAGACTAGGTCCAGATAAGCGAGAACAGAAGCACTAATGCCAATATGTTCAGGAGTAAAATGTCGATGCCTGCGAGCCACTAAGAGAGGGCTCCAGGAGAGGGTTTGTCGTTTTGCTATTTCTCCTCCGTTGAAGAGGAGTGCAGGCGACAGTGGTTTACTTTATATGGTTCGTAGTTTGCGTTGCAAGGCCACAGTCGCACTAGGGCGGCTTGTTCTTGAATTTTCCATTCATGAAGGACATGTGTGCAGCGGCCTGTTTGTTGTACCGGTCACAACAAGGGGGAGGCAAGGTTGTGGGGGCTCAAGATGATGGCGCTTGCCAAGTTGGCCCTGGTGTGACATCGTCCCAACCCCGGCGCTCTGAATGAGCGGTTGTTGTGTCCCCCCTTGTGTTGCAGCTGTCGCATATGATGAACGTCGCTCACCACATGCGCATGATGGTTCAGAAGGACCGCAGCCTCGACTCCGTGCTCAAGGTGGGAGCGGGTGGGATGGCGGGCAAATCATGTCAATGTGGTGATTGTGATAGTGGTTATTACATTTAAATGGTGTTCATTGTATGGGGAGGAGTGGCACAGTGGTAAGTACTCTGGTACAAACCCAGCATACAAAGTTAAATTCCGGTCACGACTAACGTCGGTGATTATCAACGGGCATCGCTAGTTCGTCTCGGCCTTAATTGTGTAGGATGCGGTGTGTAGAGTGTTGGCGATAGAGGTGGCCGGACATCAATGCTGTGGCTACACGATCCCATCGTGCATCTTTCTGGCCTTACTTGGTCCTCTAACAGCAACTGCCACAGAAGCCTGTATGGCTACATTGGTGATATTTGTCTTTGGTTGACAATTGGTATTGATGATGATGGCGTCGGTGAGGGTAAATGATGGTCCTGGTGGCGTTACCAATTATGGTGGGAATGGAACTGGTTAAGATAACAATGGCTGTGGTGCAGATGATAGTGCCTATGATGATGTTAGTTTTTGTACAGAAGGTGGTGATGTTGCTGGTTGCGGGAATAACAATAATAATAATAATGATGGTGTTGCCATTGGTGGGACAATTTTTGCGACCCTGGTGGTGTTAGCGACGATTTCCAGGTGTCTCGGCACCGGCGATAACTGCGCGTTGCGGTGTGCGTCTGCTGTGCGCAGGGCAAGGTGATGGCGTGCATGTTCTACGAGGCGAGCACGCGCACCAGCAGCTCGTTCACGGCCGCCATGCAGCGCCTGGGCGGCAGCGTCATCACCTTCTCCGAGGCCACCTCGTCCGCGCAGAAGGGCGAGTCGCTCGCCGACTCCGTCACCACCATGTCCTGCTACGCCGACGTGCTCGTACTGCGCCACCCAGCTCCCGGTGCCGTTGAGGTGGGGGCCGCATCGCTCGCTTCGCTCATTCATTCACAGCCTCCTCGCCCCAACTGAGCTCTCTGACCCTGTTAAATGCACAACCCCCGAGTACTGGGGTCTACAATGTTGGGTTTAAGGTGCGGGGGGTTTGGTGTTGAGGACTAAGGTTCAGCTTGGACTTTAGTAAGAGGCTGGAATGAAGTGTAGGGGGCTGTGCTGTTGTACAGGCTCGGCAGGAAGTCCCCTGTACACCGATCCCTCAGGCTCACAGTGGTAAAGGCGTAATCGGGACTTTATGCTCACCCTGCATACGCACACTGGGATTTGTGGGATAGCAGTGTGGGTTGGTGTTTTACTATCAAGTCTGGTGAGTGTAATAGTACGCAGAGCAGTGCTGCGTCTGAACTTTGCTGGTGTAACCGTATGCCGATATTTGTAGAAGAGACGCGGCTAAGTCAGGGCACGGTTTGACTCCACCACCACGTCTCCCTCAATGTGCAGATGGCGGCCAAGAACAGCCGGCACCCGGTCATCAATGCGGGCGACGGCGTTGGGGAGCACCCGACGCAGGCGCTGCTCGACATCTTCACCATCCGCGAGGAGCTGGGCACCATCAACGGCATGACTGTACGTCCGGCTGGAGTCCCCACCCTGCATACGCCTAGAGTTGGTCGTGAAGGCCGTGGCCCGGGTTAGCGACACGGGGGCCATCGTTCTGAGCGCGGCTTGGGATAGTTCCGGAGGAGGCGGGGAGTATAAAGTGCGGGTGTCGTGTCTCTTCTCCCTGTGCTGCCTAAAGATCACCATGGTGGGAGACCTGAAGCATGGGCGCACGGTTCACTCGCTGGCGAAGCTGCTCGCGCTCTACCGCGTCACGCTGCAGTACGTGTCGCCCCCAAGCCTGCGCATGCCACCCCGCATCGTGCAGTCGCTCGCCAGCAAGGGCATCAAGCAGGTATGCACGGACAAAGACACAGATCCCCCGTATAGCCTGTTACAGACGCCTATGAAAGCCGGCACGGCACACGAGTGGGTAGGTGGCCAGCACTACGCCTGGCCGTGATGTTTACACATCTCACCAGGTACTTATTTTAAGGGAGACCCAGAACCAGTTCACATAATCGTAACTAGTGTCGGCCGTGAGGTGAATTAAACTTGGGTCCAGCGGGTTCGTAGCGTGGCGTGCCAATTGCTGCACTGCACCTCCCCATAACAGTTCCACACGCACCTGCAACGTATAGACATCTGCACGTCACATGCGCAAACAGCTGCACACACGCACCGGCCGGTTTTGAGTCGGTGGAGCTGTTTCTGACGGGTGAGGTCTCTCGTGAACACCGCCCCCCCCCCCCCCCCCCGGCAGGTGGAGTTGAGCAGCATTGAGGAGGCCTTGCCCGACACGGACGTGCTCTACATGACGCGTATCCAGAAGGAGCGCTTCACCTCGGAGGACGACTACAACAAGGTGCGTGCGGCGGCACCGCCAACGTCTCTCGCGCCGCGTGCCCATATCGCCTCGCGGAATTCGTGCTTTAGAGCTCCTCTTCTCCGTCATCCACGCCTCCACAATGCTCCTCATTCAATTGATCACCTCCCGTGTCCACCCCTCCTTCGTCATGCTTCAGTGGTTCTGTTTAAAGTTTTGACTCTCACTCTTCCCTCGGTCTTCCCCTCCATGCACCGTGCCTCAGTGCTCGCGTCTGGAGTTGGAGGGCTTCCCCTCCCCGATCCTCCCCTTGCAGTGTCATTCCTCGCATTGCTTCAGTTGAAGATTTGACTCTTCCTGCCTTCCCCCCCCCCTGACTGTGTCCTGCGTCAGAGTCATCCTCTCCTCCCCCGACAATGCTCCTGCCTCGGTGTTTGTACTCAGGCGTCTGTGTCCCTTTTTCTCATCCCGTGTCCTCCCCCGTGCCGCTCAGTGCTTTGGGCAGTTTGTGCTGACGCCGCACATCATGACGCGCGCCAAGGCCAAGATGGTGGTGATGCACCCCCTGCCCCGCGTCAACGAGATCAGGTGCGAGCACGCGTGCGCCAACGCGATGGTCACATCATTTGTCATGGCGACGATGTAAGCGTTGATGATCGTGGCTTTGATGTGGCGACGCTGAGTGGTGATTGCGGTAGCGATATTTATGTTGCTGCTGTTGATGATATTGTTAACGATTATGATGAACGGGACGAAATATTATTGCTGACGTTACTAATGATGATGGTGGCTGTGATACAAATGTTTAACTGTGAAAAGGTTATATTCATGATGGTGGTGGGATATTATTGCTGGTGGGACTTGTTACGAGTTGTCGAGCATAGCGACCAACGCACCAAGCGGGCCAGCAGCAAACGGCACATACAGTTGTCATCGATAGGAGTCTCTAAGTTTTATGAATTGAGCAAGATTATAAACAGATGGGGGGGGGGGGGAAAGAGATAGAAGGGATTTCCAAAGGGGAGCAGTAGGAGGGAGGAAGCAGAAAGAGAAGCGTTTTGACCTGCAAGCGTGGTGGTTCAACACGGATGCAGAGGACATTAACGATATCGGAACGTTGAACTTGTTGATACGACGTGAATGCTGATGATCCCTGGATGCGGTTGTGTGACCCCCGCAGCCCGGAGGTGGACTCGGACCCTCGTGCAGCCTACTTCCGCCAGATGGAGAACGGCATGTACGTGCGCATGGCCCTCATCGCATGCATCCTGGCGCGGGTCTAGCACCCGGAGACCCGCAAATCACCAACAGCACCAGGAGAAGACGGGGGGGGGGGGGGGGGGGTTAGTGGTGAGTGGTTGAGTTGTTGAGATGGGTGGGCAGTGAGTGGGGGTGGGTACTTGGTGATGGATGGGTGTGTGGAGGCATGTGGTAATGTGGGTAGTTGGTGAGGAGTGGTTGGTGATGGGTATTGAGTTGGTGAATGAATTGAATTCTTTACCAGTTTGACCCTTTCCTATCAGTTTGTTAAAACAAAAAAACTAATTATGGACTAATAATTAATCATAACACTGCCTGGCTTTTTAATATGGCCACTTGATATTGTCAGATCCCAACTCGTAATGAGAAAAAGAGACGGGCTCTGGCCAACTCCCCTTTTAAGCGTGGAGACACTGAACATTTTTTAGTTACATGAGAGAGCCTCGCCGAGTCTCGATGGCTTTTTTTTCAGGAGGGTTCTGCTTGGGTTGAGTCTACGAGCACTACTTGTTCTCTCTACATGACCCACCAACCCCCGCTCCAGAGTACTGGACCGCAGGCGGCGTGCCACGTGCACCAGATAGGGCCAGCGTTACCCGTCCCAGTCTCCACGTGGCCCCCCTACCCCTCCATCTAAATGGTTGAGTCCACCAGCGAGGTCTGCATCACTGCACCTGGGGTGTTCCATTGTCGTCCTTGATCATGAAATCTCACACCCTGGCCTTACCGCTGTCCAAACGCGACATGATGTTTGACCTGAGCCAGGCGGTGCGAAACCTCAAGACGGTTCATGGCCCAATTCCCGTGGTTTTAGTGACGATCCCATTTTGTCACGCTTTTTGAACCATGTCACCAACAATGGAGAAAATCGCCAAGGTGATCTTTTGTGGCCTTCAATGTCAAGATGTGAATCTGGCCCTTTTAGTTTCTCCATAGTGAAGGTTGTTGGGAAGGATAGAGGATTTTATTTCGGTTCTTTTTTTTATCTGCCTGGCAAGATAATTTCAGAGATGTTGGGTAACGGGGCTGTTGAACCCATGCCTTGATTCCTTTCTTCCTCCCACTGGATGCTATTTTTTTCACATTTCATTGGTGACCGGAGCTGCTATTTGCAAGGCTTGTGCTTACGCACAAGCCTTGCTTGCTTCTGCAAGCAGTAGGGCGTTTTAAGAAGCTATTTAGAAAATGTGCCGAGTCTTATTTTCCACGTATTTTTATTATTGTATCGAATGATTTGCAAAGAAGTCTGCTTTCTTGTGTTTACGTTTTGAGAGAGAGGTTGTAAATTCCATTGTTGTTTAGAAACATGGAAGATGATGGTCGGAGCGGTCCGTCCGACTTTAATAGAAAGGGACTTGGCAAAAAGGAATGGCCTTTAAGCTGATGTGATCGCCACGAGTGGTACGAAATGGTCGCAGGTCTTCACGAGTAATCGACGCGGGTGGCTGCACGGCAAAGTCTATACGAGGTTCCTCTTATTCTTAGGTTTTTTCGGTAAAGTCACGTAGGTAAAACATTAAAATTAATAAAAGTAAAATAAAATAAAAATCACGACGTTTCGGAGGCAACACAAGCTTCCGTCTTCAGGTGGAACCGTCACAGCCACGACAGCTGTATCAAGTAAATGAGAGATTGCAGGAGCTATATAAACTGAGTGGTAGCTCCTGCAATCTCTCATTTACTTGATACAGCTGTCGTGGCTGTGACGGTTCCACCTGAAGACGGAAGCTTGTGTTGCCTCCGAAACGTCGTGATTTTTATTTTATTTTACTTTTCTTAATTTTAATGTTTTACCTACGTGACTTTACCGAAAAAACCTAAGAATATGAATCCTTGCAGTCACGAAAGCTTCAAATCTAGAGGTTCCTCTTGTGGTGATGGAATTGATCGTTAAACAGTGTTGTAGTGCAGCGGTGGCCAATAGACCAAACACTATGATCCATTCTGGTGGATCTCAACGGGTTCTGTGATCCACCATCAGAAAGACAACTACCCTGCCATATTTAACCCTGTAATGTACGAAATACGTAAAGTACCAATGCTATCGATTGGTAGAATTTTTTTTTTTTTCAATGTATGAATTCTTTGAGATTTTTATTTGCCCTCAATCGTACAGAGAATTTTTTGTGCTTGTTAGTGTTGTGATTTGTCCTGAGAACCATAAAAAATCGTTTGCGATCTACGTATTGGCCACCGCTGGTGTAGCGCATCTTGCCATGAAAACCCCAGGTATAAGCTCAAATCTCTTTTCATCGCTTATTTTTCAGAGATCTAATTTCCCGTTAACAATCACAGTTGTAAAGGCAAAGCCTGTTTTTTTTTATTAAAAAGAAATTGCGAAGTTAACTGCACAGCTTGGTAATGTTTGAAAGTACAGATCAACTAAAATAATCAAAACTGAAATTGGGTGTTGCCATTTCATTGCCAGAATCCTATCATTCACCTGCAAGTGAATATGGCCCTCGCTTGTATATGACACAGCAGAGCTATTGAGCAATATAAATGCAATGTCAATTTAGTTGAAGGATAATTTTGGACCTCTTGGTGAGACCAAGATGTCCCTGGTGGGACAATTGTGCTTTAAAATCCAGGCGCCTTTGCTTTTGACTTTGGTGCTTTGGTACATTGGCCAATCCATGTGAATGGTTAACCTTTTTTTTAAACAACTGATGGTACTGTTGTTTGCAAAGATCTTGGTTTATAAGAATGGTTTATGATGTGCTGCCAGAGGCTGTCCTCTTACTCTGCCGATTCGTAGTGTTTAATTGCATATTATAATTTCGGTTTTAAAAATGACCAATTGCTGAATGATGGATACGCTAAGATGTTTAATCGGGGTTTATGTAGGCTGCAGAACATAATGGGATAAACTCATAGTCTACAATGTATGTTCTACTTGAGTAGCAAGCACAGCTGGCGGTGGGTGACAATACTGGTGGTGGTGTGATAAGATGATTTAACACTACACTTGTTTAGTTCCGATGGTTATTAGAGTTCTCATTGAAGAATGACCTCGCCCATCAACCGCCATGCAACCAGAGCCGATAGGCTTGTAAACATGTCACCGGCCAAGCGCTACCAACTCAATAATATAAGAATCGCCACGCAATTATTTCTGCAGGCGAAGATTCGGGAAAGTCTTAACCGAGTCTAGGGAACTTTTTAAAGGAAAGTCCTGCTTGGGGTGTTAAGCCATTTGCTTTGTGGGAATGTATGGTATGTTTCTCCCATGTTTTCTTGTTTAAAAGCCTCCTTAAATTTGTGGTATGATGTTTTCTCACTGATATGTTTTATCCCCAGTTAATGGAGATCCTCATTGACCAGGGAGGGCCTTGTCTTGCTCAGCTCTTAAGTTAATTGCTTAAGAAAAATCTGGTCAAACTAACTCTAATCCCAGTAGCAATTGAAGCCAAACTCCAGTGCCTGCTTGCGTGGCAGGCCTGTGTAGCTTCCAACAATTATATGCTTGGTTCTTTCTGTAAAGTCACGTAGAAGGGAAATAATAAAATAATAAAAATAAACCATTAAATTCTCACGACGTTTCGGCCACAACGCAAGCAGCCGTCCTCGGGTGAAGAACAGAGCTTTCTGAATGACAGCGTCCTAATGAACACTGCTAAGTTTGGCAGTGTATTTTAACCTGGGTGGGAGGAGCAAATGGCCTTGAAACGTGAGAATTTTAGGTTTTATTATTTCCCTTCTACGGGACTTTACCGAAAGAACCAAGAATATTAATCCCTGCAGTCACGAAAGCTTTAAATCGAAATTCCAACAATTACTTAAACATTCACCATGCATTTAAACCAAAGGAGATTTTATAGACAAGGCAGCAGCATCATGTATGTACAGTTCGTGTTTATTTACCGAAAGGTGAAACGTTACACGTGAACGGCCGTGCGCACAGCCTTTTGAGCAGCATCGGATTCCTCCACAAGACATTCTGAGTTTGAACTGGTGAGATCAGTGTGTCACTTCGTCCGTGAGCCAGAACAGATATTGGTACTACTGAAGTTGCAAAACTTTTTGCAATACCGATTTATATATATGGTTAATACCTTGAATTAATTACTTGATAACCCACTCGTGGCAAATGGTTATTACAAGATTCACTATAATTGGCCACAAAGAAATTGTAACAAAGCTATGCCACCTCGGATGGTACCAACAACTGAAATAACTGGTCTGGGCTCGTGGAGTAACTGCTGAGTGAAAGTTTACAGCCAAGCCATACCCCTGTTGAGAGATGTCAGCAGTGGTCTTGAGATTGGGCCTGCCAGGGTAATATGGAATTTGTACCACCTGGCTTGGGGCCTCTAAATCAGTTCAGCACCATTGCTTGTTTGGACATGGAGACATTTTTGACAAGTGCACAAATTGAAATGCGTTCACAATATACTTTAAAAGTTTATTTTTTAGCGCTGGCTTAAGTTGTTCAACCTGCAATTGATGAGCATTGGATAATTGTGTTGCAGTTGAATGAGCATGGGAGGTGTACATCTTGGCTTTTATGCAATGAGCAGGCTGTTGAAAGCCCCCCCCTGTGGTCAATGTTTATTTGTAAAAGGCAAACTGCAGTGTGTGGCTCATTACATCGACTGCAGACCAGTAGCAGTGTCACGGTTGTCTGACGTTCGAGAATTGGCCACGAATTAAAGAATCTTGCGAGTTTATTTTCACTTTGTTTTAATGTCTTTTTAGTTGATTCTTGTTTTTGAGAAATTCCCTTTTTATGCGCTTTGCATCTCCAATGCAATTTAGTTTGTAGCGTCTGAATAAAAAATAAATGTGACTCAGTTTTTACTGACAACTGGCCTTTGTACAGTTTATAAGGAATGTGTCATTCATAGCGGTGGTTTTCCTTAATTGTGTTGCCAATGCCAACAATGAAAATAAATCAAGCTGAAAAAAGGAGAAGTTGGCAAGGGTGGTAAAGGCAAGAGTTTGGAAGCATAATTAGCCAAACACTTGCCCTAACTCAAATCCACGACCCTTCCCACTGAACCTAATGCATACTCATCCATCAGGTGTTTTGCAAAGTCTCCTTGTATGCAGTTTACCTTTCACTTTTGGTTTTTACAGACCCGTTATGTTAAAAGTGGTAGACTTAGGTTCTCTTTCCAACAAAATAACCCACAATTTTACAACTCTACAGCACAAACCATTTGGCTGAATAAACGTACAACAAATTTAGCTTAATTTGCAAATTTACATTCATTGCCGATTGTATACAGATGAGCAATGCCGCCTGAATTTAGCACCCTTTCTGCCTGTTTCTATATTAACGTTGTACCACATTGCAGCCCATTGGCATGGGTGACCTAAATATTATACAAAGCAGGGTGGGTGCAAGGGCTGGCGATGGGGGAGGGGGCTGATGAAGCTGGCCATGGAGCACAGCCCTGGAGAACACACATGGACAGATGCGCACCTCTTTGCAATTGGGCAACTTCCACCTAGTTAATCGTCCATGGCCTACAATAAATTGGGCACACCACTGACTCACGGCTACCAGTGGAAGCGGAGCACTGCCCAATCTTTGTTTTTACTTTGACTTGGTTATTTAAAATGGCTTTCGATTGGCTTTGTTAAAAAGTGTAAACAAACAATATTTCGGTTTTAAAAGCTTTCAGGGTAATTTGTTAAAGTCAAAGATAAAGATGCGACGCCGCAAACGCTTGCTCACGCCACTTCTGGCAGATGGGCCTCTTGAGCAAACTCGAGAGCATTGTCTACTCCAAGTTGACCAGACGTATTGAAAGTGGTGGGCGTACCCAGACTACACCAACACAAGCAACCTGCCAATGGAGTGTTGTGTACCCATTTTATACGGCTTGGTGGACATGCAGCGATATTGTTTTTGAGAATCTTGCCCAAGGTTCCACTGCAAGAAGGAATCAAAATGCCCACCACCTCTGGATTGTAAGTCCAATGTGTGCAAACTATAACATGGCAAATCCCTAATTTTTGAATACAGCAATCCCTTCCCAACAACGGACTTCATGTACACAAGGTTTAACTGTATACAATTTTACCAACGGTGGCGCGGAAATGTTGAGTATCCACAGGTTAGCACAGGTTTACAACACGCATTTTCAGATTTTGTGGGGCCACAGTTTTCTTCTTCGCCACCTGTGGTGCTGCGTAGCGCATCGGCTGTCCATCTGTTTTTCCGAGTCTCGCACCGCATCTTGTGCTTCTGTTGGTCCATCCATTCATCCGACATTTTTATAAAGAAAAGAACCAACGCCACTGATCCAGCCAGCAGCGCCACTGTACCTGCCCCCTGACCTGCCCACACGTGTCATTGATGACCCAGAGGAAGAGGGGAAGGGTGGGCTGAACCCCTTCTCCTAACCCCCCCCCCCCCCCATCTCATTGTCAAAATCATGGACTTCTACCCTCGGTATTAAGGTATGTAAAGTAAATTTGATGTTTATTACTTTGTGATGTACTGTTTTATTTGTTTAAACGGTCACCTTAGTTTAGCTTTGACGAGTCTGACCGTGGCCATGGTTCTTCTAACCCCCTATTTTCCATAAGCACTGGACTGCTTTGCCAACTGCGAATGTGCCTTCCACGGCCTTTTCCAGGAACCTAACCCCCGCGGTTGGCGAGGGGATTGTTGTATTGAAGACAATTTTAAGGAAAACATCACCTTCAGAAAGAAAGTTAACTGATAATTGGTTTTTTACCCTTCTATCTGGCAAAAACTGACATCTTTTAACAAGGAGTCATGTTTGCATAGACCGCAATACCTGCAGTCATAATACAAACAAAAGACATAACTCTGATAATGTGCACTGTCCTTGAAGTTGATTGGTCCACACCCGAGACAGCTTTCCTTAGAGCCTAGTCTCACATGGGTTGGACCAGATGACGCCAAAAGGCGCACTCCTTGTAAAAAGATGTCAGTTTTGTTGCCAGATAGAAGGGTAAAAAAACAATTATATTTTTACTGGCAAATGAGGTTCCCATAGTGTAAAAGTTAACTGAATTAAATGTTGACAGCTTATACACAGTTAAACGTGATGTTTGTCACTGAGAAATTCACCCTGCAATCTCCAGATAATGCATTTGCAATAAAAGTTATTTTCAGACATAACACAACTCTTAAAAAAAAGCAATAACAAAATAAACAACCAAAAATACGTTTTTACATTTTGGGCTATATATGCATTTGGTAAAAACAAAACTACCAAATCAAAGCAGGGAAGCTGCAGAATCCAAAAAATGTGGATGTGAATACACTAACCCTGAACAACTGTCAAGGCAAATTTTAGCCTTTAGGAATTATAAATGGGGACCCTAATTGGGTCTGGACTGGACAAGGAGGAAACTGGGCATGTCTCATCACATGGACCTAAAATTGAGGTACCACAGTTCTCCTCAACTTCTGGCAAGAGGCAGCTGATTTATAGGAAGATTTTACACCAAAAAACAAAACTGCTCTTAAAGCTACACCCCAAGCTTTTGCTCTGGTCTGTCTATACGGTTTCGGTTTAATAATGAGAAAATACTTCAAATCGATCGAGAGCTATCCATACAATTCTGAGATGGACACTGCAACAAGGTATTTAGATTGTGCTTCAGTTAGACCTCATTCATTTTTCCCTCAACCATTTAACCCCATGCCGTGCAGCCTGGGACAATACCTAAGTGCGTATCCAAAAGAAATGCGCCATTTGATATTGGGATTGCATCTTCCTGGAAGACGCAAGCTGGAGCCAATCTGGCCTCAATGCTCCAGGAGTAACAGGTTTCGTCTGGGGTCTTGAGAGAGTATCCAGGACTCTGGAAGTTTTTAAATGAACCCAAGAGTTCACGACATGCTCTTTCAGCGGCGTCATTACGGCAAACTCCCAGCCCCTGGGGCTGGGTGGGGGTTCCATCTGCTCCCATTCCAGACTCGTGAAGCTTACCCACATTTACCCACCAGTTTCCTTCCATATCCTCTTGGCTGTGGATACTGCTCTGCACCACCCTTGGGCCAGCCATTGCTGCCCTGCTCTAATGAAAGTCCCATTGAATCAAGGAGAATTGGGGTTTCGCTCTTCATCCACATTTGTGTGAACTCCGTGTCAGCAGAGCGGACACGGGCTTGCAAGTGTTACTCGACATGGATGTTTCTCTACTGCTGCCTGCACAGTTGTTCTTGATGCCATTAATGTAGGTCATTTTCCCCTCTTTCTGTCAACCTTAGTTTATTTGAGCTCAGCTGGTCCAAACTGTCTGTGCTCTATACCTCCCTACGAAAACCTGTTCATGTTATTTGTAGTTAGTCGTGCAATCCATGCAGATCAGCTGTCCTGCAGGAGTCTCAAGGTTTGCCCATGCTTGCGAGTCCCACCAAAGTTGACCAGGAGCACATTTTTACGTAGCAGTTGTTTTCTGGGAGTAACAAGATGCAGCAAGATATCCCAGTTGCTTTCTCTGTTTGAGATGCTGTGAACACAGGTAAACCTACAAGAAAATGTAACAATCCATGTGATAGAAGGCAACCATGGCTTCTATGCCGAGTAGCACATTGTTTTAATAAATTAGGAAATAGTAATCAGGAGATTTTAGTTTAACAGCTGAGACAGCTCAATTTTATGTCTGGCCAACCTGGCAAATGGCCATTTAACGCTGATCCAACCCTGCCTCATAGTTTCACGTGACAAGTCTAGGAATTAGCCCGAATGAGCAGACAGCCGAACAAGTTTATCAGGACCAGGGCAGAATCCAGGCTCTAGTTTGAGGAGTCCAAACTCCAGCTCGGGTTTCCTTTTAGATGTTACATCCCACACCACCTACTAATCTCTTTACCCCCAAATTGAACTGAACATCATTGCAGGAGATCCTAATCAGGTTCGACATGAGTATCCCCAAGCACTTGTGATTCATTGAATTTCCCCGATTTCAAGGTTATTTCTTTCAATTAAAGATGTACAATTTGTATTTGTTGTTCTGTCTTAATTGTAGTCCATTTTATTTGTACCATGTTTAATTTGTTCTGTTCGTTCCATTGTCTTCAAGGTAACATATGCATTTTTTATTCCATATTTGAATTGATATGTAATAACAGATTCTTGAAAGCACGATTTGATGTATGCATCTTGCACATAACAATGCATTTTAATTGATCAATCATTACATGACCACAGCGGGTGCAGTATATATTTACACCATGGCAGTGTCCCAGGGATCAATAAAGACACCGTAACAGAAAATCTGGAGAGCCTGCAGCCTTCAACGGTGAAACACATTTAGTTTACCTCTAAACCGCCCTACGATACCTGACGATTATTGCCAATTGAAAACTATTGCATTTCTCTCTGCACTTTCAAAATAACATGAGGGGGATTAACTCCTCCCCGCTCTGACACATTTGAGGACATCACCCATTGCTTTTAGTTAAATTGATGTGGCAGGAAGAGGGGCGTTGAGCTGTCGTAATTTGCTATGGAGGTGCAGCATCTGCACACAAGCATGTGGAAAGTTAGCCTAAATCCTGCAATTGTATTAACTAAGGATTCAAAACGACATTTTAAGCCATGTACAGCATTTGTATCCAATGGGGTGGCACGGTGATTAAAGCACCTGACGAGTAGTAACGTTGTGAATTCAAATCCTGGGGTCAGAGGAATGACTCTATACCAGCATCCCTCTGGGGAAAATAAATGTATAAGGCTTTGTGGGAAGTCAAGAGTCGTCATCCTATGGCTAAATGGCCTCTGCCATGGGAATAAATAATTTCTCCCACTGGTTTACAATGGAGATAAACATTGCCCCAATAGTAACGAATTGGCATGTTCTGTTTACGTGACAAACAATTGTCTGTCTGGTGGTGGCGGCGGGTTTAACGACACATTTATATTTATGCGATCTAACCCAAAAAAAAACTATATTATGGATGGTATTGTTCGCGAAAGCCTACGTGTTAAAATGCCCCAATGCTTGTTTGAATAACGAGGTAATTGTACTTAGTTATATTTTGTATGCTTTAAAGGAGATGCTGCCCAAATACTGTTAAGGAAAAAACATACATTGTCTGATGGCAGCTGTCCGTCAAAACAAGTAGCGATGGAAACTAAAGTGAACACTGCCAAAGTTTTCCCAGACACGCCTACCATTTGTTACAATAATATACAACAGGTACTGAATGCCAGCACAGCAACTTGAGCATGTTCTTATGCATCCATGGTGATTCCTCAGCCTTTGCCTCCCAAACTGGCACTTACCACATCTTACAAAATGATCAACGTGAAACATCGTAAACAACCCGGTGTAAAGGAATAATAATCATTGTTGTTCAATTACTCTAATGCTCATGGACCAAAATAAAGGCTCCCACGATTTCCTGTTTGTGAAGCACAAAAGTGGCATGTTAGCAGAATGCCTTAACATTTGCCTGGTTGGGTGAAATGCCAGAAATGTGGCTAGCATGCAGCATGTGTGTGGAGATCAAACCGCGAGCTTTCCTGCTCTTTACAAACGCTGCCATTGAAAATTAACGAAGTAAGATTACAAAGGGATCTAAAACTAAAGCCAATGCATCACTGCAAACAAATTCTGTCAACCATCGTTAACGACCACTGAAAATGCTAAACAAACTTTGCCTTTTGTTGACAAAACCGTGGAAAATTACATGCACATTTCACCGAAAGAAAACATCTTTCTTTTCTTGCAGGTCGCTGATGAGCAATCACGATGAAAATAACTTACCGACGATTCTGTACATTACAAGAGTGAAGTAACGCATACGCAGATTACAGCAAACCGAGCCAGACGCCGGTCTGGCCCAGCGTCGATTAAGTCACTCTCCCTAACCCTTATCAAATAGGCAACATGACAGTCAAAGGTTAAGTCGCCTATACCTTCTCAACAGCTGCATGTGTTTCCATAGCCAAGACAATTCACTCGCGCATAGCCCCTTATTCCGGTGGCCAATATTCTCGTGCAGTCAGCCCCTATTGTTTAGTATAAACCAAACAAAAGCAAGGTATATCCAACCGAACTGAAACCAAAAAAACAACAAATCCACACCTTGTATGAATCGAGGAAACATGAAGGGAGGACGAGAGTGGTTCTGGCTCGGCGTAGTTGGCATTGGAGAATTCTGTAGAAAGTAGGAGGGGAGCAAGCGAGTTGGCAAGCACGCAGAAGGCCGAGTGAGTAGAGGGGGCGCTGTTTCACTTGAAGTCCTCTATGGTGCCTTTGCCCAGGTCGGTCATGCGCGGGTACTTTGCTTTCTTCTGGTCCAGCTCGTTCTGGGCCCACAGCAAGTGCTTGAGCAGCTTGGCCAGCTTGGGCGTCGAGTCCTGATTCTCGCAGTCAAGCACGGCAGCATTTACCTCGCTCCAAACCTGCGCAAGACAGAGTGCAGAGACGCCACACAGTGGTTCAGTGATTGCGAGTGACGCACGTCATGGTGCAAGTTGCAGTGTTATGTGAAAGGCAGATAACAAATCGATGTTAATCAATTGACTGGGGCTGTGGACAATTTCGATATCTCAACACAATTGCAATACACTTCCACAATAATTGTCACTGACTGGAAAACGTCATTTGTAATGCTCTATACATAATGTATATACAAATTACATTTAAGCTCATGATCTGAAACCGTTTGGGAAATGGGTTGTATCCTGGATTGTGTGGCACAAAGCCAGCGATTTCTCTGGCACCTTCTGTCTCTGCGAGGGATGAAGGAGCTCGCCAAAGGGCGACTCCTCTGGGCTGTCGAAGGCGAGCAGGGCGAGCGTGCGCTCCATCTCCAGGAGGCACTCACTGCTCTCCTCGCCACGCTCCGCTAGCTGCGTCTGTGCAAACTCCAGCGCAGCCTCCGTCTGCCGCTCGCGGATCAGCTCGATCAGATGCTGCTGCTACCTCACGCATGCACAGATAAACGTATGGACACAATTAGATGCGCTATTCTGAGTGCTGTCGTCATGTGATGAAGAAATGAACATTCGGAACACTCTCGTGGCAAGCAGAGATATTGTATAGCGTCAGAGAATGGCCTGCGAAGACAACTTTGCACGACTACTGCCGAGGCCATGTCACACCTGTGGTCCAGCACACTCAAGGGCTGGTGCATGAGCGATATGTGAGACTACCAAAACATGGCAAAGCTGCGCATTCAGTGACAAGTGCAATGAAGGTGTAAATGAATCTCAACGTGCACAATTGCTACGCTCAGACTGTGTGCAAGCCGTAGGCTCTTAACCTGCAGGTGGAAGTAGAGGTAGCGGTTGGTGTCTAGCAGCTCGGGGTGCAGACTATTGATGAGGCCAATGGCTTCCTGGATGCGGCCGTTGAGGATGACGTCCCGGATCTTGATGCGCTCGTCCAGCGAGTCGAGGTCTGTACCCGGTTCGATGCCCGATTCCACACGGAACTTCTCCGCTGCCTCCTTGAAGCCCTCTACAGAACAGGCACATGGCACAGTGCAGTTAATTCCCTCAGGCAGTTTTAATACTTTCGAACTAAGGTTGACCGTGTGCACATTATTTCTGTTCGTACATTCCTTCGTAAAGATGAACATATGTAGTTGCATTGCTATTATCGGCTATATTTAAAAGCGCCGTTATTGATCAACGGGCTCCCAAAAACGCAGAGACTCAAAGCAAAGAAGAGGGCTATTTCCAAATACACAAACACGTTTTGCCCTGACAACTATCCTTAAAAATATATATGAAGACAAACACGTCAGAAAGAATACGTCAGAAAGTGTTACATAATCCATGGAAATTATATAGTTTTCCTAATTTGTTAAATGGGCAGTTGGATTAAACGATTCTGTAATGAATGCGTTTTCAAATGCTTGTCTTTATTGTTTATATTATCAATCTGTTACTATTTCCGATTGTAAGCTGTTTAACCGATATCACGTCTAACTTAAGGTTACAATGATTTTCTGAATATTGTCACGTTTCGTAACATCACGCTCACTAATTGTCTCCGTGACCTTCCCAGCGGCAGGAGCTGCGCCATTCTCAATGTGGCTCGTTTGGAAAGGGTCATACGACCCTGATGTATAGTGAGCATAATAATCGATTTTTACCAATGAAGCAATGTAACGTTACATGCCAGTTATACACGTTTCATGAACACTACAAAAACCTCCGAAACAAACCTTTACGAAGCTCTCCACACGGTTTAGCAAAACAAATTTACCGTGGCTTATCAATACTAATGCCCAGGTGAGGGCTCCCACCTGTGACCAGGTAGTTCATGATGAGGCGATTCATGTCAGCGCGCTGGATATGGGCATTGGAAACGCGCTCCAGCCACTCCTCACGCGTCACCTCCTCTGCCTTCTCGGCAAAACTCAACTCGGACATCTCTGCAGCTGCGCCAGAGGCCTGTGATCGCACCAGCCCTGAACAACAAGCAACAATAGGGGCTGTTCATCACATTGAAACAAGTCTTCTGCACGAGGGAGGCCCTGTGTAAAGTTTGTTACAATATCATTAATTGCAGAAACATATTCTTGGATATTTCGGTAAAGTCACGTAGAAGGGAAATAATAAAATAATAAAAATAAAACTTTATTAAATTCTCACGACGTTTCGGCCACAACACAAGCAGCCGTCCTCAGGTGAAGAACAGAGCTGTCAGAAAAACAGCGTCCTGATGAACACTGCTAAGCTTGGCAGCGTATTTTAAGGTGGGTGGGAGAAGCAGAGCGCCTTGACAAAGGAGTTTACATATCAACAGAGAAATTTTGCATATTGACGCTAGAGAACTGCTTCTACCCTACTACCATACAATAAACCGATGTGAAAAAACTACGTATAAACTTCATCTATATAATCAATGTACTCAATATACACTCTCCAATAAGCTGAGCTATTAACATTAAGTAACTGGGTATACACTACACTATATAATGCAGAAACATTAATGTTAGTATATAATGCAGAAACATAACTAAATAATAAATGCTAAGAACAATAGAGTCTCAGAAAATCAAATGTACGCATACTAAATTTAATTAAGTGACAGTTCCAATTTGGAATTCTCACAGCAAGCATTGCCTGATTACCCACACTTTTGCCCCCACAATTAGTGTTGCATGTCAACCCGAAACGTTTAAGTAGACATATATAAGGTAAATTACGTAAAAAAAATGAAATTAGAGTGTTTTGAGAAGTATTGGGTTTCAATACAAACTCACTTCCACTTCAGGATCACGCTTTAAGGAGGTGTGGGCCTACCTACACGCATATCCTTCACCCAGGATCTTGTGGTACTTAATGGCTATGTGCTCTCGGCACAACTCACACTGCAATAGCAACTCCGTGAGACAGGTGGCCACCTCGTAATGCTCGTAAATTTAACAGATGAGGCTTCACATCACCGGTCTAGTCTCCGTGACCAAGGCCCTTGATTTTCAAGAAGATTACGAGTTAAAATCCGGGCCTGGGTTCAAATCAGTCCTTTTATACGTACCGCACTCATAATCATCACGTCAAATACCACAATCATCCTCGCCACCATTAATCGCCACAATCATCATCACTGCTGCCACCATCGACTAACATTAATCACCGTCATTGCCACCATTACGATCAACAATCATCAAGACCATCACCATACCGCCATCATCTCCATAATTAACAACACAATCACAACCATTACGACTCCGCTCATCACCACCGTCGCATATTCCCTCCGAAGTCGACAAAACATCGTCAACGTGCTCAGCCCCGTCACAGTAATGAGGAATGTCCATCAGTCGGTGCCAGGCCTACGCTGCTCCCATCGGGCAGCGGCCTCCCACGACCCACACAGTCCTCTTGATCCGTCAAGACACTTTTTATAACTTGCTCGTACACGATTTAATATTATATTAATATTATTCCTCGACGAGACGATCCCACTGGGAAGGCCCCAGGCCGACGTGGCTGGGACGTCCCTGGGAACGTCTGGGAATTCCTCCAGGAAGGGCGAAAGGGAGGTGTGGGACCGCCACGATCCTCACCAGGACGAGCCGACTGAGGAACGAAACGGAACGAAACTGAACCCCCCCCCCCCGCCAACTCGCTCTTTAACGTCTCCTTCGTACCTGGGGGGGGCCCTCTTTGAAGTCCGGCTCCTCGCAACTCTGGCCGCTGTCACCTCGCAAAAGCCACTGGAGAAAGAAACAACAACAGCAGCAGACTCCTTGCGGCTCGCCGACACTCGCGAGGCGTGCGTTTCGTTGATTTCGACGTGCAAATGTTTAGTTCTGTTTGCTTTTAACTTCTTCTGGACGCTGCGAAACGAGCGGCGATCCCCACTCAGCCACTGGACGCCGCGGACCTTCTTGGATTTCCCACTGCGCATAGACATGGATGGGCAAGGCGGGGGGGAGGGGAAGGGGGCGGTCACGTGGTGGCAAGCAGCCAATAGCGGCGCGCGGAGCGGGACGCGACGGTGGTTTGACTGAGCTATGGAATCTAATGGTGGGGGCGGGGCGGGGTCGCGGCGAATGAAAACGACTCCCAGAGAGCACCGCGTGGGATTTCCGATTTTGTTGTTATTGTTGTTGTTGTTTTATTTTAAATGTTTTTTCTCTCTCTACGTTTCATTGTCGTAATAATCTCACCGTGTCTTTTATTATGAATTTGTAGTCGTAATAACATGTGCAATTTAATTAATGTAAATGTTTAGCTTTTTTTTAAGGACAATTTACGACTCCAGTCCCCCAATCACACTTTCGTGGTCGATAAAACCACTTAATTGTACACACCATACATACAGACGGCAATAAATGAGGTCGATTTAAGACCCGTTCGTCGGAAAATATTTTTAGCAATGCATTCATTAATTTTCCGACAAAAAAAACACTAATAACACACGTAACTCATACCTGTCGACCCATAGGGCTCAACCGTATTATTGTACAGGGGCATTGAGTTTCCATGGGTTTCTCCCTTGTGATGGGACTTTTTAGGATGAACTTTGAGATTTAGAATGGGCACGGGGTGACCGATGAGGTCTAAATTGATCTCTGCTAAGCAGTTCACAGGAATGTGTCCTGTACGTAATTGGCTAACGTTTATTGACAGTGGCCTGTTGCCTTCATACAGTTTGAGATGGCTCCGTGGCTTGAGCCCACGTCCAACTTTGTCATCACGGGAATTGATTGCGTGGATTTATATCAGTTCTCTTTGCCTCCCGAGTCGTGCGAACGATGTGTGCCTCGTGACTTCTCATCCCAATAACGGAGCATTGCCTCTATTCCTGTGAATGACAATGCGTCCATGAGCTAAATGCCAATGTCAAGGACTTTAGGAGATGTTGTATTTTGCTACTCCGTTGAAGGAACGCAGTGGATTTTTCTCCGGGTCCTCCGTTTTTTCCCCTCCACATTTAGAAACGTGCGTTTAGAGTATTTTGCTGCTATAAATGCCCGCATGATAAGCCACGTCATTGAGCTACATAGCTCAGTGAGCTTTGCCTGGTAAGACGGGGATGGTTTAGTTTTATTTGTATGTTTCTGGGTGATTTATTTTTTATTTTACTATGCACCACTATCCTGTTTTCGTATTGTAACGTTCTTACCCGCTCCTACTGGACATCTATGAAAAATAGCTTTAGAGCTTATCGGATTCCTCCAGTACAAATCATATTCTGATTCTGTCTCTGGGTTTACTACATGGTCCATAGTTTTAGTTACATAACCACAATGGCACTGCTGTGGCTTGTATTTATGCGTTGTGTCACATGATAAAAGAATAGTTTTCTCATTTCAGTACTGGATGGCTAAACTTCCACATTCCATGCCCTTGCGACGTAAGATTGTCATTGTCCGTTGGGCGAAGCTGTTCAACTGCCCTCCCCTCCCCTCTGTTTATTGTTTCCTGTAACTGCTGAAATCGTCATCACAGTTTCGCTTAAAACTGGGGGTGGGGATCGGGTCACATGCTTCACGTGAAGTGAAAATGGTTGATTGTTTAAGCGTGCCTTATGGAATGTTTTCTTCTGGATTTATTCCTGGACAATATGCTCTGAGTGAGGATGTCACATTGTTGCCAGTGGGAGCTCGAGGTTTTACAATGGACTGTGACCGATTTTTTTAACGTGCAAACTTTCCCAATACGTTTTAGTTGCAGAGAAAAACAAGACTTTCTCCCTTGTTAAAGTGTCTGCATCTTCGGAGTGGTGACTAGAGGCATAAGCAAGTCATTACAAATGTTTAGGGCTCCGATAAGCTCCTGAAAGAAAATATGGGTGGCAACAAATTCAACCCCAAATAAATACCAGATAAGCTCATTAAAATAAAACACAATGGAAACTCATCTCTATCTTGTCTGCAAGTTTCTCCTTATTTGTCTACATTTATCTCACTGCATTTATATCTCTCGTTATCTCAGTAGAATTTTATAAGTTGAAAGGGGGGGGGGAGGTAATGACAAGTTTAATATGTTTCAGGCCCCCCATTGGGTCAGCAGCACTACTGCCTCCTCTCGGATTATATAGTCTTCATAGTACGTACTGTACTGTACATCTTCTGCAGTACATGAGCATGACTTGGATAAATTTTGGACAGCAGTTGCAAGGAATAAAACATTTAGCACTTCTAATGAGATCAATTGATGTTTTTATTTATTTTGTTTATCATTCCTATTAACCTTGCGAGGTTTCGTTCTCTGAGGTCCAGAATGTAATATTAAATTACTCTTCTGTGCAATTACATGTGATGTGTTATAGATAAAGACTTAAAAACAACACTGGCCTTCCGACGGAGAGACAGGCCCCAACGTTGGAATGTGGAATTCGCAATGCTGCCTCAGGGCTGCCAATGAAAATAAATGCCATGACTAATATTTAACTTTTTTTTACATGCTTACGCCAAGCATATTTTAGAGGACTAGACTGACAGATATGTTTTGTGAACGTTATAGGTGTAATGATGCGCGAATTGAATCGATTAATATCGATTCATATGCTCGTCATACGTGCATAGAAGGGCACTGAATATTGCACCACCACTCCATTACGCTGGTGAAAACTCCGTCTCAATCTGGGAAAGCTCGGCCACAAAAGGGAGTTATTTTCAAGGGGTTATTTAGCACGGTGAAAGTCTCCAATAGTAAGTGCTCCCAGACTGGGTTATATTTAAACAACCAAGTGATAAAACATTTTCCTTTGAAACACACCCTCTACCAACTAACTGCCCTAGTGGTGTAAAATGTCAATGGTGTTCCTGTTCAAACCGGCATTGGGGTGAGGTGGAACTCATTTCATGAGCCAACGGTGGAAATTCCGTATTCCCATGACAGAGACCGATCTATCCATCCGTCACGGTTGACGTCGCTAAATGTGAGATGCATTTGATCAAATTTGGGTGGGCATATTGTGTTGGCACTTGAAAGTGTTGTGTTCGCACTTGCAAGGGGGGAACTGCATGGGAATACAAAGTGTTGTAGACTTGGCTTGCGGGATGACCCAAGAGATAACTACAGAAATAGATTTGTTTTAACCTTAATATAAATTGAGTACATATGGAATTCACACTTTTCTTATAGTGCAAGGCGATCACGGAGGCACTATGTCTCACATAGTCTGCAGTAGTTTCGCAAGCGGGGGTGATATTACTTTATGTAATCCCAATTTAGTTAAATTGCAGTTTATTTGTAATATTTGGAACACGACGCCAACATACAACGGTCTCTTTTTTTAATGTCACGGGATATTCGACGTCTGTTGTAAATCAGACGGTGCATATTGTGTGGTGAAATACACCTGCAGTACAGTATTAACCGGAACGGACAGATTCAAACCGCGAACCTCTCTGCAAAAAGCGGCGAACATGCTACCGCTGAACCATGTTAACGCTCCAACCCGATGCAGGATCCCATTGAAAAAGAGTCCCGAGGATCAGACAAAATTCCATGGGTAAATAAAAGGCATTAGAGTATGATAGAAAAAATGTGTTTCACTCTGAAACTATTTAAACTTATTTCAGTCCATTCGCCTAAGGGCTTTGTGGCGTGTTTCATCAGCATTTGTTTAAGCAGCTATCACGATATACCCACGCAACCTTTCGCAGGTAACTTTTGAAACTCATATCAATGTAAACCCAAGAATACCATTGGCTCGATAATCCCTAGAATCGCATTGGCTCTAGGACCCCAAAAGAACCCAACTGGCTCTAAAATCCCAAGAATACTACTGGCTTTAGAACCCAAAGAATCACATTGGCTCTGGAATCCCAAAAATTCCGGCTCTAGGAACATAAGAATGTCATTGGCTCTCGAAATCCAATAATCCCATTCACTCTAGAATCCAAATAATTCCGGCTCTAAGAACCCGATACTGTAATGCCATTGGTTCTAGAACCACAAGCATCTCATTGCCTATAGAAACCAAAGACTCAAATTGCCTCTAGAAACCCAATAATGCCATTGGATCTAGAACCCAAATAACTTCATCGGCTCTAGATACCTAAGAATCCCATTTAATCTGGAAACCAAAGCATCCTATCGGCACGAGAAATTCAAGAATACCATTGGCTATAGAACCCTAAGAATCCCTTCGGCCCTAGAACTAAAAAATCCCATTAACTCTAGAACCCCAATCCTCTAGAACCCCAAGAATCCCAATCCTCTAGAACCCCAAGAATCCCAATCCTCTCTAGAACCCCAAGAATCCCAATCCTCTAGAACCCCAAGAATCCCAATCCTCTAGAACCCCAAGAATCCCAATCCTCTAGAACCCCAAGAATCCCAATCCTCTAGAACCCCAAGAATCCCAATCCTCTAGAACCCCAAGAATCCCAATCCTCTGTTGAACCCCAAGAATCCCAATCCTCTAGAACCCCAAGAATCCCAATCCTCTCTAGAACCCCAAGAATCCCAATCCTCTAGAACCCCAAAAATGCCAATCCTCTCTAGAACCCCAAGAATCCCAATGGGTTCTAGAACCCCAAGAATCCCAATCCTCTCTAGAACCCCAAGAATCCCAATCCTCTAGAACCCCAAGAATCCCAATCCTCTCTAGAACCCCAAGAATCCCAATCCTCTCTAGAACCCCAAGAATCCCAATCCTCTACAACCCCAAGAATCCCAATCCTCTAGAACCCCAAGAATCCCAATCCTCTAGAACCCCAAGAATCCCAATGGGTTCTAGAACCCCAAGAATCCCAATCCTCTAGAACCCCAAGAATCCCAATCCTCTAGAACCCCAAGAATCCCAATGGGTTCTAGAACCCCAAGAATCCCAATCCTCTGTGGAACCCCAAGAATCCCAATCCTCTAGAACCCCAAGAATCCCAATCCTCTAGAACCCCAAGAATCCCAATCCTCTAGAACCCCAAGAATCCCAATCCTCTAGAACCCCAAGAATCCCAATCCTCTAGAACCCCAAGAATCCCAATGGGTTCTAGAACCCCAAGAATCCCAATCCTCTAGAACCCCAAGAATCCCAATGGGTTCTAGAACCTCAAGAATCCCAATCCTCTAGAACCCCAAGAATCCCAATCCTCTAGAACCCCAAGAATCCCAATCCTCTGTTGAACCTCAAGAATCCCAATCTTCTAGAACCCCAAGAATCCCAATCCTCTGTTGAACCTCAAGAATCCCAATCCTCTGTTGAACCCCAAGAATCCCAATCCTCTGTTGAACCCCAAGAATCCCAATCCTCTGTTGAACCTCAAGAATCCCAATCCTCTGTTGAACCTCAAGAATGCCAATCCTCTAGAACCCCAAGAATCCCAATCCTCTGTAGAACCCCAAGAATCCCAATCCTCTGTAGAACCCCAAGAATCCCAATCCTCTGTAGAACCCCAAGAATCCCAATCCTCTGTAGAACCCCAAGAATCCCAATCCTCTGTAGAACCCCAAGAATCCCAATCTTCTAGAACCCCAAGAATCCCAATCCTCTGTAGAACCCCAAGAATCCCAATCCTCTGTAGAACCCCAAGAATCCCAATCCTCTCTAGAACCCCAAGAATCCCAATCCTCTCTAGAACCCCAAGAATCCCAATCCTCTGTAGAACCCCAAGAATCCCAATCCTCTAGAACCCCAAGAATCCCAATCCTCTGTAGAACCCCAAGAATCCCAATCTTCTGTAGAACCCCAAGAATCCCAATCCTATCTAGAACCCCAAGAATCCCAATCCTCTAGAACCCCAAGAATCCCAATCCTCTAGAACCCCAAGAATCCCAATCCTCTGTAGAACCCCAAGAATCCCAATCCTCTCTAGAACCCCAAGAATCCCAATCCTCTAGAACCCCAAGAATCCCAATCCTCTGTAGAACCCCAAGAATCCCAATCCTCTGTAGAACCCCAAGAATCCCAATCCTATCTAGAACCCCAAGAATCCAATCCTCTAGAACCCCAAGAATCCAATCCTCTAGAACCCAAGAATCCCAATCCTCTGTAGAACCCCAAGAAGCCCAATCTCTCTAGACCCCAAGAATCCCAATCCTCTGTAGAACCCAAGAATCCCAATCCTCTAGAACCCCAAGAATCCCAATCCTCTGTAGAACCCCAAGAATCCAATCCTCTGTAGAACCCCAAGAAGCCCAATCATTCTCTAGAACCCCAAGAATCCCACTCTCTGTAGAACCCAAGAATCCCAATCCTCTCTAGAACCCCAAGAATACCAATCCTCTGTAGAACCCCAAGAATCCCAATCCTCGTCTAGAACCCCAAGAATCCCAATCCTCTAGAACCCCAAGAATCCCAATCCTCTGTAGAACCCCAAGAATCCCAATCCTCTCTAGAACCCCAAGAATCCCAATCCTCTGTAGAACTTCAAGAAGCCCAATCTTCTCTAGAACCCCAAGAATCCCAATCCTCTGTAGAACCCCAAGAATCCCAATCCTCTGTAGAACCCCAAGAATCCCAATCCTCTGTAGAACCCCAAGAATCCTTCCTGTGGTGACGTCACCGCTGGCCCCTCCCCCTCCTCCCGGCCGCCGCTGCAGGTTTCGCGTCGCCCATCGCCGCCGCCGCCGCACGACCGCCCCACCACCATCACCACCATCCTCGCTCTCTCTCTCGCACGTCGTAGCAGAGGGACACACACACGAACACCGACAACGCAGCGACGTCTTTCACGAAGGGGGGGAGACCAGAGGCGCTCGCGGGGACGGCGTAGCGCTTGTGGTGGTGGTGAGTCGGACGTCTGCTTTGGAGTCAATGGTGGACGTGTTTATGGGTGCTGTGATGGGGGTGGTGGTGGTTGGTGGTGGTGGTTGGTGATGGTGGTGGTGGTTGTGAGGGGGGTCTTTGCGGTTCTCCACTGCAATGGGTTTGGTGGTGGTGATGATGTCTTGTGATGCCGGTTGTGGTGAGAGGCGGTGTCGTCGTCGGGGGTTGTGGTTTTATGTTTTAATTGAGAGCGGCGGCGTCGTCGTCGTTGTCTAGGGGCATGGTGATGTTTGTGGACGTGATGGGGGTCTGATGGTGATGGCGGTGTCTGCGGTGATGCTTGGATGATAGGCGATGGCGATGATGTTAATGTTTGTATTCGGGTGGGTGGGGGGGGGGGGAATTGGCGATGGCATTGAACGGCGTAACGGCGAATTTTGGGCGTTGATGTTGATGGTTGTAGAGCCGCGACGTTAGCGGTGATGGTGGTGATGGTGGTGGTGAAGGCGGTGATGGTGGTGATGATGATGGTGGTGAAGGCGGTGATGGTGGTGATGATGATGGTGGTGAAGGCGGTGATGGTGGTGATGATGATGGTGGTGATGATGATGGTGGTGAAGGCGGTGATGATGATGGTGGTGAAGGCGGTGATGGTGGTGATTGACGCTGGTTTAGAGTTTGGCGATGGTGTTAATTATAATGGGTGGTAATGTAGCGAGTGTCGTCTGTGATCACGACGATGTTCAATGATAATGGTGGTGTGGTAGTGACGTAATGTGTGAGGATAATGATCAAGATGTTGATGGGATGATGGTGGTGATGATGATGGTGATGATGGTGGTGGTGATGATGGTCATCGGGCAACCAATGCTGACGTAACGTCACCACGGCAGTCATCGCGAATGCTGCTTGCTAATGATGCTGATGATGGTTCTGCATTGTGCCAATTTGCAACATTCGGGGATAAGAATAGACACATTTTTGTTATCAAATTATTATAATAAAATAATCTACGATAAATATAAATGTTCATCGTCTTCACCATCACCACCACCACGATAATCGCTGCTTGCGGTGATGATAGCAGACCACGGTATCAACGTTGAATAGCAATTATGTAAATTAACGGCGCTCAGGCTAATCGATTAAACCGTATCGATTATAGTACCCCCGATATACGTGGTTGTAATAAACATTCGTCTTGACGCTCGATGCAAATGATACGCAGCTGTGATCAATTGCGCATTCGGGGTGAGTGGTTCAATAACGACACGCGCACGAGGCCGAAACCAACAAGACGATAATGCAATTCGATTATTTAATCGAATCTTAACCCATCGCCCCCCCCCTCGTGAACAATACATCGCTTCGCCGGGAATAGCAAATCGTCGTTATCTCGAGAGCCAGGGACGGGGAAGGGCTGTGGCGAATGAATGGGAGAGAGGAGGGAGGGAGGAGGAGGAGGCAAGGGGCTGGCTCGTGTAGCTACGTGCGTAAGAACACCGCCACTGTACTGGGCTTTGGGCATTTAGCATCTGGTGGTGGCCCTGCGTTCTGATTAGTGTCCTCTAATCACACTGTGCCCCCACGCTGCTATAGGTCAGGGAGCGGCGTTTAAGGGTCGTCTTGATGATGGGGATGCTGCGTTGGCAGTGGTGCAAAAGAGCGAATAACCACAGAATGCTCAACACATTCACCAATAACACCTTTAAAAGGGCGATATATAATTTACGACGTTTCGTGCAATGGTCCTGTAAATTGCAAAGCCTTCTGTAAAGGACCATCATAGAAGGGACATTTCCCGAAATGTCGCCGATTGTATATTTTTACTTTCAATGCCACAGTCTTATTGACAAATGTGTTGATATTTTTGTTGTTATTTGTGCTTTTGCACCACTGCCAACGTAGTATCACCAAATTATATCTTTCTGAAAATACTGATGATGGTTCTGATGTTGATGAGGTTGATTTTACTGCTGCTGCTGATGATGCTGCTGCTGATTCTGAAGATGCAGATGCCATTGATGATGATTCTGATGTTGATATTGCTGATTCGCATGCTGCCGCTTATATTGTTGGTGATGATTTTATGAATGGTGAAATGGATGGTAGTAATAGTGTTGTACATGAGTATTCAGTTTGTGATGTTAATTATATAATTGTGTTGACGGTTTAGTTGACGGTGTTTGCTGCTGGTGATGCTGCTTCTGATGATGATGGCAGTGCTGATTGGTGGTTTGGTCATAGCTTGGAGTGACGATCATAACAGGGATAAAAATGTGAATGGCACGCGATGAACAGTGGAAGGTTTTTGAGGAGGTGGGTGATGAGTCATTATTAGGATATGTATAATTCGAACTAACTTACAGGACGAGACAGCATGATGCATATGGAAATTGATAGATGAGGTGTTGTAATGAGATGGAGATGAAGGATAAGGACGATTTTCAGGATGAGGATGTACGCCCTGCCTTTATCATCACTACCCTTTCAGAAGTGAAAAACACATGAATATGTATCGCGATATTATAAATCAACTGATGTGTAAGGGTCTCCCCACGCCTTGAGGTTTTTTTTACCATACTTCACCAAGCTGGTCACTGCGGATTGGTGAAGGCTGGGATCATAGACATGGGACCACCTAAGTACAGTACAGTTCAACAATGCGTTTTGCCGCAATGTAGCCCTGCAGAAGCCGATTTATAACAGGCCGTGTTATGGATTGTGGTGAGCCATGCAAACCTATCCAGGCTCTAAATCTGCTTAGCTCTGACATCTGATGAGGTTAGGCACATTCTGGGTGATTAGGTCATAGGCAAGATATGAGAAGCAGAAGTGAAAATGACTTGAGAATAACTACGGTAACGTTCAAATGGCACTCTCTTTACAAACAATCGGAACCCACGAGTTCCTTGTCCTTTGTGAGCGACTTGGAGGCACAAGGAGAATTGTGAGCAGCGGGAAAAAATTGGTAATAGTCTCCAGGTTTTGCAATTGCGTCTCAATTAATTGGTTAGCTGTGTTTGCCTGGGAAGGATGGGAGAGAGAGAGAATAAGACCCTTTGAAAATGTGCAAAAGTGTAGCCTCAAAGATCGTGTCATGATCACAGTACAGTGTGTTAATTACCGTGTTCATCATTTGCGTCGGTCTACAGGGCAGTTTATGGATGAGCTCTGCTACAGTGGCTTACCCAGTGCGCTGTCAACCCGGCGATCCGAGTTCAGTTCCTGGCCACGGCGAACATTGTTGGCACGTGATGTCTGACACGGTCCTGGGCTTACTTCCTCCCCCTCCCTTCACCAACCCACACTGACCTGCATGGTGAAGTATGGTCAAACAATATCCCTTTATCTTCTTGGTTCTTTCGGTAAAGTAACGTAGAATGGAAATAATAAAATAATAAAAATAAAACATAATAAAATAATTCTCACGACGTTTCGGCCACAACGCAAGCAGTCGTCCTCAGGTGAAGAGCAGGTCTGTCGAGTAGACAGAGTCTGAATGACCCTGTCTGTGGAGAGCAGGTCTGTCGAGTAGACAGAGTCATTCAGACTCTGATGACGGCTGCTTGCGTTGTGGCCGAAACGTCGTGAGAATAATTTTATGATGTTTTATATTTATTATTTTATTATTTCCATTCTACGTGACTTTACCGAAAGATCCAAGAAGATGACTCCCTGCAGTCACGAAAGCTTTAAATCGAAAATATCCCTTTACCTGCACGGGATGGGAAGGCCTTCATCTAGCAATGGAATGACAATAGTTATATAAAATAGGTAAATACGTATATGATGTGTGTGCATGCATGTGTATTTGGGTGTATAATAGTAATACATGTATATTAGGAATGTAACGATTTATTTATTCAAAAATGTTAATATATTTTTATACACATGATAAACACTGTACATGTAAGAGCGTTTAAATAGATTTTAATAGACAAAACACAGTTGCGATGATGTCACTGCATCTTTGTTAAAACTTGCGGAAATCATGGAAATCATCTCACGCTTGAAACTTGCTTGAAAGTAATTGAATCCTTCTCTTATCGTAATTTATATGGCGCTTTGACCAAGGCGTCTTGATCAAGGCAATTTACAGAGAATGAACAATTGTGCATATTCTTCAGACCTGTGTGGGGTGGTCCAGAACCGACACCTGAGGAATGTCGTTATAACGTAAGAGCCCCTGGTTTAAGGGTTAAAATTGTCCTTTAAACTGCATTCTCTAAAATAACAAAATAACTAAGCAGACAACATGTTTCCTTCACATACCCGTCGGTCCACTTGAAAAAAAGTGTTTCTTACACAAGCCATCATCCGCACGGCCTTCTGGGAGTCCAGTTTCAGCAGCGTTGTTTCAAGACAAGCAACCTCTGGACAGGTTTTGACAGTGTCTCATCGTTTAAGTCAAACTTGCGTCAATTAAGCAGGTGAACTGCCTATCTTCTAGGAAAGGATCCTCCCCTTACAATATGGGGTTCAAAATGGACATTCATGGCTTCAGTCGACAAACCAATTAGCCAATCGTTGCAGGTTAAACTTGACGAGTTTGATTGTACAAGCGCTGCTGTGTTGTTGAGACCTTTCACTGGGTCATGTGATGAACCCCTCATACCCGCCAGCGATTAACAATTTAGCAGGTGTAACGGACGTTAAGTGGAAAGCATCGCATCCCTTCAACTGTCAGTGGAGCTGCCCTGTGATTTAATGTGAGCGAAGGGGACACTACACTTTGAATGCCTCAAGCCCCCAAATTGTGTGATGCGGCGGCAGCCGCTGATGAAATATCAGTTTGCTTGGTTCTCGGGATGTGACGATGCGTCACTTCATCGATTCGTCACTTTATCGATTCATATAAATTCCCTAAGCTTCACGATTCATGGGTCGAATCACATGCGCAAGAGTCCACGTGCTTCGATTTGGATGCATTGCATGCAATAGATTTAAGTTTTAGATTTAAGAATTACGTTTTTTGGATTTGTCATGACAATTTAGTATCTTTTTTTAGATCATTATGT